CATCCTGTCTATGCCATGGTGATCCGTATCGAACGCCACGAGAAACGCCTCACAAGCTCCCTCTGCTGCCTGTTGATACTTATTCTGTTTTAAACGACATTGTGATAGAATGATTTTCAAGTGGGAAATATCATATTCTTCTTGATTATCTGATACATTTATAGCTTCAAGCGCTTCCATGCAATATTTTTCAGCTAGGCTTGGCTGGTTAAGTTTGGTGAAGCAGTCTCGAAGTTTTAACAGTATTGATATAGTACTGGAAGAATGTTGCTGCTTTGATTCGTCCTTATTATCGTAATCCTGAAGTTGCAACGCGTTTTGCAATGCCGATACACAGTCACGGTAATGACCTAAATTATACAAACATTCGCCGTATCTCTGTTCCATCTCAAAGATAATTTTGTTTTTGTTAGTACTTGATTCATTGATCAAATATTTTTCACAGTATTCCAAGCAAAGTTGATATTCTTCGGTCAAATAATGCACTTCCGATAAAGCTAAAATTATTCTCATGTGCAACCGTCCTAAAGTACATGCACTTTCGTCTCTCGACTCTATGGCCGCTTTGGCCTGATAAAGATGATTTTTAGCTTCTGATAACTGACGGTTTGCAAGCATATGTTTTCCGATACGATAATGAAGAAACCGAATGATTTTAGGTTGATCCACTTCAGGTAAACTTAAAATAATTCCCAAACAGACGTTAAAGTTCTCATTAGCATCATCGAATCGTTCTAATTTTAGTTGACATATGCCTTTCAGGAAATGTATTGACGCGTTGTTAGATGCGACATGATTCTTTTGATCATGTGATTTCATACATTCTAAAGCTTTTTCAAACATCCCGAAATGAGTAAAAATTTTTGCTTTGACTTCCATGTCGTCTGTTTTTTTACCATAGCTTTTTAGGGAGTCTAACCTGCCACATGAATCAATAATTTCCTCAATGCAATTTTGCAAATCAGACATTACTTGGAACAGATTAACGAAATTTTCTTCGCCCACCATTTCAATGAAATTTGCAAGGGGCCTGATCCAATTTTGATGTTGTGAATCTTTATCGTTTTTAGAAGCACCAACACGTAACCAAACGACATAAGTAAAGGTAATAGCACTTTTTATGCTTTCGGCGTCAGTCGCACTCAGCAACTGATCGTTCAGAAGAGTTTCAGCTATGTCAAAAACGCAGTTGGATGTAAAGTTTGCAAAATGTCCTATACCATTCAGAAACATATTCAAGGAATGGTAAATTGTGTCGATGTTAATTGTTTTGGTTGAACATTCATTCTCTAGTACCAAGTTTCCAACTTGGAAATCGTAAATACTTTCCTTCATTTGATAAAGAATTACTTCTTTCATACGACCTGATTCTTCAGAATCCGAGAACAAAAGTTTTCTCACACGTTTGTCAAATTTTCTATGTATTCCTTCACTTCCACCGATGCAATAAGTTGTAGCCAATTTTAACATAAATCTGGAATCAGCAATTTTAACAGGCGTAGAAATGAGTTTCATTGTATCTTTTACAGTCTTGATTGGCGCATTCCCAGCTTCTTTCATACTTTCACATCGCAGGCCACGGGGTGTAAAATTGTCTTTGTACCAATTTTTTCTGCAGTCATGAAAGGAATGGTCGTTTAATGAAGCTATTCCGAACTCATCTATGGGAGATTCTCCAAAATATATCACAATAACTTGAAAAAATAAGTAATACCATCGAAAATACTCCAGAACTTGCTCAAAGTTTTCTTGCTTTTTAGCATCATTGTCCAATAATATCAATGTTTCTACCTTTGAATATGTGGTGATTTCTTTCGTAGCTAATGGTCCAATCGCAACATGACTGAACTTACATGGGGGTTCGCCCAAAATCTCTATGCATTTGCTTGATACAGCGTGCATGATTTCAGAATACCCGTCCGCAATATCAGTCATTATATTTTTGATATTATCAATATCTTCGAGATAGTCATATGACCCGGATTCGACTCCGGTTCCATGAAATTGCTTTATTTTTTGCAGCGATTTTTCAGTTTTTTTCCTTACCTTTTTGACGTTATCTTTGTAGATTCTCTGCGATATTTCGTGAAAATCGGTTAGACGTGATTTTGCTCTTGCTGATTCCAGAAGAAGTTTGCTAAGTCGTCTCATGTCTTTCAGTATATTATACGAATTTGATCCCTTTCGAATCAAGGCGGTTTTGAGCAATGCACATCCTTGTAGAAGACTCTGCGTTTCTGTCGATCTCTGCAAAATGGTGTTCCCCAGTTTATGCAGAAATTCGGCTTCTTTGCTAGTTTCCAGTTTCGTTCCATCCTTATCATAGGCGATTTTGAATTCTTTCATTACCTCGAGTTCCTCTTTCCAGATTTTGTCTAGATTACCTAAAGACATTGAACATGGTTTAATAGTTTTATAAAAGTTTGATGATATTGTGTTGCAACTTGTGTGCGATTCATACCGGGTAAAAAAGGGAAGAAACCAAGAAATTTGTAACAAAGTAGAATAAAGTAAAAATGATTTGTTCCACTGATGATGGGTACAGAAAGTTCGGGATTAGAGAAATAAATATCTTTAAACTTTATAGGATTAAGTTTTGTTGAGTTAAATTCGCCTTATATAAATGTTGGATTTTTATATAGACTTTATAATGAGTATATATAGTAAGTATGAGAATATTGACTAAGGTAGTTATTTAAATGTTCAAGACATCTCCGATTTTTGTAGATGTTGGGCAAAAATTCTCTGTTCGTAACGATCACTTGGTAAACATAAATTAACATCAAGATTTCAGTTGGTAAGCATAAATTAACATCAAGATTTTTCACAATCCGTCAACGAATAATTTGCCCTACAGCGAACTGGTGTGGAGAATTTTCCCGTATGTGTACAAACAATTTTAGTACCATAGTTTGGCAAATACATTCTAGAAAATACTTTTTATGCGCACAGATCTCAACTACATTTTTTTTTGAGAACAATGCACAACGTAAGGTATGATTATTATTTCACTGGTTATTAAAATAGTTTATTTTATCTGATTTATATCAAGACAAATAAATGTAGCTAAGTGTCAATCAATATACGGTATATTAAATACCAATTAGCATCTGTAATTCGTTCCCTTCTGTCAGCAGTTGGGACTTCGTTTCTTCGTCATGCATGTATTCAACTGTGTTCAGGGCATAAATGGCGTGATCCAAAATGCCTCGCAGGTCTTTTTCAGTTTCAGGCCTATCTTTATCAGACCATACCACTTTTAATACTTCAGTAATAAGTCTCAATGCTTCACGAAATATGTCTGACGTTACAGAATTTATGTTATTGTGGACTTCGACAAGCGCTTGGCGTGCTTTTAGTACTGTCGTGGTGTAATCCTTGATGGCAAATGCTTCCTCACTTCTACGCAGATACCCTTCTGCTTTGTTCACATAACTTTCATCATTTTCAGTAGCCATTTGATAACTCTATTTTTTAAAACTGTAACCGAAGAAGATTCAAATACTTAATTCATCTGTCATGTAAAATATAATCAATACTGACAAAGGAATATATATGGAAATATGTTGTCATTATCACACTTTCTAGATATGACATGGCTACAGCATGCAAACCTTTAAGTCCATGCATCTAAAACAAATAACTATGCGTATACCCGACATGGGCTGGTGACCGAGCGAGAGCCCATCGTTCGCCATGAAATTAAGACGTCTTGTCGAATTTATTTCTCCCTGTGTCAAATTGAAAATCCTATCCTATCCTTGGAACTGTCTAACTTTATATGCTCAATTTTTCCCTATTGCCATTTTTGCTGCCATGGTAACATATAGCTTGTCCAATTTTTACTCGATCAGGGGTAGCCTACTTTGGATTTCTTCAGTCGAGCTGAAAACTAAATAACGTTAAAATTATGGTATTAATATTTATATAGTACTGATAGCTAGTTTGTAGCCGCCTATCATGAGACTAGCGTTGATCTAATTTGAAAGATCCGCCCTTATCTCGTATACGTCTTCACCAATTTGAATTCGTTGAGCCTATGCGAAACGTTTATATTTCAATAGCTCGAGGCAAGGGCTGAGCTGCGCGCGTTAGCTTGCCATAAACCTCTTCACTTTATTGGCAACATGCCGTAAATAAAAACTAGTTTAAGCATCAAAACGCTAAAATTAATTTGTTTTTAGAACCTAATTATTGTAAAATACTGTCTAAATGTAAACCGACGCCAAACTTTCCTAGAAACAGGCTACAATCACACAAGGTAATATGACGTAAACACACATTTTTAAAACGTGTTGATTACAAGATGATCTGGTTCACGTCCAACACTAAATATGACGTCATGAGTCCTCGGGGACTTGATGATTAACTTTAAAATAGGGAGAAGAACATCGCGACACGATTGATGAGCCTAGTGTTGATGCGAATGAAAAAACATTTCCAGAATTTTTGAAATCAGTCCATTATATTTAATCTATCGGAAGAGGCTGTCTGGAGAATTGCAGCGGTTCGAGAAAGCGTACAATCATGAAATTTTGCTCAACTCGCTGTCGCGAGCATTCGGGTTAATGGAATATACGGTAACTGTAAAATGATTGACAAGCATTTGTACGTTGATAAAAGTTAAATCTGTTAATTCCGTTCGTAAACTTCTAACCGACGATGTGAACTGGATTGACTTGACACGCGAAAGTGATGCCCGAGACACCAGGAAGGTTATCGCTGTCAAGATCAGTAATAACAAGAATGATTGTCTTCTTATCACGTATATCCGTCATAGTTGCTACGACAACCTACAATACACTAGAAACTAGATAGATTTGAAGGAATAAAATGCCACAGTCCGACAGTCGTATCTCAGTTCCAAAGAGTGATACAATCCTGTTTTCCCATGGTAACTCTAGCGTTGCCAGAACATTTCTTAAAAACTTCTCACTCACCTTACAATACATTGATTGACCTATACCAACCATCAGATACATTTAGTAAAAAACAATAAATTGACATGCACTACATCCCAGCGGTGCATTTATTTCGTGAATTGATATTTGATACAAAGGAAGAAAAAAAAGAGGAAAATTGAATCAAAATAAGGACTGAGTGAACAATAAAGGTCCATTTATAGCGGAGCCAAAAAGAAAAAAAATAATAAGAAATACAACAATCAAAATATACAAAATCAAAGCCGTGGTCCTGAATCCAGCAACAATAAATATCCATATTATGGCAGTGAGAGCATTTAGTCTCATTCTTGAATATGATCACTTAACAATAAACAAATCAATCATAAACAGACTTGATTTTTGGAAATAGAAACATTACACTGAGGGACGGAATGGATAAATAAACTATTAATTACCGGTAGGTATCACAATAAGACAATCTGAATGATAAAGATAAATGTAGCTGCTTAACATCAAATGTCGTTATTTTTCAAAAGAAGAATCAAAACAGATTAGGGTCAAACATATTTTGGTAAGCACATACACTTAATACTTTCAGAAGTGTGTGTACCAATATACAGGTAACTAATTCTGTTCACCTATTCTTTACATCAAGTTGTGTAAAGGGACTGAAACCTATATGGTATATTCACTTGGCTAACACAGAAAGTCCCCGAACTCGTAATAGAACTAAAAAGAGGAAATCGGAATAAAATTATGGCCTAACCCTGACCTGGTTCACACACTACGGGAGTACCATACTTTCTCTTAAGAAAAAAGTATACCATTGTGATCTATTTTGAGAATACCAAACATATTTGACAAAATGCTATAATGAAAAAATTTAAAACACTGCATTTATAAGATAAAAAAGGAAGAACACGAAATTATCCAGTGCCATTTGGCTATTTGACGAAATAGTTTAGCTGATATGGACGTAAGATTTATATAAAGGCATATATATATAAAATGATAAAAAAGCAAATACCAAAATTCAATGCAAAGTGACTTGATTAAATCATGTCGATTTAGAGCGGAATTACTCAAATTTGAAGGGGGGAGGGGGGATGGCATGAGGCCGTCCTCTCATCTGGGTGTGCCAAGAGCAAAAGAGCGGGCTTACTCAAAATTGGCCCCTTAGGGGCATGAAGCAGTCCTCTGGGGGCCATGAGAAAAAGCCTCCACTAGCTACCATTTGAGATGAGGGCATTAATTGGAAACGAATTACCTGTGATTTGTTAATTTTTTGATCTTAATGTAATTTATACTTATTTTCAATGTCTGGCTTTTTATTATTAAAGGACGTGAATGAAAAAACTAATGGGAACCTGTTAAATACACAGCTAGTTTTTTTATTGAACAGTAGAGGGCCACGAAGTGTTGAATCTTGAGAGGGGGCTATAGATCATGAGGACCACTAATTTAGAGCTATTGTAGATATTGTAGAACAAAAAGACGTAGGAGATAAATGGGCTGACTTGGCATAGACACACATATTAATCATTTCAAATGGAGAAAATTTTTATGAAACAGATTATATATGATGGAAAGCACCTGTTTCTGGCGACCATAGATCCTAATTAAACCTTATTGTTCAATTCTGGTCCATAAAGATTATAATAGGTATAAATGTTATGGACCAACGTGAAAGTGAATTTCTCCTTTGATCAAAACAAAATGGACAATTTAAAAGCAATACACAATAACGTTTTGTTAATAACATTGGAAATTGGAAGAATACAACAATTACAAAATCAATAAGAAAAGTTGAAGACTTGATTCAATGCAAATAGAAAACATGATTCGATAATATAAAAAAGCAACAATGTAACATTAAAAATAGACTGAAATTTGTCATCATATACATTGAATAACAACTGAATATTGAATCTCAAAAGGCTCAAGTCCGAAATTTCTAATCAACTCAATTATTCACCATTTTATCATTTACTTTCATTGTCAAATTGCTTAAACCGATTTAGGAATATATTCATGTAAGGTAAAATTTAGCTGATATCAGAAATACGGGAAAGCTATTTTGTAATAGAGTTTCAATTTATTCTATTATCCTTTTTGTATTAAATATGTCAACATGAAAGTCATGGTAAAAACCAGTCTGACTCACATAAAGTTTCATAAACCTAGAAAAATCAGCACAATATATCTTGTCTTTCAACCACACAACACAGTATGGTTTATGATATCAGATACAAATTGCTTCAGGCAGATTTAAAAGTTTTGAACGAAATCAAGTGAATATCTGATTACACACTTGCGAAACCACAAATGTCATCCTGTAACAGGGGAGAATTTTTATGTTATGAAACTGTCACGAAATTGAAATTTTTGACAATAATATTAAGCTATCTGTACCTATGATATGACATAGTGAATGTAAAAAGAATTTACTTTATAATATAAAACTTATATATTCATATACTTCCAATATAACTCAAACATAGCTAATGGTGTTGATACACACACTGCTATTTATAGAAGTATGAATCATATATCATAGAATACCATGATATATTTAATAAAAATTTTAAAGTATACCATTTGAAAATGGCTATTATCATGATATATTATTTTCCATTTAGATTCATAACACAAGCTAAATTGTACTACGGATCTTCACATAAGCCTAAAAGTTGGATAATTAAACTTTAACATAATCCAGATTTGAACATATTTGATTAGTATTTGAGAAGAAACGGAATTGAAATTGAATATCTACATTATGAAGTGCTATTACTTCTATATTGAAGTATAGTTGTGTCGCCAACTTGCCATTTCAAAAATATGAATAAGTACCTCAAAATGAAGTGCATTAGACATTAATCAAGTAGATAGTAATCTCATATTTTTTCAAATTAAACGAAGAAATGATTAAAAAAAAATAACGACAGTCTTTCCAATACCTTTAGAATCACAGTATATCAATATGATATTAGTGCAATTTCAGACACTACCGTAAACATGTTAAAAAACGCCATATTTGCGTTTCAGCAAGGAGTATATATAATCAATCAATAGAATCACACAGTAGGCTGTACATTAGTACGTTCCAATTTATTTTATCACAGATGTTGTACAGATTTATATTAAACAGTTATAAATTGAGAAATTTGAGTTTGGAAATAAACAAATCTCAGGATTTGAGTTGGGAAAATTGGTCCTATAATTCAATATAATAATTTTAACAAAGTGAAAATTTGGCATTTACTCAAAATATTGAATCGAACAAAGATTTGGAAAGATTACACAATATTCCCAACGTCTTGGAATACATGTTGTATCAAGAAGGTTTCGAATGCCTTTGTTCAAAAAATACAATAATTGGTCATTGGCAAAAATTGGTCCTCAAAAGCAATAATTTTGGTCCATAATAAGACAACAAAAATAAACTTAAAACTAACATGCATTTTCTTGTAAACAATGTAATCTGTTCTGATATAATGTTAATTAACAACCATCTGAAATATATCCACATTTGGCATTATTTGATTCAATTACAAAATTCCATCATTAAGGAATAAACAACTTCACTTTCTACTAAAAATATTTCCGCACAAAGTATATAATATAAGTAAACAATGGTATTTATATGCAAAAACTCAAAAAAAATTGAGTTTCTATTCATACATTATAATTCGACTAACAATAAATGCTTCTTTAGATAAAACTTTTACTGGCAAGCATGAAGTATTGCTGAAAAAAGAACTTTGAAACGACGTGATGGCAGTATACCACAATTGAGTGCTTGTACTAAGCAGCTGAATATTACTTTTTTTTCATAAGAAGGTATTTATCTGTTTGACTTCGGTGGAATGCTAGCTAAGTTATGAACAAATTTTACACTATACTACAATGCAGTCCATCATTGAGAATAGGCCAAAAGCAAAGAATGATGAAAAAAATGACCAATCCTATACCATGATTCATTAGATTTTGCCAAAGCCAAACCTTGCATTATATAATCTCATAATTAGGGACCGACATGAAATATACCAATAACAATAATATAAAACTTGCAGATATAAGAGCATCCCCACAAAGCAAATAGCAGTTAACATTGGCTCAAAGCAGCATCACAAAACTATAATATTGCATATTATCACTACTTTTTTGTGAATGTACACAATTCGAGGTCAGATTTTTTATGATTTATTTCAGATGTTGAGCTACACTTCAAAATTCAAGAGTTTATGTTTAGCTAAGGTTTATCCTTAAGTGGAAAAGCATATATTTTCATTGATACAATTTTTGCGGTGCTAAACAAAGCAAAGTATCATGTCATCTTGGATAGCCCGCTCAAGTTTTAATGCCACTGAACTTTATTGGAAATCTAAAATTCAAGACCCATCAACTCGTCCTTTGATCACCCAAGTTGCTTCTGGATTAATCTTTGTCAATGCATGCATGTTTGTTCCAGGATCGAGACAACGTTCAAAAATGTTTCCACCGACTTCGTACAAAGCATGGGTTTCATTTGTGATGACTGTGATGCTATTAAAGAAACAAGAATAGTAATAAGCATTTAAAATAATCTTAGATGCAATTATAGTTAGGTCTAACGCTTCAAACACTTAGAGGCCATGCTTAATATAAAGCAATTGCAACAAGCGGACATGTAACAATATAATGAAACATAAATTAAAATTGAAACAGTTGGTCAGCAAAATCCAGACATCTAAACAAGTTTTTCGTGGGTTTCAATTAGTTGAAAAATTGTAAAAAAAAACATGCTTTTGCATAAGCTTTCAAAAAACCCGAGTTATTTTATTTCTTTCCATATTATGCAATATAAGTTTATACTTTCGAGTGCAATAAACCTAATCACTTCAACTCTAAGCATACACATTTCATAAAACGGTAATTAACAAGGTTGCTGTCAGATTAGAGTATATAATTACCCTGGAAAAACTTTTCCTCTTACATGTTTTGAGCATTGTCTATTGACATAACGAGTAACTTACTACTATTAAATTACACCCTACACAAGCAGTTATAGGTATCAATTAAATGAGGATGGTAATTAAGGATTGCAATAGTCAGGATCAATAGCTTAGACTATTATCAGCAACAAATTTTGATGAAAATTGGCAACAGGCAACACTTAGTGCAATTGTGTGCCAGGCGATGCTATTGAAAAAATCAGGAAGGCCAAACTAAATAATCTATCATTCTGAATACATTCTATATGAAATATTGAAATATATACTCAATTGGATTATATTCAACAAAGGACACATAGTTGCATATTGAAAGAGTTGTAATTTGGAAATACAGGAAAGTCAGGATTAACAGTTATTTAGTCAGTATTTCATATTTTTAGGTTTATAAAATGGAAAATATTTTTTGGTAATACTGTGAAGCTTCAATTGCTCAAAATGATGATTCTTTCAATGTAACTATTTTCCATTATTCTTAAAATTAAGGCCCAGTATAAGCAGCCACTGATATACAAAGCTATGTGAAAGATACCATTTTTAAAATGACTGGTTTCTTTCCAATTTGGTATTGCTAACCTAATTTTTACACCTTGGAAAAAGCATGAATATGGGATCTTAACCAGAAAAATGTGTAATCTGACGCTAACGCTTTAATTCCTGGGCCATAGCACGCACAGTACCCAATATATAAATTTGAATAACCTATTTGTTTTAGTCTTTAACTTACTCGCTATCAGGTTGCATTTGTTTCCTTCTTTCACATTGCTTTTGAAATTTGCCGATCACGTCCCCAGCTGATGATTTTATGTCAAGTTGGACTGCCATTGAAGTCATACTGTGATTTTCTACTTTGACACGAATGACACCTTTAGGAACTTCATACTAATAAAACAACATAAATAAGAAAACCATTGAAGATTAGGTAAATAGACAATTTGAACTGTTTACACATGTATTGAGATTCTTTTATTAAAAAAAAAATTTTCCCAAACAAGTCACACACAAAGCACAATGATTTAGATTCGGGGTGTGCAACCTTTAATACATAGGGTACAAGTAACTGGGTGAAACCGCGAAATTTTGGTTATTGATCTCATGATATGCGTTGTTTACTTCGCACAAGCTAGCTTCGGGCATTGTAACGTCATACGCATAAATAAGAGTCCCATATTGACATTACAACATGAATGTAAATGGTGCGAAATATACACAAGATTCAATACTTGCTCAATTAGAGAATATCTTATTGGGTATGTTTGACATATATTCTTTTCCACAAGGCGAGACTGCCTATAAAGTACTCATATTTCTCATGTTTCAGACTAAAATTTGGAGAATGAAACTTTTCTGAATTATTGTCCCGTGCATTTTCATTATTTCCATCTATCCCAGATCAATGGTGTCTATATTTAACAAATTTAACTATTACCGGTAACTAAAATATAAATTTACCTCAAACTGTTGTTCTTGTGTTAGTGGAGATTTTGCCAACTTTGTAGCTGGATCTTTTGATTTTGTTATACCAGGAAACTTTATCTTCAGCTGGAAAATAAAATTAGAGTAATTCCAACTATTCTATACTGCACAGAATAGGCTGAACATATCAACATTAAAAGTAAAAATGATGAAAAACTGTTCTACCTTATCTTTTGATTGGCCATGTCCATGCTTTTTAGAGCTTTGTTCTGCTTGATTCATATTCCGTACCTGTGAAAATATTATTTCAAATTATTTGAATTGGATGGGGAGAGTATATTTGAGTATTAGTGCTTTTATTTTGTAAGTTCACCGGACGAGTAACCGAGGTTTGCCATAATGATTAAGCCGTCTTATCGACTTTCCGTAATAAATAAAAATCCATATTTTATCATAACTAACTTACATAAAACTAACCTGAGTTAACATAAACGTAGGAACAGTCCATAACAACTTATGATATTTTATCAACATTCGGACAATATTCGATGTACCGGCTGCATGTTTCACATCTTGACTTGCCGCAAGTGCACTTGGTGTTTCTCCCCTCTAAATATGAATCATACATAATAATGTTAAAATGATTATAAAAAATAATGTTATTCATTTCAAAATTCATGCCTTGATTAAAGCAAATCAAGAATTTATACAGAACTAAAATGTAAAAAATATTGAAAATTTATTGAACCAAGTTATTTTATCAGATGTGGGATCGGTATGCTCAAGATATATGATTTCCCACTACGACTTCGAGTTACAGGGCGTTACTGAAGTTGTGTCCTATCACTTGGCCCCCGAATAGAAGTCTTCAATTCACACACTAACAACTGACAGTTTAAACACCAAACCAATACAATGTCCCTGATGAGTGATGCCTATAAGCGCAGCTGATGCAATCTTCAATGACTGTACACAAAAGCAAAAGTGGAAAACAATAAGCCTTGTGCTAACACTAAATTTAATCGCAATCTCAACAAATTCCTTAATCTATTATATAGCTGAAACATCAAAATTTGGTTTCACATTGGTTGTGGCAGCATCGCGCAGGCCAGATTGAATTACCCAACGAGCCGGATTTGACCCGCGGGCCGTAGTTTGCCCATGCCAGGTGTAAATGCATTCAAAAGAGCTATAAATGCAGCTTGTTGAATACAATTAGTGGGGAGAGTTTGTGTTTGTGTTAATCATTACTATAAGTCTTGATCTCCCACTGTATGCATTGGGCGGCCAGAATTGGCTGTGCATGGTAAAAATATCTAAATGGCACTCCACATACCAGTGTCTATAATTGCTATTCACCTTTGTGAAAAGCAATAAACTAGAATTCAATTGAATTTAATATGAATTCCTACAGATAACTCATACTTCAATGTCATATTTGGATAATAAAGATACCGATAAGACAATATAAATATTTAATTGTTTCGTCACATATTGTTGGCAGAGTACTATTTATAGGATCGAGATCAGCAGTAGGTAGATAAAATATGTAGAAAAAGGTAATTAATTAACTGTGTGTGTAATAATAGAAATAAAATATCATTTTTAGGGAAATACTCAATGAAGTGAAAATGATCTATTTCATATTAGTGTGAAATACATTTTATTGAAAAAAAAAAAAATTCTTTTAAACGGAAAAATTATGCTCAAAAAGTCCCATATTAAATTGGATGAGACAACTTTGATGTGCTTTGTGCAACAAATGATAGGCATATAAAGATGTATCAAATGAGTAAAAGAGTTACATAAACACTGATTAAAATTTAAAAAAATGGTGAAGATGTATCGAGAATTGACTTTATAACAAAATTGAAATCAAAATGTGATTTCATGACAACGTATCATTTTGGATATCCATGTATATTTTAATTTATAAATGATAATTGAAAGACATTTTGCAGTACAACCTCTCTTTCCTACCTTGCTTTGTTTCTTTGCCATAAACAAATTAGGAGCCATAATCATTGCGACGTTGTTCAGAGTCATTTTATTCACTTCTTCTTTCGCTACGACTCGACTTAAGAATTTAAGTAATAACTTGAGAGAATCTCGATGGACGTCATTTAATAAAATAATCAGTAGATTCAGAGCTTGAAGTTGTTGTTTACGATCCGGAATCACTGAAATTAAATATTATATCCATGAGTGGTTAGTACGTCATAAATTAGGTTGAATTTACTTGACAAAGTTAACAGGTTGTCTTTTTATAATTTCTCTAAGGAATTCAATTGTTACTTTCCGAAATACAAACGACAATGAATTGGTGAGAAAATTTGACTTATTAACATGGAATTATGACAAGGTAGAATTTTGTAACACGCGTTCCTTTAATCAAACAATGCGCCACGTTCCCTTGTTTTTGTGCAAACAAACAATCATAATGCAGCATAGTTTTCGATATATCCGACCTTACACCTTTCTCAAAATGTTAAATTTAACAGGGTTTGGTCATTTTACGACAAGTTCTAAACCCTGGCAGATAAAAGCATCCTTTTTACATAGCGTATTTTTATGGCTTTGCCCCGAACATGGCTCTGTACAAGCAGTCACTCAATCGCAGGAAGCTACTTTCTTTTGTTGCCTTCGTTGCCTACCCTTGGGAACCATTGGTCATAAACCCTAATTACCCCCAATTCATAAACTTGCTGGTTATTTTGACATTGACGAAATTGTGGTAAATTGAGTCACTTATATGATGGCTCACTTGACGTCTACATTGAACACATAGAGGGCAGAATTTTCATTAGCTGTCGATAATAAACAAAATAGAATCATTCAGTTTGTTTAATTTGACAAACAAATACGTCTTATCAATTTCATTCTTCAAATAGGAGTGATAAATGAATTACGGTGCCAGAGAACATTTCTCATTGCAGTTCTAAAGACCAAGGCAACCTTGTATTCAAATATGATTAATATCATCTATATTGTTATAGTTGAAAAATAATACCAATTTCATGTCATATGGGGTCATAAAGATACCTCATATGTTAATGAGTATTCAACTACTTTCTATGTGCAATTTTCTATTACCTAATGATGGTCATTAAGGTTTTCAAATATTGTATGACCAACAAAACCACATAAAAGAATGTGTTTTATTACCACTTGCCATATATGAGCCATGAATGATGAAGTATAATGTTCTTTCTAGGGAAGAGGAAAGCCTGTAAACCAGCTTAATTATATGGCGAACCACAGACTCCTATGGAATTACCAGTCCATGTCAGATATGGTAATAGTTACCCAACTATTTGTTTCAGATGCATGAATTTGTTGGTGGAAGAGGCCGTAACCAACCAGCGGTTACGTCGTGTATGGAGTGCAACAATCCTCTCGCTCATATCCCACAGAGTTAGACTTGCAAACCGGTTCGGGGCAATCAGAGGCATGATGGCAAGCATAATTCTAATGCTTAGCATGATCCAATACTTTGAAAAAACTGAACAGTAAACTTCAAATTTCAATTAAAAGTAAGCAAAAAAAAAGTTAAATTCCTTACAATCGCATGACTGGAAAGCATCAATATATTCTTGCGTTAGGAGTGGGTTCGGGAGTTCCCTGAGAAATTGTTTCAATAACGCTGCAACATCATTTGTACGAGCTTCATTCCATCCTGCTTTTGAATCAAGAAGAACTGTCGGTGATGTTTGGCTGAATTTACTTTCCAATTCCTGCAATTCAATGAAATATATTGATTAGAATCACCGAAGTGAAGACTTGAAAAATTGGACTAACGCTACGGTTCCCAAGTGGGGCACCGCGTCGATTTGCTAAGTGCGCCCTAAAAATCAACAGAATTGTGTGGAACATAACTACGAAATATATGATTGAATATTTCACATATTGTATTTATTATAAATGTTTTGTTGTTTCTTATTTTATATGCTGTGTATATGAAACAATAAATTCATTTCACCTTTCTATGTCGTTTGCTTTTATTTGCGTAGTGTCTGCCCTTATTGTTACGTAACTACGTAACAACAGAAATAGACACACTTGCTGCAATTTCGCAAGCTGCAGTTAATTTATCTGCTGAACTGAGTTTAACAAACATGAGTGTTTTTCAAGTATTTTAAAAGAAAAACAGGCAAAGATGAGAAAGAGAAACTTTTGCCTTTATTCTTTAGGCCTACATGTTGACAAACTTTGAAAGACAGAGAGTACACATTAACAATCACAATATTGAGTTTTATTCAAAGCAGCATTTTTTTTCATGCAAGTGCATCTGCGGGTTTAGTCAACTTCAGCAGGTTAGAGGGTGATTGATAAATTCAATATATAATTGAAATTTCATAATAAAAAATTGGGGTATGTATGCATATGCAAAGAGAATGCAAACTTGTAACAATAAAATTTAATAAACTTTCAATAGTCCGGATCTAGGTTTATTTCGTTATCAATAAAATTTCTCATAAAATGTTCACAACACAATAAATGGTTTTATAGTATGTAATTGTGGCCAAAACCCCTAAATTTTTCAAATTTATTTGTGGGTGTGATGCATTGAATACATTTAAATTTGATCTCAAATAAATAATAAAATAAACTGATGAAAAAGAAAAATAGGTACGCGACAAAATATGAAAAATTTACAATGAAAAGCAACCAGTTTAATTGAAAATAACTAAAATGTATTTGAAATTCCAGTAGTAACATGTCAATAGAAATCTAATATTTTGGACCATATGTGGTTAGCTGGTAGAATATAAAATATTACTAGTCATGTATTGCCTCATACACAATCTGGAATAGTACCCAGACGAAATACATTGCAGTCAGACACATATGATGTACTACTATAACTAACAAAAATAACCACTACATGGTGTATGTCTTTGATATTTGAGCTATTCAGACATAATTGCTGACATTTAAGATATTGCAATTCACAATTTCTTCACTATGCTAATAACGACCGAACCATTAGTTATAAAAAAAAATATAGGAAGACATTAGAGTCATCAGGAAACTCTGATAGGTTGGCGGTTCCGTGACTCATATTTATTGCGAGTGACATCATATAGGTTACAATGGTAAATGTGTTGTTACAACAAGATTCATGAAATGACATGAACTGATTGTCAGCGAAAATAATACATAGTACATACACATATGAAACTAGGGTCAACGGCTATTCATTATAATATGTTGTTGTTGTTATTAAGGTTAATTGTTATGAATGCTATTACAAGGTTAGATTTATGCTTGTTCAATGACCAATTTGCACTTTAAGCACTAAGAACTGTTTTCATTATAAGGGTTCATTACCTAGTGCATAGTGAATAAGATTTATACATTGCGGAACAATTGATTACTTACTCTATATATATATAATATGTATATGTATATATTTTTTCCCAATAAAGATTCATCAAATTTATTATAAATAAGAATAATTAAGAAATGTGATATATAAAAAGAATTTCAATAAATACACAATCTATCAACATAAAGAATATGTCTAGTCCATTCTAAACACCTAAACCAATATAACATGAAATGTCTGTATTATAAGGGCTTTATATTTGAAACCTTATATACAGGTAATTCCAGGTTTGAATGACACTAAATTCCTCTTTAATATTATAATTTGCTATAGTTTTTGCTGTAAAAATTTGCCACAAATTCTGATTTTACTCTATAAAGAATTAACAACCTTGAAAAATATTATTTTTCGTTTCGCGTTATTTTCAAAAACACTAAAATATGTTTAGAAAATGGAGAACTTCAAGATTTAATAGCATTCCTTAATCCCCCCATATTGACAACGTGTAAAGAAAAAAGGAATTTACAATATTTCTGGTAATGACTGGGTAGGCCAAGGCAAGTATAGATACGCAGAACACGTCATTTTCATTTAAAACTAGAATTTATACACCAATTTGAATACTTTAAAACTAATGGTCAAATAATTTTAATTATATCCTTACCTGTTTTAAATTTTTTATTCTGACTGCTGAACCAGGAACACGTAAAATGCCTTCATCTTGCAAGCCGTTATTTTCCAAGAAAGTAATGGTTTCTCTTAAGACTAAAGGAATCCTTAATTGAGGATTAGATTGCCTTTTCTGATCCGATTCAAGTAACGTTGTAAGTGGAATACCAAACAGACCAGTTTCTGTATAAAATAGAACAGAAATAAAAGATTACAACTGGAAACTACAAAACATAATAAATATTAATTTATGCTCATTCATGCTTGATCTCAAAATCAATCACATTCAAAGCTGTGCTTTATCTATGACCCATGCTCAATCCGCTGTTTGTCTTCAAGCATTTTGGACATCCTGTTCTCCTTATCACAACAAGATATGAATAGTTGATCAATACTTTATTTCAATCTTGCTACTAAGTCAAAGCCAACTTGGTAACTAGGGATATTCAAATTAAATTAAATATTCGAATCCACATTTTGAATTCCTAATTTTAAGAATAATTTGACATTGTTTTATTCATAAATTTACATATTGGGCAAATGAAGTCTCACAACTCATTGATCTTTAGGAGTTTTTTATTGCACAAGACAAATTTAAAATATATTCGATATTTGATAATAGTATTTTACAATGTATTCAGAATAATAGATTATTCTATTTTTAACATCTCATTAAACAACAATATTTAGCTATGATCAGGGATGTGCAACCTTTAATACAGGAGGGCCAGATACAAATACTGGGTGAAACCGCGGGCCACACCTTTATTTATCGAAGGCTTTCTAGTAGTTGCAGGCACAAAAATTTGGTCGTTGATCTTATGACATGCGTTGTTCGCTTTGCACACGCTCAGGTATAGGCTTTGCAAGCAAAAGGATTGGAATTACTTGCATGTGCTGAATTAAAAACTCGTTTTGCGGGCCGCACAGCATTCAAAATTGGCACTTGTCCATGGGCCGCATTTGTCCACGGTTTGCACACACCTGAGCTAGATAGTGAATTTTAGAAGTGAGCAAGACAGAACCCAGTGGAGTTGTTCGTTTATACAAGAGACGACTACATGGGCGGCAATCATACCTTTTATCTTTGGTTTTCCAAATTTCCTCCTTTTAAGTTCAATATTATGAAGATCGAAAAGTGCTGTTAATTCTATGAGTGCCAGACTTTGTACTTTTCCAATATCTTTTGCAGAAAGATCACTAGAATAAAAATCAGAAGACGTTACAAATAGGCTAAGAAAAAGTCGAACAATGTTCAGCGGTTTTGGCATAACCAAGTTGTTTTTAACTCTATGGCACCCAAATCATGTTAAACCTGCGGTACATGATGGCCCTTCCACTCACAATCATAATCCTTAATTACGCTTGATTATATAAAGTTAAAGTCTCAAAATGAAGGCCAATTAGCTAATAATAAAATGATACAGGATTAAGAAGGTGGTGGAGATACTCTATAATGTATATATAATATTTACTGATTAGAGGTGACGCTTTTAGCGCCCTATGCTCCAAAATTCAACCAAGTCAAAATCCAGTACAAATATACCTTATTCTTGTTATACCCAATCTGTCTTTAACTAATGAAAAATTTGGCAAGTTTTCTTGATCTGCTGTTTCACTGTAGCTCATAGGTTGCTTGCTCTGAAACAAAGAATTGGTTCAAAATTAGTTTAAACATTTTTTTAATCTTTTTACTAAAGTCAAACACTTTTCAAGACTGCTTAGTTGCCCTGTCTACTACAGAACTGCCTGGCGGTTTTGGGTATCATGCTAAGCATCAGGAGTATGCTTGCCGTTGAACCTCTGATTATCCTGCACAAGTACTCAGATTCAAATTTTTTTGGGGATAATTATGTGTGCAAGGACTCCTTGCTATCATAGGAAGGTTCACAAAACAGCTGGTTAGTTTCGGCTTCCTCCACAATCGAGTATATGACAAAAGAACAGGTTAACTATCCCCATATCCACCATGGACTGGACTTGTAACCAGACGAAAAGCCGCGGTTTGCCAAATAATTAGGCCATCTTATTGACTTTCCTCTACACCAAAATAAAAATCTTACCCCCAATAAGAATGTAAAAAATGTCTTTCAGTGACAGTGACATAACATTAATGAGCGGGAGTAAAAAAGTGAAAAGTTAATGTTACTTAGTAATCAAGATACATAGTTGAGTTTGAGGTGAATGACCCAATGGTATTTCTCATCATAACTGATGGACCAGTGATGGTAATGGGGAGATGATCCCACAACAGATGGAAACAAGTAAAAATTATCCAGTAGGATTAACAAGAAGGGAAATTTGAGCCAAGTCGGTGGCACAATTATTTTGAATATCCTGTATTTGCTAAGAAACAATGTACTTTAACAGGCATCGAAAATCGCCTATTGACGCACTTTATGACCAATTCATTATGAATCTAATTCTTTGATGACTAGGCAAATGGACAATGCAGCTCAACGAACACAACGAAAATGCTGGTAGAGCACTATTTAAAATTGGTGGTATCTACATCTATGGTAATTGTACATCTACTAGAATTTTAATGCAAAAGCCAAATATGGGATGTATAAAAGAATAAAGGCATTTTTATACAATAATGTAAAATGATAAAACTGTAATTATTCATTATTGAATAGGGTAACACATTATACAATTTAGAATTGTTATTACAAAAATGATTCTAAGTAAACGTGGAAAAAAAAAGTTACAGTAGCAATTCGTAAAATGCTCAAGTATGAGATCGCAACTTTTTTAAAAAAAAAAGTATTTATGTAGTTAGATATATAATAGAGAAAAACAGGAATGAAATATATTTTACAAGGGCAGCATATTTACTGTTTGCTAAAGAGACAAATACTTCTGCAAAGTATACTCAGTAGTATTTGAAAGCAAACATTATTAGGAGATAATATTTACCCAAATTAAACATGGTTTCTCGTTAAATATTGAGCTATTCGCAGTAAATCATATGTTCAAATAAATGTATTGAACGAAATTCCTTGACAAGAAGAGAGAGTTCCAAACAATATTGATTATTACTGAAGTTTATTAAACAATATTTGTAACAAACAGTTGAAAACCCAAAATTATCTACATTTCGAATAACATTATATATCGCTTTTAAAATCTCATGTAACATAATTGTGGTCAATCAAAACTGCTTCCTAAATTTATAAATCATATGCACTCTCAGTTCTGAAATATACCCTTAGTATTTGATATAGTCCTAAAATTATGAATTTGCTTTTATGAAATTGAAAGACATTGTGAAATGTCAATCCTTCTATTAACCATATTAAATTCAACCATATTGGCAACTTGACTACCATAAAGTAATAGCCTATTTAGTATAAAATTGTTAAATCTGCATTCAAAAAATACACTGTAAACAGGATTTAAAAACATAATAACTGTTTACAGCGTACTATCTCATTCATAATAGATTACTTAGTTGAAATAAAGCTGTCTACATCTAAATGGATTGGTATTTTAGAAATCTACCTGGATTATCAAACCATCAAAGTTTTTATTTTACAATAAAATAGGTCAATTACTTTGAATAAGTAATTTGAAATATTCATTACAAATCATGTTTAATCACACATAATCTTATGTTTTTCTGATTTTTTGTTGTATGACGAGCATGTGTTACTGATGTACTATTAATTAATATACGTTACATAGGATGTCCGAACAAACCGAATATACAAATTGATTTCATAATTAATTGTTTGATATTAAAGGAATAATTTAAGAATGTTTCATTTAAAAAAATATCAATTTGAGTAATTGAAGTGCAAGAAGAAAAGAAACCTTGAACATGCTATGATTTATATATCACCCAATTATTAAGTATATATTTAATTTTCCATATATTTGAAAATATTATTTTACAAGATGTCAAAATGATTTTTCTTATATGGCTTTGTCCATCCCTAGTACTACGACACCTAGATACCTATTTATAATTAAATATTGGGTTCTTATCACGAATGTTAAAATAGAACATATATTATACCTTGTTATTATTGTCTTCGGTAAAATTATCTCGCCAACTTGTGTCTTCTGTTGAACGTGTTTGTATGCTTAATGTTTCAATTCCACCTGTAAAATTAATAGAAAACGATAAATCAATTTTTCTGTGATGTGGAAAATCATTTTGAAGAGAAAATACATTAAATGGGCAGACACCAGATTTTTGTGAATTTTTAGGTCTGGATACTTCATTAATTATTTAATGATATCGACAACAAAACAGCTAGAATTTTTTAGGCAGCCTACAATTTGAAAAGAAAAAGATAACATTACAATTCGCTTTTTTTGAAGGGTGGTTCACTGAACGCCCATTTAAAATAGTGCTTAAATATAACATCTCTATGAATTTGAAACATTTATTAAACTATACTTCGCTCTAGATTTATTAACCAAGCAAACTAAACAGTAAATCATTCAACAAAAAATAAAAAGGTCAATGTCTAAATCGCATAAAAATAGATTCATTTTCAACAATGACGCATTTTACACGCTAAAAGTATTCAGATCAATAGCATTTTGCATTTTAGATATACTGAAAATTGAAATGTATATTATATAATTTCGATACAGATTTGGAATGGAATTTTTCGTTCCACAAAACATTACATAAAACAGACCTTTCTCAATCATGATGTTTAATGCTTTTGGGTTTATTATTTTGCTAAATGATATAGAGAAAATATGTTCACTGGGCTAACGTTTTCGACCACTGGCCAATTTAATATACATGTTATTTATACGAGCTTAAATATTCCTCCTAAAATAGCCTGGAAATAATGTTGAAAAATCTGCCAAATGTTTACTTAATCACATTCTATCACTTTAATATAAGATCCATTTTTTTTAAAAACAAATAAATAAACTAAGATGATTGCATGAAATGAAAAAAAGTAAAAACAATAACAATTGCAAATGAACGAAACTGATAAAAATAAAAATAAATATGAAGGTTCAAGCGTCTATGAGCTATATAGCGTTTATGTTTGGAAATGGTATAATGCATACATTTAAAACCCCAAAAACCAAACTTATTTCAACTCTGCAAAACAGATGTCAAAGTTATTATAGTAAGTTTTATTCTTGTAAACAATTTGAAAGCCATATTTAGCATGTGCACTCAGTAAAAAAATCTTGGATGAGTAAGCCATGTCACAGTTGTCAATACCATTAAAGTTAATAAAAAAAATTTAAAATACTCAACATAAAATAAAAAAGCTGAAAAGAGAAAGGAAAAAATAAAAGAAAATGAAAGAAGGTCCAGGAGAAACATGCAAATCAAGCAATCAACAGAAGTTTTTACTATATTATAAAACAACAAGCGACAGACTTGATGATTTACGCTTGGAAGATGAGTCCAATGTTCCCTTGAATGAAGCAGGTTCGCCATAAAGGCTAGATGCACGTTTCAGTCGACGCAGTTTCGGAGAATGACGTCTAAGTTTGTACGAACCATGGTGAGTAGGAGATGTTGTTAAACTCGAGACTGACAGAGTGGAAACTTTTGGGAGAGACATTTGGAAATATTTCAAAGATTTACGTCGAGGAGACAAGGTAGTTGATTTCGTTCTACGAGACCGAAACGATGAATTTCGATGCGGTTTGTGACTAGAAGGTAATGTGTGCCATGGAGTGTTAGGAAATTGTAAAACATCACTTGAAGACAAATTAAGTGCGGATGTGAAAGATATGAAGGAATCATCCGATTGTTGAGATTCATCGTGTAAATCGGTAACTGAACTACTATCTGTGGACTGATTTTCATCGCTTGACGATGCTACTATAGTCGGGTTGGAACCAGTATTTTTCAAGTCAAAAACTTCTTTCGGCAAGGAAATCTTGTCTGTATCCCCACAATCAACTGTGAGCTGAGGAGAACTAGACGGTAAAATTGATGAAATAGGGGATGGAGACTTTGAAAATACACTGGTTGTCAAATTGATACGATGCAGTTCATTTTGTAATGCCTGTACATTAGGGCTTGTAGGTGTACTGCGTATGACTTTAGTCTTTCTTGTAGCGGTCGTTGACGTTGTTAGGGTGATAGGAGAAAACTCGAATGGCTCAACCACAATTTGTTTTGTACTTGGAGACAAATGGCTTGTAAATTCACTTGATAAGACACGATTTCGAACGAGTATTGAACTTTTGGGAGTTTGTGATACGCCATGCAAGAACGATTTATTGGGCGAAATAAATGACGGTGGTTTAGCATTCACAGAACCTGAAAAGGACACTGATGATGGGAGATGTGAATATTCTTTATGCTTAGAAGAGGAGCTTCCGGGAGAAAATGTGAAATGAGCAAATTCAGCTTCGTTATGATCAGGTGTGTCACTACCACTAGTTGAACTGGTCAAAGGGCCATTATCGGAGGGAGAGGTGCAATCATTAGGAGCCGATATAGAACGAGCACGTAAGAAAGCTTGAGAGCGAGACAAAGAGCAAGAGTGAGTATTTGATGATGATGGCGGTGGCAAGGTATTGCTGGCATGAATGTGACTTGGATGCACTGAAATAAAAATGCAAAAAGCGATGTTCAAATAACAATTTTGATGAGAACCATAATGAACAAAAAACGTGGAGTCAGAATGCACAAGTTTACAATATATATTAATAATCATATTTGGTGCAAATTAGGATCTTACCGCAGTTTCAAGATGAGAAGGGAATAGAGGGTTAAGAAATGAGAAAAGTGAGAGAAAACAGATGATTGCATGCATATTTGATTGCTTCGATAAACAAAACGCCAAATGATACGTTATAACTTTAATAATTGTCGCAGATACAGAGCAAGAAATTGAGGTAAGTCCAAACATAAACACCAAGTATGCTTAATCCGAAAATACTGAAAATAATTTTATACACAAATTTTATTCTAAACCTGCCAGCATAATAGATTTTATAATTTGTCAATGGTTTCAGTCACCAAAAAAAATCTAGATGATCGAATTGACATAAAAGAACTGCCATATAAACCAAACTTTTCAGTTTAGAAAAACAACCAATTTATTACAGTCACTATCTGTGGCTTTTAGTAACTAAATAAACCAATCAGAACTCAACTCAATGATTTCAAATCTATGAATTCACAGGACTATACCAATATGACAATGCTAAACCAATGTTTCATATTAAGCATGACACCCTAGAATGGAATCAAAGTTCAATCGAAGTTGAAGAAAAATTCAATCAATATCATAGGTGTATAGCTGCATTGTCAAATACTGCGTTATATGTCAAATCTAATTTTATCAAATTATTTATCAAAAACTATAGTGCTGAAAATTATTTTCATTGAAATAAAGACATAAATACACATAATCTTTGGGTACGAATACAAAATAATCAAATACCTGAATAAATATTCTAAGATATTTATATATAAAATGCCGACTTTCGAGACTAATTCTATCATACCAAAAACAATGACGAGCCCAAAAGTGGTGAAAACTGAGGTGAAAACTGACCAGCACACAATGCCCTCACTTTCAACACTATCTTATCAAAAATATAACAGCAAATGTTAATAACAGGCTTTCATGTGTAAATCTACTTTCTCTATTTTAAAAATATAGTGATATCATGGTAGACAACAACTAATAATATAAAGAAGTTAAAAAATTGAATCAGACAGATTTAAAAACTAAAAAATAACATAAAAATAATATATTAGCTTTTCACTAACCTGATGGCTCTGTGGCAACAATGGAATCGAGTGCTTCTTTTCTCTGGTAACCTTTTTGGTCAAGTTTGACAACATGGCCCGCTTCGAGAGAAGACGTGGAATAAGCTGACACTATTGAGGTACTCAAAAAATGGCCATCAGTGTCAGTCATATTTGTACCTGTCGGCCGATGTGTGACCTCAGAATAACGACGAGGGTATGGTTCACCATCACCAAATCCCCCTATGTTATAAGGTAAGCTTGTTGACTTCGATGTTTTCTTATTTTCCTGAAAACAGATAGGTGTTTTATTTATTACTAAAGATTTTGAGGTGAAACTCTACAATACATTAAAATAGTTGGATATTTCAGATAAATCTTACCTATTTTAAGTATTCTAAACTCATTATTGAGGCAGAACGATGACGAACACTATATAGTAAAATGTATTATATTATGATTTAAATCATGATTACACTGCAAAATGACAAAACTATATAAGCAGTCATCATTAATATTCCAATTCTGAACATTTGATTTTTTTCGATAAGCTCCATTTTGTCTTTCATTCAAACTGAATCAATAATGACATGAACGTAGGCAAAAGAGTGTGTACATAAGTATACTGCATGTGTGCAAAAGTTATATTGTAAAACATAATTACGATATATTGATAGCGGTTATCACACATTTGACTGGGAAGTAAACAACCACCTATCATGATCATACAAAGTAAATTTGTTCTACACTTGGACAATCCACAAGAGTCAATATCATTAAAACTTACTGTAGTTGGTGTTGGTGACAAGGTAACTTCCACTGATGGTGGTGGAGCAAGTGGTGGTTTTCCTGAAACTCCTTCATTATTTGTATTAGAATCGCCATAATTTTGTGGAAACACTGCATTGATATGAGGCTTAGGACGCCTTCTAGATTTTTGTGCTCTATTAAATGAAGTTATCCTTCGTAAAACCGCCTCACGTTGCGGCCTAGTAAGAGTGGATAAAATAGTCATTGATGTTAAGCTGTCTGTAGATAGTCTTGCAGCTGTATTTTCTTTATTCCCCTCATTTGGTCCTGACTGTGCTCCTTGAGATAAAGCTGCAGTTGTAACAAGGTCTGCAAGACCAGCTTGCCTGAACCAGTCACCCTCATCTTCGTCATCTGTGAATGAGAAATGTAATTTTGCAAGGAATTACAAAAGAAGAATAGGATAAAATGTCATAACAAAACTTTTGATCAATCTTACAAAAAAAGATAAACAGTAGCTAGAACAAAGGTGGGCAAGGACCGCCCACATTCAGTTACTCTTTTTTGCAAAGGCCCACATTGAAAAATTGACTGTGATGTCACAGTTACTATACCATTTGCTTAGCCAGTTTTTAATTCTAGATAAATGAGGCTAAAAAAATCTGAAATTTATATGTAATGATAGTTGCAAGAAATTTTAGCAACTTTCTACATGAACAGGGGAGCTGCAAAAAATTCTATAGTTTGTCCATCTCCAAGTTCGATTATTCACATGGCAGTCACTGTTTATTGTTCGGCCAATTACCTTGATGAGTAATTTTTGCATGCAGTGGCGACGTCTATACAAAGCGAATAATATTTATTATACAATTATAATAACTACAATTACCTGTTCCTCCCGAATCGGTTCGTGTGACACTCCGTCTATCATCGAAATCATCATCTTGAACAATTATACTTTGACGTATATCCTGATACTCTCGCCAGAAGTCATCATATTTTCCAGCACTCATGGGTTGATGATTGGTTGTGTCGTCTAATTTTGAATTGTTTTCTCCAGCTAGAAAAAAAAAAGAGTAAAAATCATGCTCATGTTTGTTTAAACGAGAACCCTTCTTACTGAATGGGTCACACATTATATTTTTAACAAGTAACAGATTTAATTAGGGAAACTTGCTATCGCATCTTCCCAGCGAGTGTTATAAATCCTGGTTTGATATTGCAGAGTTTAGAGTTTTACACATGCATCATTACAAATTTTTTATCACCAAAATGTTAGTAGAATAACAAAAAAAACATAGCGAGGCATTGCCATGGATCAGTGGTTAACTGCTTTAATAAATCATAACCTCAACAATCAAGGTATCAATCGAGACATAGGAATAGTTCTTAGGTTCCACTTTTTTTTTAATTCTACCGGCGCTCCTGAAGTATGTGCGCCAGGATGGCGCACAACCTGAACCCTAACCTGGGACACATGCTATGTTCAGGCTGTGCGTCATCTTGGTGCACATACTTCTGGAGGTCCATTCTACCTGTTGTATATGACATAACAGGTCTAGTATGATCAGTTGTGTGTCCGTTGCTTTCAGTGCTCCCGATACTGTCCACAGAGTCACAAGATTTTTGCCTGTTTAAAAGAATCTCAGATATCAGTAAGCAGAGTATTTGAAATGTAGCCTATTAACATTATGAATATAAAGACTACATTTAGTGTGAGCATTACATTCTGATTGAAGCCTAAACCGGTATTCAGTTTATTTTATTTAAAACAGTATCTAATTCGTGGCATTAAAATATTTCCAATTCCCAAATGAATAACTGTGATAACTTTATAGCAAATATGTGAAAATGAGACATATTGGTAGAAAGGATATTCAAAAATAATCACGACAAGTGAGCGGTGACCATAAGCATGATATAAAAGCATTAAATTTTTGAATTCAACAATTGATATAAAATGTTGTGTTCCTTATGCATCATGCGATTTTAATCTATAATGGGCATCAACATAAATTACAAAAAAGGGCTCGTTCAACCTTCATATTGCAATTATTCGATACTAAGTTAAATAGTTTTGTGTAGTCAGTTGGGCGAACAACTGAAGTGAATAGTTTTGGTTTATCAAAATGAAATATTGCTGCATATAATATACAATGATACAAGATTATATTCATACATTTGGAAACTAAAGAAAATTAGTATTAAATCCCATAAATAAATGATAATAGTACCTTGAATATATTCCACTGTCAAGGCTATCTTCAGATTTACTTGTTGATTTTGACAAGGGTACAAGAGTCGGTCCACTCATGGGTGGCGGGCTATTAGAGACACCACTGTCAGCGGGTGATATTGGTTGGTCTAAAGCTGAGTTTCCACTATCTTCTGTGGATGAAAACACTGAATCATCCAATATTTCCTTTTTACTTTGTTTATCCTTTTTTAAGCTTCTCTTTCGAGTCACTTTAGAAGCAAGTTTTGCAAAACCAGATTGTTTTTTGAAAGATGGAGAATCCTTTTGCTTAGATTTTGATTTATTTTCCTGTTTATCCGAAACTTCATCAGAGTAGTCCATTTTAACTACATTCCAATTTCAATTTCTAAATATGATGACATTATTGTGACGCCATTTCTCTCACTTTTCAACTAAATTATTTTCTGAAGAGGTTTAATAGAGGTTATGAATACGCAAAGTCTTTTTATTACCAAAACTAATAATCATTGGGCCTGAAAAGCTAAGCACCAATTTGTAAGCATGTTACGAAAAAATTAAAGTTTATCCGATTCGGATGAAAACTGCACCAGTAGATTGATCTCCAAGTAAAAGTAAGAAAACAATACTAATTTGCAAAAAAACGTACAATAGTGAAAACCATTGGGATACTAAAATAATAAACAATATCAACGAAACATGTGGACAGTCAGGCAGTGTGCATGTAAATGATTTTCATAATACAAGGCTTGGTATCAAACTTTGATTTGTATATTTCACATATTATTTTTGTACATATTAGCAAAATCGTCCCAGATATTATGCACCCTTACAAACCAACTGTCAATGCACCTGGAATATCTTACAGCTAGGGCAAAAGTGCAGGGCATTTAGTATTGCAGTATTGGGTGACCTGAATTCCCCCTAGCTTTTAGTCAAGATTTATCTGCTGAGTGGCCAAAATTGTTCGGTTTAAGGTGAGTAGTTGTGAAATAAGTAGATTGTTTATGTAAGAAATGTTTTTTTTGTGAATACTGCTCAACTCTAGTAGACTATATTACATTGGAATGAAATTTAGGTATATTCAGAAATTGAACTGGTTTTTTCAGTGACACCAGGATAAAATAGTGTTTGTACTAACAACACACTTAGAATAATAGAAGATAGAATAGAATAATAAACTAAGTCTCAGTAGGCTGTAATGAAATGTGGGCCAAAACAAAGAGTTCCAAGAAAATTCAAGGGTTTATTATAGTGTATATCTAGTACCCAGAGTAGGCTACATACAAACAAGTTTCTCTTAAGAAGATAATGAAATGTAGGGAAGCTTGCTAGCGCCAAAAACATAATATTAAAATCACATAAAAATTTCGATGAACTATATCTCCATCTATTCATTACTACTTGTCTTAGTGTTCTGCATCAATATTAATAGCAAACTTGCTTTACTATCGTTGTTTTTTGTATACAAATTCTGAAATTATAGGCCCCTATATAAGCTTTACTTGCAGGTAAATAACCAAGCAATACTTCAATATCCTGCATAAGTATGTCAAAAGCAGATTAGAAGAATAATCTCATCCCAACAAAAGCGAGATAATACTATTAGGCTAGATATCATCGAGATCTGTCATTGTGGCTTTCTGTCTGTCTGTAGATGCAGACCCTACATAAAGTATGCACATTTCAGCATTTAGTAATTGACGGTATACCCCACATAAAGTATGCACATTTAATGAGTTGACGTTGTTCTATGACTATTATTATTAGTCCATCTGCATTTAAACATTCAATTACCAATTAAGCACAATAACACCTGCTACTTACGGAATTACTCGATGATATCGCAACTTACATAAAACAGCACACCCTACCCATTCTTGATTGATGCGTTATTTCATTTATTCAGCTCACGCAAAAACGTGCAAACACACTCATGGCGTACATCCTGTGGCCTACTCTTTTCAATACAATGACTGTACCGCCCAAACGCGCGTTAGTTGCTGCTTGCTTCCTGTGCTAGGAATGTAGTAATCTAATAGAGCTGAAAGTAAATGTGTTTGAGAAATATCATTACACAACCACCAAGTCCATCTGTAGTCCTCACAATGAAAATAATGATATAAAGTAAACCAGTTAACCGCAGGCTTACCATTTTTTCTGGAGATGCAACATTTGCGTTGAATGATATTATCGCGCTGCGATAGCAGGCCGTTTCTCTATGTCACGTCGTAAACACATAAGTCATAAATCTTCAAGTCTTGGAACGTGAATATAAAACAATCTTTGTTTACAGCGGACATGTCAGCGAAGTGTGCAAGACCACAATGACGTAATATTATGTTATACAGAGCAAAATAAACATCCATTCGAAATTACATCAATATGTTATTCAAAACTAATCAGACAAACGACAGACAATGTTCCGTAAAACGCAATGAAGCCGGCACAAATCGTCACCCATGGATTATTACACAAACAAGCATGGGTTATCTTTCTATTTCCAGACTGCACGGGAATCTATTGTAACATTGTAACCAGTGGCTAAAAAAAACTACCATTAAACTGTACCAGAGATGTGAAATCGTTAGACAGCCTTCATGAATAAATTCGACGATTGCGAGCGTAACAGGAAGCCATATTGGTGCTATCGTCTGACGAACATTACTCATTTCCCCAGGCGACCATTTTCTACTATAATATAATAATACTCCGACGCAGTAAGACACAATTTAAAGACAAATGTCTTAACAGACGAACATTTACATAACGAAGCATTCCCGCGTTTCGTATTAGAACGGGAGCGTCAGAAATCGAGAACTATCAATCCAATGACTACCATTATAATTATCCGCACATTCAGTAGGCATAAAATATATGCGAAATAAGTAGGCCAACCGCCTAACCGGAAATGACTAAGTTTCCAAATATATCGGACATATATTACCACACAAAGTAAGCGTTCTTCGCCAGATTCTGAACGAAACCATAATATGTCATATATCGTACAAGCCCTGCTAGTAACACAACAAGTGTAAATTCTAATTTCAAAAAGATAGAGAAAATCACTTTCTCAATAGTATACGTTCTTTTGGGGGCATATATGGTCTTCGAAGATGTTTAAACACGTGCAAAATATCACTTACACAATCGCATTTGCGTACAAGGTACATTACAATTAATTCTAATTTCACTGTGCTGGATTTAAAATTTGTGATGAGACGGATGTAATATAAAGCATTATATACATATATATGCTCAGCGGTATTACAGATACACGGCCATTAGTAGTTCATGATTGATCAATGTAGTAAATCATTCCTTTTCGTCGGATTACCTATCGCAGTCTACTTCGAACTGGGATTACATTTAATTGAAGTTATAACTTGTAGCTGAGTCGGTGGCGTAACCGTTGCGTATGACGATGTCTAATCAATAAGTTACACACATTACACGCTAATACATCGAATATTATTATGAAGACTGTATATTATCACGGGCATGTAACAGACCAGCATGCGATGTGTTACCGAAATAGAACAATTAGCTTGACGTATAGGCTTAAACGAATCATTTCTGAGAAAAGGCGATGTGAAACAAATATACAACCAAATTACGTAGGTCTATCAAAACATTTCGACCCAATTTTTTTTAACAAGGACATATGTATATATGTACTTTTGTGCATAGTGCCATTATAAAAATGATTGCTTGTTCCGTTGTGAAATTGACAATTTCCCAAAAAATGAGGAAATATAAGTCTCGTGAAATGTTGTTTTAGGGAACTTGATATTAAATAGTTGTGACAGATATTAAATAGTTGTATTAACTATATTCACCACCTGCTGTAGTAGTCGGCGAACTTGTCGGCACAGAAAAGTTTTAGATTTAAAAGAAGCACCACTACATTTGAACGTGACCGTGAGTTGAATCGAATGAGAAATGCTAACATTAGCCTCCCGAATTTTTAATATTTTATAAATATATATGCATATTGCATATATTTGAAAATAAACGGCGTTTTCTAAGGCTATGTTCGAAAATAAACACCATGGGCCACACTACACTTCAACTCAGTCCCGATGACAAATTGGCAGACCCCGGTCATCTTTGGCGTGGATGAGAACAAGTGGAATATATATATCGGTTGCCGACAAGCAATGTGAAAACCAAATATTCAATTTACATTACGGTAAAGTCGCGGTAGCAAAATATGTATAATTATTCAGATAAAGAAAAGATAATTGCGTGGTCGATTACCATAACACAATTACGCATCAGAGATGTGTGTGTACACTTGTATATATATAAAAAAAAAAAACTGTCTGAAAGCAACAACTAGCGACCGGGGTACGAAAACGTGGACAACACTTTCAACTACAAATAGGTGAACCACTGCTTTTTACAAATATTCTGCTAAACGTGTATTATTTAAAAAAAAATCAGCACCGCACAGATGTCGTAACCTGACGATTGTAGCAGAAAAAAATGAATGAAATGCAACCCATGTGCCTGGAACTAGGTGAAAAAATCATCGTTGGCTTCACACACAATGTTTATCTAAGCTAATATAATACCACATTAGCCATGTTTTAATAATACATACAGGCTGTTACAACCACCGCGATAAGACATCAACGCAATACTGCGTGCTTGTCTCAAACGTTACTTATTCACTTCCGCAAACTCATAACCTGGTACTAGATAGAACCAAGACACAAGTGAAACACCGATTTTCAAGAACCTGACTTACTTTAAATGTCACAAAAATAGCGCAGCAATCACACGCTTGTTATACATTCTTCCAATTTCCGGATCGATTACGTGGCGCGGTATACATACAATGAGCAAATGAATTTTGTGAAAACAGAAGTCGGAAATAAGGGGGCTAAGATTGTAAAGGCCAAAGCAACATAGTTTATACGTGAAAATATTTATAATTTTTTCTCAATCCTGACTCTCAATCTATAGATTATTTTTGCAACGTCCCGTGCGTGACAAATTCGCCAGATTGTAGTCGTTGAAAAACTTCTTTTCGTTCTTAATTCAATATAAAAAAAATAAATAAACACAACACATCTGCAACAGTTCTCCCATTTTCATTATTGTAATCCCATTTTGAAATAAATAGGACATTCGTTACATGCAAAGTCAATATCGCCAAACATGCAAATTTTGAACCCTCGTGACTGAATGTCGCCTAGTTTGTTAAATACAGTACGTACACCGACGTAATAAAGCAGTACGAATGCGCATACGATTGCAGCGAAACATTACGTAAAACTGTTGAGTCGCAGCCATTTGCGCGAAAACATTGGTTTGGTGACGGACTGACAGTGCTTTTTTCGAGAAAGTAGATTGGTAATTAGTAATTACAGAAGAAGAATGCATTTGCGAGATGTGCGCAAAAGGGCATACTCACAAAATCTACATTGGGTAAAATGGCTTATTTTAAGTAGATGTAGTACTCGAAAAGCATTTGACAATGTTCCTTTGAACTGGTATCAACTACTGTGCTATGCGACTTACAATGAATTTATGATAGCCTTGAGTGGCTTGTGAAAATACAAACTCTTCCTCGCACTTTTACGTTCATTTAATGGATGTTTCCCGACCGTTGATTCCAGAACAATCACCATATACTTACCATTGCAGGACTATTATGGAGACAGACTATTTAGAGAGCGTTTTCCTGAGTTAGCTATTGCAGACTGGTTTATAAGTTCAAAGCCGCCATTTTTATTAAAATATCCAATCACGATACTGATTCCTCTTTTTAGTCTATTGCAGCTTTTCCGCTTCTAATTTTGAAGACAAGATAACGATTAAGTTATTTGATTTGCAACTAATTTTTGGAAACACAACGAAAAGTGACAATTGACACGCAAAACCACGGAAAGGGCAATGTTTACCACATAATGGAACTCCATAATTTATTCACATATATTTTCATGTAGTAATGTGCAATCAATTATTCAATTCACTGTGATAACAGAATTGCCATCTTTGTACTTGTTCTCAGCACACATGCTGTAACTCCATAATTTATCAACATATATTTTCATGTGCTACTATGGAATAAATCATTCAATTCACTGTGATAGTTGAATTGCCATCTTCGTACTTGTCCTAAGCACACATGCAGGAACTCTATAATTCATTCACATATATTTTCATGTGGTACTGTATAATGTGGGATGAATATAACTTTCACTGTGCAATTATAAAATAGATAAACTAATTTGACAATTTTTATACCAAACGTTACGCGTCACACATTGAACGAAAATATAAAGATGTTGGATAATTGTAGTTTATGTAAAGAATCCTGTCAAAATTTATTAAATAATCCATCTCCAATTTTGATTCATACATAAATAGTACTACTGTAAGATCAATTTTATATTGTTGTACTTGACGTTGCTGCAAAATTCTCATTCCAATGCTTGTTCTGTGCACTTACTATCCAATTTATGTATATCTCCATCCAATCAAATTTAAAATGAGCAAAAAAATGTTAATACTGTTATGTGTATAATCGTAAATATATACTACTAGTACTACGGTATAATATTTTTAGACTTGCAAAATGAATCAACCTAAAATCTTTTTCTTTGTGTTTATTGTTGGTGGTATTCATCCCATATAGGCCTACCAAACTTCCATCCACAAAAATAAATTCAATGAATTGAAAATTTATTTGGTCAATTCTCCTATCCTGTTTCTGATCAGATTATTTCTGTATATAATGTATATAGCTTTTTTGTATATATATACCGAGAGTTCATATTGTAACAGAACCCGTTTGAATTCATTTATTCAAGTATTTGAATTGGGTGGTAACTGACTCAGATGACCGTATATGGTCGTATCGTTATTGTCTGGTTTGGTATGTTAGTCGTTGGGTTTTGTAAATTCTTGTTTTCGCCAGATGAATGGACGTTGACCAAATTTTTCACCCAGTCATATACCGAAAACTGAATTGTGTATTGTTTCATTATTATTTTTTATTATAACATCATTGTTTTCTGGTTTGACGGAAAAAACAAAATTCTTTCTCTCGCTGTCTGAGCGGCCACACAAATTGTAATTGTTACGTCATCGTAAATTTATTGCTAATTGGTCTATGGTCTATGTTACGGCAATAAACAAGGAAATCGATGCATGATGGTTAGTGCCGTAATGATTCCCACTAGTGGCGAAATTGGAAAAGCTTAGTTGACATAATCTATCAGTTTCAAAGGCATGGTTCGGCTTATCGCGGTGCGGTCCGATAACCAAACCACGGTATACGGTACCGGTATAAAGTAGGCGCAATTCGTTACGTTACCGGTACCGGTATAACTGTATGCCGGTAATTTGTTGCCTCAGTCGATTTTCGCAACTTTATTTTTAAATCTATGCCGACGCTCTCGAAATGTATTCCGTTGGGTTCTGTTTCGAAACCTTCGTTCGCGCATGGGGCAGTAGGCCTAGTTAGAGTGAATGCATGAATGGTAGACTAGGTACCGTATCGTACCGTAAATATTTATGAGTAAAACAGGGTTAGGTACACATAGGCCTACTAAGAAGTAATATGAACTCACCTTTGATCAAAGTCGCTGCTTGTCTATACTGGCGAGTGGCGACCATTGAAATCCGGAAATGCTCACTGAACTACTAAAACTTCATTTTCAGATTTTGCTTTTGAATTCTGGGATTTCGATTCTATCCGTTTTTCTTAAAAACAATGTCTTTACCAATAGTTCTGTAGTTACAGAGTTAGCTCACAATGAACTCAGGTCTAGTCACAAAGTGAGAATTGTTTTTGTTATAAAATTGTATTTATTTGTTTGTTATACAGTTATAAAAGAAGTTTCACAATACAGCAATACTGCAAAACTAATTTACCAATAATCATGAGATTAGTTATTCTTGATGATTATGACAAGGCGAGTGAATGGGCAGCGAAATATGTACGCAATCGAATATTGAAATTCAAGCCTGGTCCAGATAATTATTTTGTGCTGGGATTACCCACCGGAAGCACACCTTTGGGCACATACCGAAAGTTGATAGAGTTTCACAAAAATGGGGAGTTGTCATTCAGATACGTTAAAACCTTCAATATGGATGAATATGTTGGAATGCCTCGAGAACATCCAGAAAGTTATCATTCATTTATGTGGGATAACTTTTTCAAACACATTGATATTGACCCTGCTAATGCCCATATTTTGGATGGAAATGCACCAGATTTGGTAAAAGAGTGTGATGCATTCGAAAGGAAAATATTAGATGCCGGTGGTATTGAGCTGTTTCTTGGTGGAATTGGTCCAGATGGTCACATTGCTTTTAATGAGCCTGGTTCAAGTTTAATATCCAGGACACGTGTGAAAACTCTTGCCCATGACACCATTTTAGCAAATGCCAGGTTCTTTGATGGAGATTTAACGCAGGTTCCCACTCAAGCTTTAACTGTTGGAGTTGGAACAGTGATGGATGCTAAAGAAGTGATGATCATGATTACTGGAGCTCATAAAGCATATGCTCTTCATAAGGCAATTGAAGGAGGCGTGAATCACATGTGGACGGTGTCTGCGTTTCAGCAGCACCGACAAACAATCTTTGTATGCGATGAAGATGCAACTTTGGAGCTCAAAGTCAAAACTGTAAAATACTTCAAAGGCTTGATGAACTTACACAATAAGCTTGTTGAAACTTATATAGATGAATAATCACAATCTAGTATCTACATATCAGGGTTGTGGAATCAGGAGAGATCTATAATCAACTATGAATTTGGGTTAACAGAAACTTTTGACTTCAGATCGTAAAAAATATTAAGAAAAAAAATTCGCAAGTGCGAGCCTCTTTTGATACCTTTTGAGACTTTTTTATCGTCATTGACAGTATATAATTTCAACTCCATTGACACATGCCAAACTCAAAGACTTCTTGCTCCACAGCCCTTGTATTTGCTACCCCATAGTTATGTGCAATAAATTCATTCATGCTGTAAAACTGCCCCACATCACATGAGCATATTGCCACGTATATTGCATTTTTACATTAACCAATATTGCTGCTGTATCAGATTGCAATTTTTCATGGCGAGGAATTCGTTTATTTGATAATAAGATATGTGCATTTGCCTCGTATTTACAGTTATTTGCTTGAACTTTTATTATTCAGAGTGATCTTGCCATTGTGACTTGTTATATTTTCACTTTTCCAATTTTGATTTATCATACTTCTTTTCTCTATAGATTTACATAATATAGAATGATATATTGAATTACTCAACTGGGTTAATTTTCTAACTAACTAGCATTATGCCTGCCGATGATGAACAAGAAGAAGGAAAGATATTTGTTGGGGCTCTGGCTGGAGAAACAAACGAAGAAGGATTGCAACGTTATTTCAGTAAATATGGTGAAGTTATCAACACAGTTGTAATGATGGACAAAGTGACACTCAGATCTCGTGGATTCGGTTTCGTCACCTTTCGTGATCCAGCGTGTGTACAAGCTGTTCTCGGCAGTCGACCCCATTTTCTAGACAATAAAAAAGTAGATCCAAAGCCATGTACACCGAAAGCAATTCAGCTTGCAAAACGCAATGCTCTAATTCATCATGTGCAGACACACAAGATATTTTTGGGCGGTCTTGCTAAAGACGCAACAGAAGATGATGTAAGACAATATTTTCATAAATTTGGTGAAGTTACGGATGTTGAACTCATTATTGATGAAGTCGATAAAAAGCACAAAGGTTTTGGGTTTGTTACTTTCCAGGAAGCAAGCGCAGTTGATGAAATTGTCCGCATACACTTTCATGAAATTAAGGGCCGAAGAGCCGAGGCAAAAAGAAAGCAGCCTCGTGATAAGATACTCACAGGTACTGTTCGACCTCCACATAAACAAAACAACATGCCACCACGTGATAAACGTGATTACGCAGACGCATACCCCCCTCCACCTCCTGATGCCATGGCAAGATATGGCTACGGCTATGGCCCGCCAGTGCCACAAGGTCCTTCAGGGGGTTGGATGCCAGGGCCTCCTGCTCCTGGCCCACCACAATCAATGAACAATTCATATTATGGATACTCCTATGGACCTGCACCATCAAGGGGTGGCAACGGAAATGAACCATATGAAGAACGTAGACAACAATGGCCATCTTCTTATGGGCCTGCAAAAGCTGGACCGTATGGGTATGATCAAGTAGGAAATGGCTATGATCGGAAGCAGGGTGGTCAAGGCTACCATCCATACAGGAGATGATTTTCCAGAAATGCAATAACAGTAGTATTGTTTGAAATGCCTGGTGGCATTTTTCTGCTTAAATGTCTCAGAGACACGGGGAAGATCATTGTCAGGGGGGCAAGTTGCGACATCCCATCATGTGGATGGTCTTTTTTTATTTGTTGTATAAAACCTTCTGGATACCTTTCGCGTTAATAAAAAACCTTTTCACAATATTGAGTCATTTTTGCATATCAGGCTACTACTACTCCCTCATTAATAACAAAAAGATTTCATCTCTGTCAACTGAGTGCTGTGCTGTCGCATATCAGAACTACTACTCTTACTCCTCCCCCTTCCCCATAAACAAAAATATTTTCATATTGTTTCATCTCTTTATTATATAACATCGATGTCCGTTATATGAGATATAGTGGTGATAATGGATTTCAGATGGATTTTCAAATGTATAAAATTTCAAGTTTTTCAATAACAGCATCTTGTAAGCAGCAGTTGTGTTTGTTGGTTAGCTACTTCATGTAAGAATATCAGCAGCTTTCTGTTCCACAGATCTTTCCATTTCTGAAACATCTTTACACCAGTCATCAAGTCTTTCTTTCATCTTGCCAATCTGTAAACAGTGAATCAAAAATCCATTATAGAACACAAGTGAGAGACAAAAAAACAAAAACAGTTCGTTGCTATGTTTAATTGAATGAAAGTAGATTTTTCCTGCATTTCAGAATGCGATATGTTTTCATGGTAGGCCTACCAAAGCCAGCCAGCTTTGATATAATGTCAGTCTTTAAATAGGGTGATAATTAAAATAATATTACTAAATTACCTGCGTTTTATCCAACACTCTCGGTTGTACCCAGGTCATATGAACTTTTTCTGTTACCTGGAAAATTTAATAAAACCTGTAGCAAACGTTTTTTGCCATTCAAAAAACATCATCTTATGTCAAATAATGACCAACCCCCTCACTGCTATCTTAGTATTTTATGAAAAGGATTTTCGATTCCACATTTTTTACAAAGTGAAGAGAGTAATTAATAAATATGAGTAAAAACCGGGGAAAAAATGTGAACCGTTTTTCTAATGTTCCACATTAAAGCTATAGAAAGTATAAAATCATGTCTCTGGTGAATATATCTCTAACTGATTACATAATGTACAGCTGTTTGAAGAAGGGTTGTGGGGTTTACAATTCATATTTTACTTAATCACGGGTTTGACTTCCTACTAAACTCAAATATCTTCAGTCATTGCAGGTGTTCTTAACAGTTCAGAGCCCTGCTTCAGACAGCTGGAACCGAGGTGTATTTTTACAATTAAAATTCTGCAATCCCAACTCCATGAAGTTTGAAAATATGCCCTAGACACCAGTGAAAGCATGCCAAACTCCTGATCCATTGTTTGCGGCTCCATGTTTCACTTTACCTGGTCGATGGTTCCTTTTACTAATCCCAAAGACATGGCTTTCATAGTTAGAATTTCTACTTCATTTGGTGCTATTTCTGTTTTTGTGGCAATTTCTTGGAACGATATATGTCTGTTATTTGCGGGACGTGTGAAAGTCATCTATAATATAAAAAGACAACATAATGCAAGAAAAACTCATACTGTTTGGTAGATTGTCAACATGATAGTTTATAACCATTTTAAAAAGTCCACCTAGTTTTATCTGTGAGAAATTACAACATTCAATCAACTATCCATTGATAAAAACTTCATCTAATTGAGTTTTCTTATTTAAAAATATATATATTTGCTTTGAAATCCGATCATTAGTAAGAATAGGGGTTCGGGAGCTGGTTAGAAATCACAATGGTTGCTGGCTTCATAAAACATCAGCCCAAATTTTATTATTTGTACATGGTATTACGAATGAGGACAAACAAATGAACTAAAATTTCTAGAAGCTCCTGCTCCATTTAATATGGTAAGCTCGACTCCAGCTCCCAACAAAATGTCATGGATCCTCACACCTGGTAAAAATAAGGCTACACTTACCTCCATCAAGCAGAGCAACATGATCTTCTGTCTCAAACTCAGTTCGTTGGCTGCAAGATCAGGCTATAATGAAAAACGTAGTCCATCAACTTTTGAAAAAATAATTTTCTCAATGCTAATTTAAAAGCAAGATACCTGAGATGCCCATAGAGATTTGATTTGTCGCATCTTTCCCATATCTCCACTGTTAAATGCGTATAATAAATCTATTAACCACTGACGAGGAGTATCTCTAAGAGACTCCAGTACTGGATGTTGAAGCTGAAACGAAAAAAAATAAAGTAAGTTACATGGACATTATTTTCTGCTATGTTTTATTCAAACTGAATTATAATCATAGAAAGAGTAAATTATGAATTTATCAGCATCAATTTATATCAACTTACCAGCTCTCCAAAATTGTATACTTCACTTCCTAGTAATCCAGCCAAGCCCAAATAAAATGCACGTTCTTGCTGCTCCTCCACTAGAACAAGAATATAGATATTATGAGCACAGTTGATATACAAAAAAAGATGTTGCTAGTCGAACAAACTGGCTGCTGTACATGTTTCATAAACCTTTTTAACATTAGAACCTTTATAACGCAGTAATTCACATTGTTGCTAATTTGAATTCATATTACATACCATTATATTTTTTCTCAACCTCAACATATCTCACCAGATAGAATGTAAACTGGTATCATAATAAAGCAGGTGCGAGAAGAAGTTAGGAAAATTTCCATAGAATAGTTGTATATTTTTAGGCAAATATTTTATCCATTTCAAAGTACGTAGCAAATAAAACATGACTGAATTGTTCTGGCTACAGCAAAACAAATTAAGGTTCACAATAATCATATCACAGTGGGAAGCCATCATGTTACTATCTACATTTTGATCATCCTTGCTTTGTTGGATTGCGTTAGGAAAATGTGTAAAGTGCTAGCGGTGAGGAGATTTTCAAATTGATAATCTACTTTATTAATTCTAGTCACTATATAATAATGTTAGTCTACAGGGTTGTCCAAAACGAATTGAATATTCGAGTATCAAAGTATTCGAATACCTTTTCGGTTAATTTTCGAATAATTCCGAATAGTAGCCACTTTTTGCCGTAAACGTGGTGTTTCGATTCACGGGAATCTTCAAACGACTTTTTACGCTGTCTCGCGTATTGTAATGACAATGGAATGGAATCGGCACTTTGATTGTTTATATTCTGTGCGACCGTAAGTCACATAGCGTTGCGACACATTTGCACGTTTGCGTGGGTGGACATTGCCGACATTTGTCTACGAGGCTTTTAATTTACAAATTCATTTCCATTACGTCGAAAAATCGACAATTGCCTTATTTCCCGGCTATTAAGTCGCTTTTCTATGCCCAATTTTTTCGGCCTGATTTTTTTTTGGGGGGGAGGGCGTCTAATTGGGAAAGTATGTTTATTTTATTTCTATGTGGCCTGCTTATTATTCGCATGAGTCTTCTCAAGCATGATTTGTGTAACCTTATATTTGGGTCTTAGGGTCCGCCAATCATGAAATTTAATCGCAGGCCGGTTATCGTTACTTTAAAGAGAAACACGGCCAACGAGATAAAGTGATTTGTGACCCTTTTGTTTTGCCGATTCAGCAGAACACGACAGGGACAGGGAAACACAGCTGTGAAATAACTTGTGGACGTACAGTGTAGTTCTTATCACATTCCAAAACTATTTCAACATTCGGGTTAATAGGTTGTCCAAAATGATTGCCTACAACTTAAATTCACCGCTCAGTTGTTAAAAATAGGTAATTCTGTGAGTATATGTGAATAAGAATTCATTTAAAAGTAATAACACCATAAGCATATTTACGTGGAATGTCTTTAATGTCAGTACATCCCAAATATCGTAGAGCATCTTTATAATATTCATTATGATGTCCAAGTAATTGGTGATAGTTACTGCAAAGATCGTAGAAACGAGAATGCACTGATGTCACACTTGGTAGTAATGTTAGAAGCTGATCACATTCTTCAATTATTGCCTATCAATAAAATATGAAGTGTTATAACTGTATTAAATTTTACATGTGACATTGGGGGTAACAATAATGAAATCATGATTCCTGTGACTTCATGGAATTTACCCAGAATATAAAATTTTAAAAGTTTGAGCGTTTACAGATGCAATTTCTGTGTTCCAAGTACAGATTATCATAAGAGTTCCTTTTTTTGTAATTCTTATGCAAATTGATTTAATATTGTAATTGTATTATTGTAAGTGTGATTGAACAAAAATGTCTTTTAACTGAAAATTTCTGCAATCTACAATCAAAATATGATAGTTTTCCAATATACCATTCCTGATCTAATCGTAACAATGTTTTTTTTATGGAATTTTATCTAGATCTATATAGAATATCGAATTTTTCATTCGGTATCAAAAAATTGATTTTTCGAAACAATATGGTTTTTTAAAACATTAGGCAAAGCTCATTGAAATCACGAGTTATTTGCAGATATTGTTGAATTCAGTTCACCTTGGTATCCTTGAAATTTTTTTCAAATAAATGAATATTTCCGATAGCTGTTGAGCACAGAATCACAGCTTCATCGGATGATTTCACTTTTTCTTTTATTTTATTCAAAAATGCAAGAGCTTCAACACCATCTAGAAAATATATTTAAATTGTAGGTTAATTAGATGTGGAAAGAATCATTAGAAAATTGTGAGAATGCACAAAAAGCACCTATTAGAAGCATTGTTTTTCATTTCAATGATTCGGCTTTGAACGATCCTCATCCTATTAAAAAAGTTTAGTTTCTACTCCAGTACTCATGTATAACAACCATACCTGTGAATTGTCTTATCACATGAGGACACAGTATTTCAACCAGCGATAATGGATTAATTTTGTTCTCAAAATCTGATATGAAGTTCCGATACATATCGATTAACTGTGTTCCCTGTGAAATATATAAATATTAAGAACAAGTGGAGAAACTAGAATGTCAAGTCATTACAATAAAACATTTTATTCCAGCTTGAAACAATTTTCTAATATTTCCAATAAATAGCATTCACTGTGAATAACATTGAATAAAAAGACACTTACTTTGCCATAGTGAGGAAATTTGACAATATTTAACAATTTTTCTGTCAATTGATGCCATAATCTAAAAACAAATTTGACATTCACTCAATATTTTAATGTTAGTTATGTATCATAATAGATAAAAAGTTTGTACAAAACAAGAGCAATGCTCAAATACATGAATATGAAAATCTGCCATACAATGCTGTATGAAATCAAAATAAGCAACATTCAAGCGAGTCTGGGGAAATCGAAACTAAAAATTATGACACGATAGGGGTATAGAAGCGTATTCATGTTAAATTTCATGTATTCTGAATGGAAGGAATTACAGGCCTGCATTTATGTCGATTGAAAGTGATGTCTGATCCTCTATACTTTATGACCATATTTTGCAAATTGCTGTTTGTTTTGCTGTGCATTTTTACTGCCCTTCCAGAAGGACATCACTATATTTTTACACTCCAGTGAGTGGACTACTACTGTACTATAGTATAAGTAAATTATAACTAATTTAACCAACTTTCTGGTGTACAAATCTTCGATTGTAGACCAAGCTTGTGAGATTTCAGGTGGATTATTTGTTTGTTGATCCTTCAAAAACGCTGTAGTTTCAGTCATTATGATTGAATCGATACCAAAAGACCTGCAATAAAAGCACATACATTGAGTCAAAATTTTTAGGCTCAATACAGTCTAGCTCCTTCGGTAAATACAGTCAATGTCAATTTGGCCTGATATCATCTCATTCAATTTATACTGCTGAACAATCAATGGCTCTCGTATATTCTAAAGATCTATCGACGCATGAAATCCAAATTGGGCTAAGTCCATTTTTCTAGTTTTGAGAAAAACGCAAAAAACGTTTTTTTTTTTGTTTCTTTTTTTTATTTCTCTAATACCTTACATCGAGGATGTCTAGTATTTATGGTCCACCAAAGTTACAATGAAGGCCATATTTAGATGCAGTTATCCAGAGCTAAGTCCACTATAGTAGACACAGCTCTGCTTAGTTCTCCAATGCCCTAAAAAAAGCAGGGTTATGTCCATAGCTGTCTTGAGATCTAGAGCACCTAGAGATAAGGCAAATAGACCAAAATGTAGAGCTAAGTCCAGGAAAATCAGCAATTGAAAAATGTCATTTTTGGAAAAGTGGACTTAGCACTGTTTGGTTTTGAGGTGTCGCTATGTTCAGCCAGTTTGGCTCATGCATTTAGTCTAGTGCTTTTAATGGTGAAGCCAAATTGGTTTTAACTGTTCAGCTGTTATACTACTGTCTGACACTCTGACTGTACTATGTAAATTACCGGTACTGCTTCACACGTCCCTATTTCTACTGTCCTATCAGGATATCGATAGTAACTACAGAAAATGACTAGGAAATTAGAATAGTGAAGCCAGCGCACACAAGTAATATAATTAATAATTTTGGAAAAATAAAGAAAAAGATACCGGTACCAACAGGCGACAGGGAAACCAACTGAAATATAAAAAAAAGTTGGTGTTAGGCACTCGCTGAATGACTGGCCAATAGATCTGCAAGTTGCTTCTATCTAACTTAAAACTGTATGAAATGATCTACTTAAATATAACTTTGAAAAAGAGTACACATTTGTCACATCTACTCACCGAAAAAAGTAAAAAAGCTGCGCAGCTGACGAGAAATCACAAAACTTTACTTCGAAATTATATGACACAGCAAAAGCTTTAACGATTTGCTGAATAATGTTTTGAATCTACCAAAGAAAAATTGAACGCATGATTTGGCAAGCTATAAAAAAATATTTGTCTGCAAAGTGTTCATTTAATGTGGCAAATAAAAAATAAAAACAAAAAAAACAGTTATCTGAAATACGTTATATTTATTATTTTACTTTTCTCTTCGAACTATTCAATCTTGAGCAAGACACTAAATAGGTGACGCCTTCCTTGACGACCGCCATAGCAACGGGCGAAGCTTTCGCTCGGATTGCTTTTGCCTTTTGCGCGGCGGAGATCTCTCTTCTGAACCGGCGAGTTGCCCGTTTAATCTCGTACTCAATGGCTTGTTAATACGTTTCAATTCGACTTCACGTAATTCTAAAATTATTTGTATTCATATAACTTGAGGACTTGGGAATAAAGCTTCAAGTACCTCATTCGTAGAATTGTAGTGGCCACTAAGATCTGAAGATACTGAAGTTGATGTTAATGTTAAACTGTACAGTAAGTTGTGGTATAAGACGTCAGGGAATTTTCAGGTTTTTGTTAAAACATTGATAGAAACAGAAATTAGGTCTACGTTAAGATTTGAGATTTGTTAACCTGAGTTGAAATTCAAGTAGTCTAATGTTAATAATTGTTAAAATAGAATTAGTAGGGTGCAAATGGCAAAATCCTTCCCATTCTTTTTTTAACTTACAAATTATATATGCATCAACATAATAAACACCTAAGTTAACTTGAACTTTTTTTTTAATAATTTACCTTTAGCCGACTTAGGATAGGATTTACATATTTATCCCGGGGGAGAGGAAAGCCGATAAGACGGCTTATCCATATGGCGAACCACGGTCTCTCGTCCGGTTACCATTCCAAGTCGGGTATGGGGGATTAGTTTCTACTGTATTGTTTGTTTTCGGAAGCATGGACTTGGTGTTGGAGGAAGCCGTAACCGACCAGCGGTTACGTGAACCACCCAACGACGGCGAGGAGTCCAGCAATCCTCTCGCACATAACCATCCCTGCATGGGATTCGAACCTGCGAAACCACGCAGAGTAATTAGAGGTGCGGTGGCGAGCGTATTCCTAACGCTTAGCCCGTTGAGCCACACCGCCGCGACTTCATTATATAATTAGCACTGTGTGCATATTTAGAACTGCTTGAAAGATGAAAGAATGCTCGAGAGTGCAGGAGTGCAAGATTGATGCAGTGTCAACTTGATCTTGTACATCCATGCAATGTATTATCTTACCATATCTAAATTATAACACTATAAATACTCTGCTGGCCTGATAACCAGATCAAGAAAGTTATAAATCTGTATTATGAGAAATTTGATTAATGAATTGCTTTTCATTAGATTGCATTTATTGTGTGTGAGTGACTCAAATTATTTATTCACATAGTTTATATTGTTATATTGTAAGTTGTTGTAAATTGGTTATTTAAGTCAACGCAAGGTATAGCCTAATAAATATTAGTGCAAGACGTGATGAATTGAGTAACTCACAGAAAATATACCAGAAATAAGAAACTTAACGTGCCCTTTTGGAAATATTACTACCTCAAGATCCAGAAGTGAAAAATGGCAACAGTAACATATGTTGGACAATGGCGACCACACAGGCCCCGGGGGCCAATCGGAGCACATTTTAAATCTCCCGGACCCAAATATATGCTGCCAGGCTCTACAGGTAATTATGTTATTATTTAATCATGTTATTATATATATATATATTATTGTTGAATTCATAATTATCATACTCATTTGAACTAACAGTGAATGTGACGATAAAAATTCAATTTTTTTAAACCACATTTCAAATTCTCTGATACATTTTTTGCTTTTTGTCCACAATGGTTAACCTAAAGAAAAAGATAGTCAGCGCTAAATGCATCAAGCCTGAATATATTTTGAAGCTTGAACCCGAAAGGGCAAAAGTTGTAAAATCTGTTTTGAAGCGTTAAGAAAAAAAAGTTGCTGAGAATTGTTCGAACAATGGTAAGACACCAGCTTAGATGCATCTATTTCTATGAAATATTTTCAAATGTAACATTTTCAAAATTTCAACATTTGCCTTTTTTATTTTGAAACTCAATTTATCAATTTAACATAAAACCCACAATTTTCAAATACTTTCTGATTGTTTGAAGAGTTACTGTTGTAATGTCTATTGATGAAAAAAATGTAGATATTGCCCTATTGATGCTGTTTGAATAAGAATTGTTCTTTTTTTTACATGCCTTTTGAAATGCTGCCTAACAAAAACATTCCTCTTTTCAAGTCAGTTTTAGTTTGATTGATGTTGTTAACGTTTAAAATGACTCATTACTGTGTTAGGTTGTACATTTTTGCACCGTATTTGGATGATTATTAAAGTTACAATTATCTGGATAATGGTAATATAAGAAATGTAATGAATGGACTGTAATACACTATTATAATAAATTAAACAAACATTATTGATATTGATAGTATATAGAGATCGAAAATTTATAGACAATATAATTTTTTGTTTAAGCTTGTTTCCTTTTAATATCAAAATATATTATTGAAGGAGTAAGAATATTGAGAATATTTTTTCTGTATATAAATATCCAACTATGATATTTTTGAATAATTTAAAGTTGTCATTCACTGTAATTTAATATGTTCACCCTTAATTGTGTATTATTAAGTTAAAATATAACCTACCCAATCTTCAATAAATTAAATTATTCAATATGATGCAATACGAGAGTCTTGTTACACCCTAATAGAAAATACAGTGTTTTAATGTGCAGCAGGACTCTTACATTGCATAGTATGGTCATGTTTATTTCTGCTACAGCATCCTTGCCTTGTATGTATACGACGGATTCACTAACACAAAAGTATTGAGGAAGGATTGGGAGTTAGACTCATGTAACCGCTATTGATAGTTACATTCATGAGGAATTGTACTTTATCAAATTAATCGTTTTTTCAGGCTTCACTACTCATGATTTGAGGAAAAGAAAAGCTCCTGCATTTAGCTTTGGAACAAGACATGCAACCTTTACAAACGAACACAGCCCTGGTCCTGGTGGATATCTTGTACCTTCACATATCACAAGAGTTGGAAACGATGGCACACCTAGATATTCATTATATGGGCGACCTAGGGATATGCTGGCATTCAAAACACCAGGACCAGGTACTGTAGACTGTATACTGTAGATTTTGCATTACGATAGTTCCAGAATTCCTTTTGCAAATACTTTCCTTTTTGAATGAATCAATACTGATTCTAGTTATATGCATTTTGTCCAGTTTCACTATTATACCGATCCTAATAAGTATTGCAATAGTTAGCTAGTCTTGTAATCAATATAAGACATAATGCATAGCTATTTTTCACTACTGGGACCCTCATGAATTTTTTATGGAACCATGAAATATATTGTGTATTACTGAAAAGTGACTTAAATATTGATTTTAAATTGATAATTTGTCCTATCATACTCAGAAATTATTGGATTGTTTGCATTTGAAATGAACTGCATAAAGGAATCATTTAGTACGAGTTTCTTTTTTGTAAAGTGCTTGTTACAAGTTTAATTCAGAACAATTTTCCATACCTAGTGTTCCATATGAATAATTTATTAGTTTTCCATAAATGCATCTTCAGGTACCTACAGCCCAGAGAAAAGTGGGAGATCAGCATATAAATCAGCTCCTATTTACTCATTATCAAGTCGAATGAAAGGGAATAAAACTGATAACAGCCCTGGTAAGTTAATAATGGAAGATATTTTCTCGGGGTTCATTAACATTATACGAAATATTGTGTGGATAAAAATAATTTTCAACATTTTAATAAAATATATGGTTGGCACATCATGCTAACTATTACGAATACGCTTGCCATCGCACTTTTGATTAGCCTGCGAGGTTTTGCAGGTTCGAATCCTGTGGGGGATAAATATGTGCATTTCTGGACTCGTCACTGCTGCTGGTTGGTTATGGTTTTCTCTCCACCATCAAATCCATGCATCTGAAACATATTACCAGGCTAACTATTCCCAAACCTGATATAAGCTGTCCCATCGGCTTTCCTCTTCTCCAGGATAAATGTGCAATATTCATCTTCGCCGCTTTGGGAAGTTCTAATATTTCACATGAATCTATGTTATCAAATGGTTAATCCATTGCTGGCCAATTTAGGTCCTGCCGCTTATATGCTGCCAGATGTAGTCGGCCCCCATGCAATAGGCAAAGCATCACTACCCGCATACAGCTTGACAAGTCGACGGAGTTATGGCTCGTTTCACGATGACCTACAAAGGGTTTGTGAAATGTGAACTAGATTGCCATTTTGTGTCGGTGTGCTGTGGCTAACACTTATTATTCATTGCAATGTTACATATGGAATTTGTGTGAGGATTGGAGTGACGTGGTGTTCATGAGAGTGGTTTTGAACATTTGCTGTTTTTTCATTACATTCAGTTTGAATTTGAAATGCGTAAATCATATACAAGCAGAAGTGGTACATGTGTAGCTGTATTACATCATCACAAATATTTCATAAAATCACGAAATCATAACACATTTTGTTGCTTGCTGCACTAAGTAACATTCATAACAGTTTCATACATGTGCACTTCTGCATTTCTCATGTACTTGCAAAATTTCATGTCTTACTTATTAATAAACAGTATTGAGTATAAAACCTAAACTAAATCATATTTTACAATATTACGAAATCGAGTCAAAAGTAAATAAATAAATTCATTTATTACAATATTATAGGCCTATTATATATTATTGTATAATTACTATATTAATTTCATATTTTTGCCAATTAAACGAATCGGGTTCATTACATTATACCCTGAATATGCTTTTTTATTACAGATAGATCATGAGCAATATGATCATGAGCTTTTTTTTTTTTCTCATCATTTTCAAATTTAATAGGATATTGATTTATAGGGACTACACACACATTGCGCCTATATATGAACAATATTTACGGCAGATAGTGATTTAAACTGACCTGAGGTTTGTTTGGCTGGTTAATACATAGTAGTTACCATATATTATATAGGTATCTATTTATTACCTCAAATTTTATTGGTCAAGTTTTTAACATAGATTTTGATAGAAACACTAAAGTTGTTTTTCTAAAAATCATGATTCAATTACCTTTCCCCATGGAAGTAACCATTGTTTGCACAATGATATTCATTTGAGAAACCATTTTGTGTTTGTTGTTTACCTTTCCATTCATGCCACCATGATGAATATTTGTCTTTCCTGAATCAATTATTTATGATTGTTTGTCTGGCAGGCGTTTATGATTCAATGTTAAAACATTCAGCTCAGCGTTTTGAAGTGAAATGTTTACCTATTTTATATCCACTTCAGCAAGCATTATGATACATAAGTCTTACAAAAAAAAGTTCTTTCATCCTTGAGTTATACATATTTTTTATAACTTTGAAATTAAAAATCCATTTGATGTCACTGACCTTCATCATGCCATTAGTGTGCACAATTTGGACTCCTGCACACCTATCCATGCTGTAAATTGCCTGTAAACTCATAAATTATTTTCTTAGAAAATTCGAACCTCTGTTTGTGTGCGATTGTACGCTAAGTTTCAGTAATCCAGGATGCTTTGCATGAAAGTTACGTTCTCTAGAATATGTTTCAAATGGCCTGTTTTTTATGTCACCTTTTAGGTATTTTGCCAATTTTATTTAGTTCCACCCCATTGAATTGTTGGCAGTTCTTCGATTATAAAAGGGGAAGGGGTAGATTTCAATATTAATTTGATTCATCTATCATGATTCTCAGTACATGTGAATTTTTATTGGTTCGATGTTATAGGACCGGCTGCCTATGGATTGCCCAAGCTTGGTGGGTTGAACATGGTAAATTCACAATCCGCTCCAGCATACACATTGAGTGGTCGCACAAACAATGGCGGATTTTCTGAAGATTTGTCAAGGGTGAACAGCACCATTAATCTGCATGTGTTGCTGCATGAAATCTTTTGAAATATTTTTTTACTTTTGGCATGAAATATGCTTGACATCCACGCTCTTTCAAATTTTTAGGAATTCACAACAATGTCGATTTCACACATGCATGTCTTGCAACATTATATCATAATTTTTGATGATAATTTTCAACCTTGCATAACTGTATCCCTTCTCTCTTAGTTTTATACAAAGCAGTTGATACCTTTTATAGAAGAATAGAAAATTTTTAGTCAAGAGCTATATTTAGCATATATATATAAAATTTAGAATTGCAAAGTTTTTAATGAAACCAGATATAGAGGAAAAGCGAGATAGAGAAAAGCAGTCAATATAACTTAGCCCGTTTTATCATAGGATATAGGATATCGCATAAAGATATTGAGTTGAATGTCTTGCAACCATGTTTTCTTGAGTCAAACTGTATGCAGTTTGTCAGTGTTTGTAATATTTTAGGACCTGCTGCCTATAATCTACCAACAATGTTGGGATCAAAGGTTGTATCAAAAACATCAGCACCAGGTTATTCAATGACAGGAAGAGTGACTGTAGGTAGCTTTCACGAGGATTTGAGGAAGGTTTGTAGTCAGTGAGAGAGTCAATTGCACTTAGATAGAGGTCGGATATATTTTGATACTTAAATCTTTCTAGGAAATTTATTTTGCTTCATCAAAATATTTGAGATATGAAAAAACTACCTTATAAATCATATTTTTGTTTAAATAGTAATTTGTATCAATTCTCTTAAAATAAACAGGCTTTTCAAATAGACTTCAAATCTGATTCAAAGTGAATTAATTGAACACATCTGATCATTTTGGCATGTTGTATAAAATTGATCCGGAAAATAGGCATGTGCATTTTAATAATGCATTGGAGTCGGGGAAATTTACAATCAACTCTGACCTGAAAAAAATTTGATTCTGGCTCCTGACTTCAGGTTATAACTCTCAGAAGAAGTTGAATTTTGATAACAAACAACGAATTTGAAAAATCCTATGTAGCTCCAAAGAAAACATGTCCACTGCTCCAAAACAATGCTTGAAATATTTAATGAAGTGGTAAAATATTCAAGTGGACATGATCTGTTCATTTCTATTAATGAATCTTATCAAAGTATTGAAATTTTTAGCAACATTATTCAATATTTAATTAGGTAACAATATTTGTATTCACTAATCATTGCTTACTAGAATTTTCATGCATTAGTGTTTTGTTCAGCATGTGTTTATGATTTTCAGCTGTAGACAAATCAATGCTTTTTTGTGATTTGCTTTTGTGTGAACATCAAAATCATATTTTATATCTACTACATTTTGTGTTTAATTTCTCGAGCATTTTCATATTACCGGTAAATATAATTCATTTGATTCGTTTTCAGACTCCTGGACCCGGTACCTACAGAGTTATTGAACCTTATGTATATAAAGGACGAGCTCCATTGTATAGCATGACCGGAAGGAACATGCTTCCAAGTGATGCAACTAAAAAGCCAGGACCTGGTGCACATAGTCCTGAAAAGGTAAGTAATTGACTTGTTGAGTTTTGTCCTCATGTACAAATATCCATAAGTGTGCTCAAAAACTGAACTGGTTCTAATATGCTAGGTACTAGATCCAGCTAGGTGTGAATTTAAATAGCTCGAGTCAAAGTCTTTGTAGCATTGATCAACAGATGTTGGCATTTGAATGGAAAATTAAAAATGTGTCAAGTCCTAAGCCATTAAAACTATAAACCATGATGTAGTAAAATCATTTAATTGACATTTTTTTTTATCAAAAGAACAGTTAATAGAATTCTGTTATGAATTTCCATTGCTGTTCTATTGAGAGTAGACTGAAATAATATCAGCATGATAGAACATAATTCTCGATTTGGGAATAAAAAGTTACTTTTTACTCAATGTGTATATTCCAAACAGAAATTCATCATTGATACATTCAGTGGTTTCTAAGGAGACAGTTGTTTGATAGATTGATAAATTATTGAGAGTATGTTTATATAAAGGGATAGCAAACAACTATTGTCAGCTTTGTATCAAAGGGTTTTGATAGAAAGTATGTAAATATGCAGAGAGACTGGATGTATTTATGAAAGTTTAGATCTTTTGTAAAAAAAAAATTCGTGACTTAGTTGAATAGCTTAACAAAAACTTTTGACAGGTTGTCATTAACAAAAGGCAAACACCTCGACACTCATTCGGGATACGACACAGCGAGTTTTGTGCTCCACTTATTGTTGAACCTGTGGACTGAAGTCGAGAAGCTGTCATCAGCTAGTTTTTTTATAAATATTTTTTTCATCTGCCAATGAGCATACTCCAATTTATGTGCAATACAAAGAAAGCTTTGGGTTAAGTTATATGTACAGATGTTTCTATACCACAATATAATGCCTCATTGAAGTCACTCGCTTTATTTTTTGTATAATTTGTTGCCTGAAATAAGAAAACGCTATTGTATACCGAAAGTTTCCTCTTTATTTTATCTTGGGTAAACATTGCGCTGAAAGAGATCTTTTGTGAAAAGAGACCAGGATATATTATATTCACTTTGTTATTCGAAGAAGCTCAGCCAAGTATGAAATTTGAATCCGCGATTCTATCAGTTATAATACAACCACGGAAAGTACTGTGTCTACCAACACATACTGAAAGACCATGTTCAAGTGTGTATTTACTGTCAGCAGATTATCATATAAATCAGTAGCCATGAATCATTTTTCAATATCTGAGCATGAGTTTAAGATAGGATTTGCTATGAAGATTAGCCGTGGCTGCAATATAATAGTAGGAAGGATAATTGTATCATTGAGCAAAGAAGGCCAGTACAGTTAACAGGTCGAATGAAACGAAGGTGAAATATCAGATTACAGAAACATTGAGGTATTGTTTTACATTACTAGATAGTAAGTTGGCTTAAAAACAATGCCTACCAAAACAATGATTTTTTATTATATAAAGCCTTTGATACAGCATTGTTAACATTTTTACATGGAGTTTATTCAGTACAGTTATTATTACGGTAACTGAATAGTTCGAAAATTCAATATATGATAAAATTGGTTTTCCCAAACAAAATATTTCTTAACGTCAGCTGGTTTTGAGGTCTATATCAATAGAAAAAAGATCTAAATCTTGTAATAGTCGATTCTCCCGAAAACAAAATATTTTAGACTTATACTTGATGTTCTTGTTTGTTATAAAAGTAAATATGTCGGGGTTTCACTTAGTGTTGCAGCTCACCATGAAAGCAAATCAATTGAGTCCGAATGAATCGAGCATTGATTATCTAAGATTTAGATAACCATATTCTGCCACTCAACATTTCTACTTTATATGTTTTGAAGTGCCGTGACTATCTTCACACAAATCTTATTCAATGATCTCTTCAAAGTAATCAAAACAAAATTGCGATTCGCATCTTCATAGCTTTGACTTAGAAATTTGCAGATTGAAAATTTAAAAGCAATTGCGCCATATTTCTTAAATTATTTTAGCGCATTCCAAACTGAAGAAGTTTTCAAACCTTCACAGTAGCTTATATTAAATTTTATACTAGCTATATTTTGGCGAATTGTATCGTATATATTGTCCTAGGAATATACTAATTATCAAAGTAACGATATTATACATTTCAAATACAGGTATACATATCGAGGCGTTCAGCTCCAGCATTCTCTTTCGGAACTCTTCATTCAGAATATACCGCACCGCTAATTGTTGATCCCGGACATTGATAATATTATTTCACAAAGCAATGAAAAAAATGTATTGTATTTGTAAAGCATCAGTATTTTTATAATGATTCAATTGAGTGGCTGTCGGCCACTGCACATTTGTAATATTTCTTTTTTACCTGTATTTTGTGTTCTGAAATCTCCAATAATTTTATGTGTTAATTCATCTCACTGTCAAAGTTTATATAACCAATTGATTCGCCAGGTGATTGATTACTAGTGAATATTTTTATGCAACATTATTTTTGTACCATTGTGATCAGCCACGAAGTAACAGCCAGCGCAGTATTTTTTCTCACAATCCACTTTTTGAAGACTAATTGTTAGAACGACTGCGGAAAACTACCATAATAAACAAGAGGATGACAACTGCCGCATATTTAACTGCCAGTTGTTTGTGTACTTGTGAAAGCGATCATCCCCAGCCATGCACTTGATTTTAAGTATTGTAGTGATTTACAGCAACCATTCGTATTGAAATGTTGCTTGCGTATTTAGTTTCATATAAGTTTCTGATTAAACCTTGGTATGGTGCAAATAATATACTCAAAACTACAACAATTCTGCTTTTATTCTGCTTCACATGACATGAAAGGTATAAAATGCACAAGAAGAATGAGGCAACATCATACAATAGTAATATAATGAAGAATGAGGCAACATCATACAATAGTAATATATGACCTTCCATATAGGACAATAATTTGACTCAACATTGAACAGATGTCACCAAATTTGTTACCTAACCTTCTCCCATGAGGACGGTCATGTAATAAGGTTAGATAGTAAAATAACGAATTAGGCAAAAGACCAAAAATATCATGGCACTCCATATTCATGATTGAGACGCATTAATTTGAAAATCAAACTGCAGTAGCGAGTAAAAAAGGTATGGTACTCCGCAATGCTCAATCCATTAATGGGCAATTACACCTCTTTAAATAATTATGATGAAAGAGTATTATCAAGAATAACAAAAATGTATAAATTTTAATGCAACAATCTAATATTAGGAAATTAAATAATTTTATGTATTGGATCGTACAACGAGAGTGCTTGCGACAAGGTCATATGATGTTCGGTTGTGCTGATAGAAAAACACAGTCAGAAATGCAGGCATGAGGAAAGTGATTGAAAAATTCTTGATGACGGAGCGCACTGTAGAACTGAAATACAAAGGCATACATCAATTTTAACTGCCATACTGATGTAACTTCTTAGACAAATAAACTCCCTACACTGATACATTAGGGAGATTCCATTTTGGTTAATAACAATTGTATCACATTGGCCAGTGGTTCTCAAACAGTGGAGCATGCCCCCATAATTTGAAATTCTTGTCTTTTCCTAATTTGTACTAATATATATCTATTTTCATACCTCTTATTTTTTTCATTTTTTTCCAATAGGTGAATCAGTTACATAACGAATAAAAAATATTTTGTACCGATACCAATTTAGTTGTTAATTGCGCTGCCATCATTTGCAAATCTTACGAAATTCCAATAATTGGAAATTTTTCTCTTTTCCTAACTTGTACTAATATATATCTATTTTCATACCTCTTATTTTTGTTTTTTATGCAATAGGTGAATCAGTTACATAACAAATAAAAAATATTTTGTAATGATAACAATTTAGTTGTTAATTGCGCTGCTATCATTTGCAAATCTTACGAAACTCCAATAATTAGAAATTCTTGTCTTTTCCTAATTTGTACTAATTTATATCTACTTTCATACCTCTTATTTTTTCATTTTTATTCAATAGGTGAATCAGTTACATAACAAATAAAAACTATTTTGTACTGATAACAATTTAGTTGGTAATTGCACTGCCATCATTTGCAAATCTTACGAAATTTAATAGAATATTTTTCAACTGGCGGGTTGTATAAGCTGATTGCAAAATATTAATGAAGACGAATTCAGACATTATTGTTATTAGAGTATCATACATTTTAGCTAGCTACTAATAAAATTAATTAAACAGAAAAGATCGCCCAATCATTTTGGAATATTGATTAATATGTAACTCATTGAAAACTTGTTGCAAGTTTAAATTTCAAATACATCAAATCACTAACAAAATAAAACATACCTTCCTATGCTTGGTGTATGACCGGGATATACTGAAACAAATCGTCGATTTCCTCTCTCCACTGATACACAAGCTTGACAAAAAACAACTTCTAATCCAAACACCATTTTACCTGGAGTTGCCCCTACAATCGAAATAAACCCAGCCTGTGGTAAAGAGTAATACTATGATTAGACTGGCTTGATAGTTCGTATATTGTGCTAAGCGGCATGAAAACATTTAAATTTACACTGACTGGAATTGGTAACCAGATTAGAGGCTGTGCTTCGTCATCTACTAATTCCAAGGCCGAAACCATTCACATTTATATTGGACACTAAGTGTATTCCCTTTGGACCCAATATTCAATCAAAAATGTTGCTGTTTTTTTTAAAACTGAAGGGGAACAACTTTTAATTCAATATAGCTTGACAGTCTGTGTATCGCTAGTTTGCCTACATTTCACCAACCTCTGCGCTCTCAGGCATTTCTCTTGTTTTGGATTTAATTTTCGATGAAAGAGTTTCAAATTATCCAAACCACAAACATGAATAAAACCTTCGGTATATTTTCGAATTTTCAATAACTATAAAATAGATCAATATCAGTTTGTCAAGTCCGGTCTAGCTTAGTTTAGTACCACAAGTACTTCTAGTGGGTGTGGCAGAACCATGTTTGCACATGTTATCTCTAACCCCCACCTGACTATGTCATTCGAAAATTATGTCACTATGACCCGTCAAGTCAATGTCTTATGAATTGATTTAAGATGAAAAATTAGTTATCTGGTATTTTTTACCTCATAAAAACAAGCAAGAATTCTGTAAATGAATCCCATCAACATCATGTGTTGCAGATCTTCAATTGTCATGTCATCAATTATAGACAAATCGTCTCCCAAGATGAATTGGTATGACACATTTTCTACGCTGTTAAAAAAGCATACAAATAAATCATACTCTATTTAGTCACTTAGTTTACTACGGGGAAACAATAAAGTGCAGTCCACACTCTTCACAAATAGGTAGAGTTTATCAAGTTTTTATGGCATCTACATATGAAGTATACATATATAGACAGGGTGATTTCCTCGAATCGTTTACTATTCAACTCAGTAATTGACTCAAAAAAGGTAAATAAGAAAAAAATATGAGGAATATTACCCAGAGTCAGGTAACATAATATTTTGTTTTCTTTTCTTCTGAATGGGGATATTTTTCAACACAATTGTCTGATTTTACAAAAAGGCATTATACCAACAAAACTTTCGAGAAAATATTTGAATGCAAGAAAAATGACATACTGTAAATTTTTATCATCATTTCAATTATGCCAAAATGAAATGCTGTATCAGCCAAATACAAATTACCTTTTTCCAGTTATTTTCATAATGCCCAAAAGAAAAATCATCTTCAACAACATCAATATTGTAAAGTCTATAAGTTCAGCCCCAACTCGATAGATGATCGGTGCGACCCTGAATTCTGTAAAAAATATCCTGAATTAAGTTGGGAAAAAATCAATCAACTTTTTGCCATTATCTCAGGTATTTGCAAAAAGTACTTTTATAATAGCGTGCTTTTATAAATAAAAAATAATACCAACTTTTTCAACTAACTACTAATCCCATACCCGACATGGTCTGGTAACCGGATGAGAGGCCGTGGTTCGCAATATGATTAAGCCGTGTTACGGGCTTTCCCCTCCCCCTGGATAAATATGTAAATCCTATCCTATCCATATTAAGCCAGCTATAAACATTTCATCCCATAGTAGGATAATGCCAATTTTAATAGTTACCAAATCTTGGACGAGGTGCTGAATGTTGTTGTTGTTGTCTAGTGGGTCTGGGAACATTAGAGGTTGGGGGTGCTGTAGTTGTGGTTACAGTTGCCTGAAAATACAACGGTTGAAAAGACAAATCAAATTTTCAATTTTTCAAAAGTACACTCTGGGCCATGAATTCTGCTTAGTGCACATTTTGGGGGGCTCCCGGAGTATGCGAACCAAGATGGCGGACATCGTAATGTAATATGTGTACTAGGTTAGGGTTAGGCCATAATTTTAGGTATAAATACTACGGGAGGCTCTTGGCTAGTCTTCAAACTGATAATAGGACTAAAATAAGGAAAATTGGAAAAAAATTATCGCCTAACCCTAACCTGTTACCCATTTTACGTTACGATGTCCGCCATCTTGGTTCGCATACTTCAGGAGCACCCATTTTTGTGTTGCCCATGCAACTTTAATTTTAAAGTAACACAAAGTGTTACGATTTGGATCTCATAAATTTCCAATCTGCAAAGTTATTATGAAAAAAATTCCTATATATGATGCATACCATCTATCTGTGATAATTATTTAACATGAATATATGTAATTCCACTTTTAAAAAAGTGGTTTTGAGAAAATTTGGCATCCATTTTAATCATGAATGTTATCATAAAGCCAATACAATTTTGTTAGAAATGCTTGAGTTGGTAAAGTTTCCAAAAAAGCATGTTTGTAGAACTTGACCGATATATCGGCCCGATATTGCGAGTTTGCCGATATATTATATTGACAGTAAACCGCCTATATATGTCGGCATTAGTCGGGCTGCGTGCTTGAACGGCTCTCGCCCCTGAGGAATTGGTTTCCCAATATTTCTCTCGCCTTCATTTTGCGTTTAAAGGGTGTCTCACCTAATGCCCGGTGGCATATGATTAGCCATTTCATGCATGGAAAGTTATTATCCAGAGTAACATTTGAAATGAAGTTTTCAAGAGAGTACGCAATGAGAAAAAAGCAAATTTAGTATCAACAGAAAACGCCAGTTCTATAAATAGAATCGATTTGAAGTTGTTGAATTAGTAATCACAGAAACATGATACATGTAACTCAAATCTGAAAGAATTATGAATCCATTAGGATTGACTAGGAAAGGTATTGAGAGTCTGAGAAATTTTCAACTATCAACACTCAGCAGTTTTCAAATCTCTAATTTTGAAGACCTCATGTAGGTATAGGATCTCCTTTTATACTTCTTTTACCCTTGAAACATAGTTATGCAAAATATCAGCAGTATTTCAGATGTAACTGCACATATGTTATCACAATATCGAGGGATTTCATCATTATCATATCCACACCCATAATATATGCCCTCTGTTATATTTAAGTGTGTCAGATTAACAATTCTTGTTCCTGGGAAAGGGAAGATTGATATTGAAGTCACAGGAAAAGTTACAGAATAATATTTGTTCAAGTACAAACTGGAGTTAGTTAAATAAGAGTCTGACTGCAATGATAATAAATATCAAAATTGATGTACAAACTCACTAGGTACATCATAAAAGACCATCTTGTGGCTTACAATATGATTTATATTAATATCGGTTATCGACCACTAGTTGGCCAATTTATCAGTATATTGATATTGGTGCCACAATGTGATATCAGTGGGGCTCTAATATTAAATTTTGTATTATTGTATATTAAAGTGTATTTGAATGCTTTACGGGTCTTACTACTTACTGAATACAGCGCGAAACACCGCAAAGAGCGCAAAACAGAAGGAAACCAGCGCAAAACAGAGGGAAACAGCGCAAAACAGGAGACGCAGTCATTACCACCTCCTGCCACGAAAGAACCACGGCGCCTCTCGCCATGGTTTTATGGCGCTATTTCCGGTATATTTACAAGGTTATGTACCGGATTATAGGTCATCATGCGAAATTTTATCTACCTTTTTGGTGCTCCAGAAGTATGTGCAGCAATATGTCGCACAACCTGAATGCGCTACACACACACACACATACTATTTTCAGGTTGTGCGCCATCTTGGTGCACATACTTTTGGAGGTCCCTTTTTACCTAACCCTAACCCTAAAGCCAACCATATCCACATGGAAAATGTTCTAAATTATGGTACCCAAAATGTGTCACCAGCAGGGGCAGACCTGCCATTACAGCATTACTGGCTACATACGTTGGTTTGTGTTTTTAATTTGCTGCCGTGGTAATCCAACTCAAAACAAGGTGCCCCGAACTCATTGCAAAATTTTTTTCTGCTTCACACTGTTTCCCTCTGTTTTGCGCTCTTTCGCGCTGTTTCCCCACTATTTTGCGCTGTTTCCCTCTATTTTGCGCTGTTTCGCGCTATTTTGCGCTCTTTGCGGTGTTTCCCGCTGTATTCAGTAAGTAGTAAGACCGTGCTTTACAGCTTTATCAAAGACTTACCGTACTTGGTGTTGCATGATTTCTTGCATGCATCATCTGCATCCCTTGATAATTAAGACACATGAAGTAATGGAAATTACTCATCCTTTGCCATTCATGCAAACGCTTCATGTATTCATTGTGTATCTCTGATACCTATAAAACATTTGATAAAATATGAATTCATTAATAATAACAATTAGAAATCACAAACAATGTATTGAATCGTATAAATTGATCCAAAAATGAATTAGTAGTCAATATTCGTGTGATGGCTTATTGGTTAGGGAGATCTGGGGATAGAATCAGTTCACTATATATTGATTTCCCAAGTTAATAAATATCTTGGTTTCAAGCCCCACTTTCTTTGCATTCTGACATTAGACAGGGTATAATAAAGTGTGAACTTCAGCTTTTACTTCCCTACATACCGGTACCAGTTGCTGTACAGAGTCTTGTTTAGGGTGAAAACGCAGGATAAAAAGCAGTGCCCCAGGGACGAGCTCAATATTTTCTATTCGACTGTTGGTTGATTAGCAGCAGGCTTGGTCCGTCAGTCTGTTTATACATCATGCAGTCAGGTGAATAAGATATTAAAACTACTAAAAATATGTATAGAACCTTTTTCTGTCTGAGAAAGTTGTCTTCTTTTGAATTTTCCATTGTTATCTCTCTGTTGAACGGCACTTTGCTGCAAGTCTATATCTCCACTGATTGAATGGGAAACTTGGAAGATTTCAGAATTTGTTTTCATGGCGTGACGCCACGCCATGACGCCCGCTGATACCAGGCCGCAATCTTACGTCACCTGCAATCACCAAACATCGCCAATTTTGTTGCTGAGCGTCTGGATCTTCGATTGTAACATTGAGGTACTATCTTCAATGCCTAAGAGAATGCTTTCCAACCATTTTTAATGTATTGCTCCTTTTTGAAACTCTCAATTCTCTCCTTGCATAAAAATTCATTCCCGTTTGTTTTCCCCATTTTTAATAGATCATTTGCAAGCGAAACGCAAAATGATTAGTTTGTAATGTGTTCAAAGATTTGTGTTAAGTAGTATTGATAACAAGAGAATATAAACTACCTTATTGAAATAGTTAAATTCCTGCCGATTAAGAAACCCTGGTCTAAAACACTAGTTTTTCATTGGTAGCAAAGTATTTAAAATGTTGCTCTAGAGCAGGGTCGTCCAACCCGTGGCCCGCGGAGCAGTTTCGAGTGGCCCTCGCTGTATATTCAAAATTGAATAAAAAAAATTGAGTAAAACTTCTATTTTTTGAGTGAAGTAGTATACAAAGATGTGACACAAACTATTTGTTCATTTTCTTGAAATGCGCTCGGCTATAGCCCTTTCAAACGAGCCACGAGTGCCATTTTGAATCAAAAACGTCTCTAAAGAAAACATTCAGGGGATTCACAGAATGGCAGTTTCCATGACCTCAAAGCTTTTCACAGATGAACCATGTCAAATCCCCCGTGAGATCACTAATTTCTGACAGTCATATGGAAAATTCTCTTCGCCATGCTACATCGTCCATCGCACCGAATATTGACAAACTTGTTAGCGAATATTGACAAACTTCATTAAGTGCAGAAAAAACTTGTTAACTTTACTGTATCATCGTTTTTTTTATTGTTCTTATAGTTGTGATGAAAGTTCGGTGTGACGGTTTTGTTTGTTTTTTCATTAACCTGTAGTCAGTGTAGCAAAATTAGCATATAACTACCATGTTAAGTGGCCCGCGCAATTAATAGTGAATTTCATGTGGCCCTTCAGCCAAAAAGGTTGGACGACCCTGCTCTAGAGTCTAGGTTTAGACACTCAGACATTTGAGTCAACATCGTTTCAAGACTCGAAAGTGACATTTTTCTATCCCCAGGCAGGAAATGAAGGTTTATTTGTATTGTGCTGAGCCCAAAACCAACCTGAAACAATACATCTGATATTAATTTGTTATCTGGAAAATCCCACAAACCGTTTGATGAAGAATGAATCACCCACCACACAATATAGGAAATTGTATATTATAAAGTACAGTAGTACTAAAGTTTCATATGAAATCTCGTGATAAAAATTCAAAGTTTTAACGAGTATAGAGTAGATATGAATATGTGAATTTTCTGCTAAAATACCTACATTTGTGAAGAATTTTAGGATTCCAGCAAAATATCGAAAATAGGGTTAGCAGCAAACATTTTCTTTGGAATTTTGGTAAATCTCAATCCCAATTAGAATAACTTTTTCATTCTATATCAGAGAAATCTATCAGCCTTTGGGAAATTAACAATGAATGTGACATTTCTCTCCCTCTCTCAGCATTACCAAGCAAACTTTCACAACCAATGCTGACAAATGTGTGAACTTTTTGAATGATTTTGATTGATGCAATAATTAGTTATATTGAGAAAAAATGAATAGTAGATAATGTACCCTAGAACAGATCAAATACCAGCGAATGCACCATTATTCATTTGTAAATTCATAATACAGGTAAAAACATTTAAAACTGTTGTAAAAATAAAAATAATAATTGATTCACAACGATGTGTGAAAATATGAAAATCGTTCCTCATGCTTTGAATTTAAAAAAGCCATATTTTTGTCTCTTAAAATTCTGTTTTGGAATGCTTTGATGGCTCACAGTGGGTAAAACATAAATTATATCCCCATCATAAATCTGCGTAATGTGCTGCACGATCATTCACATTTCATCATCGTCTCCTTGGTATAACTTTGTTCGGTGGACTCCACGGTGGTTGCAAATTTTCTTCATCTTCTTCTATGTGATATCTTTCCCTTCTTTCTTTCATTTTACTTTCTCTCATTGAGGCTTTCAGTTGATTATCCTTACGTTCCCTCCATCTGAAAATATTGGAAATTTAAATATGACAAGTGTTGAGAAGCCACGTTTCATTAACTCGACTCGAGTTAGTCTCAAGTCACCATTTAACGACTCAAAGTGACTCGAGTCGGCCATATGAAATTACTAGGACTCGTCATCAACTAACTGCCAGTGAGACTTCACTCAATAACTGACTCAACTTGAGACTCGGATGAATAACGACTTAGAATTCAGGGGAATTTAATTTCCTTAGAGGTCGGTCGCCCTTGAAGTCTTGCCCGCCTCCTTGCGATGATATTTCAAGATTATTGTTTGTTTGTTTATTCTCACTACAACATGTACTTATATGTAATGAAATATTCGGAAACAAATCAATCCCTCTCTCTTTAGGGGCTTAGAATTCTATCCAAAATTGGTATGTACGTCCTTTACATACATGCTTTTCATATCACATTGAAGGACATAAAATGTTTCAAAAGTTGTTGGATAAATATCATCATTTTATCTTGATCATGAATCTAACGAACTAATCACACAAAATTGAAATTTAATACGAGTTTTACGTTTTATATCGTTCCTCAGCTTCTTCAGCAGCTTCCTTTTTATCCTTCTCATCTTTTTTCTGCAATTTACTTTTTTCTTTTTGTTCTTTCTTTCGATCTTCCACCCATTTTTGACTTCTTCGGTCCATCCTGTTTTGTGACAAAACAAAATCTCATCAGTGAATATTTTTATTAGGAAAGATTTTTACACCAGGTAAAATAAATTGGGGGCTACAACCTATGCAAATTTTAAAGCTTTTGAAAAGAACAATTTATGACAATTTTTTTTGTTCTCTGGAACCTTTGTGATATACCATCATGATGCTTTAGTCGAAATAAATATGACTGATGTAGATGAAATGGGTCATTTATAGAAGTCTTACTTTGGTCAGACGAAACGCTACAAAAATATATTTGTGTTAGTTTGCCACAAAATTTTTAATTCTGTTTGAAAAGATTTCATTAATTATTATTTTTATAGTGGTCCTCATAAAGCTCATTCAGGTGAAAAGTAGGTGATATTAGAAGAAATTTCAAATGATAACAGGATTTGAAAATTGTCATACACACACAAATCATTATCATTTAAAAATATATTAAGTTGTGTTTTTAAATTACACTGAGACGAATAAAATCTCACCATTTTTCAACAGCTTTCTCATTTTCCTTTTTCTGCTTTTGTTTATTGTTCTCAATCTTCATTTCTTCATTATGCTTCTTTTTCATTTCTGCACGATGCTTAATTTTTGCTTCTTCTAACAATTGCTGCCTTCTTTTGTCAGCATCCTGAGAATAATTAGGTTAAATTTTTTCCATTGAAGTTGATCATATCCACGGAGTTGGACAGCAGACACAACTATGTTATCACAGCAGGTTAAAAACCTTGTTCTTCAATCTTATGACCCTACATCACACAGGGTGTAACAAATGGGGTGAAACATGCTGAACTGGAAATATTATGGTAATTACAAATACATCAGCTCCCATTGGCTGCCTTACTCGGCGTTATTTAGTGGAAGAGTATTAAAAAGGTTGCACAAAAAAATGAAATAATTCCTATATATATATTTATATATTCAGAATCATGAACACTAAAAAATTACCATTGATAATCTTTATGACAAATTTTCAAAAGCCAGTATTCATGCCACAAATTTGCAGACTTTTTCATGTAATTTTCAGCTTTAATAGATGAGTCACAACTTTCAAATTAGCATAGACATAGACAGATATGCAGTAGGTGAAAGTTTTATTTTATTAATGTTTACCAATAAATAATTGAGTAGAAAACGTTTGAATAACCTCAAACCAAGAGAAATTGTAGTAAACAATGTTAAAATTCTAATTAGAAAAAGTTTAACAGAAACAGTTCATGCAGAAGCAGTTGAAAGATTATCTTTATTGAAAGGAAAGATTACGCACTTTCTCACTTTTTCTTTTTTGTTTTTCTTTCTCTTCTTTCTTTTTTTCTGTATTTCTTTCTTGTTTTCTTTTTTTCTTTAGCTTTTTCTTTGTCTTGTTCCTGAAATTGATGATGAAACAAAATAACTGGTATTAAATTTGAAAATAGAAGCAACAGATTTGCAGGTTAGTTCAAATCTTGTGAGAGATACTTGTTGGACCTGTCGTTGGGTGGTTCACATAACCAATAGTTAGTTACTGCTTCCTCCACCATCAAGTCTGTGCATCTGAAACAAATAAGTAGTTAACTATTCCCTTACCGACATTGACTGGTAACCGTATGAGTGGCCGTGGTATATCATAAAAAAATCCTACCTTACTGTGATCATTGTTTTAGCAAGGTTTGACCTTTGGTCATTGGCATGAACATAATATTCAAGATTAATATGGTAAACTAAGTGAGTAGTTATTACAGCATTTATCTCCAATTAGAATTATCTTTTAGATCAAAAACACATGCAGAAAGAAAATTACTACGAAACTCTCCTAAAAAGACCTTACTTAAAGATGAACAACTGGGGGCTGTAAAACTAAGCAATATTTTTGCTTGAACAGCTCAATAAAGTTCGCAATAAAATTATATAATAATTCAGAAGTCAGAATTATATTACAGATTTTTTTTGGCTTGGGGTATATTCACTTGGCTAACACAGACAGTCCCCAACTTGTAATGAAAATAAGGAACTAACTAGAGAACTAAAATAAAGAAAATCGGAATAAAATTTTGTCTAACCCTAACCTGGTAGCCTACACATACTAGGGGAGTACCATTTTTTTTACTCAAGTAAAACTTTTCAATTCATTTGTTGACAGCATTTTCAATCATTGACTTACAATTTTAACTTCTTCCCACTTTTTCCTGACAATCATGTTTTCCTTCACTTTATCTTCTTTTTCATCTTTCAATTTCTTTTCCTGTTCTTTTTTCTCTTTTAATTCTTGCTTTCTCTTTATGTTTTTTTCTTCCTCTCGTTTTGCCAACCATTCCTGAAAGGTATCATAAAGTAAATAAAAACAAATGAAAGTGTGATTCACCCCGATTAAAAAGATGAATGAATGAATACTATATAGTGATCAGTAATTCTCATGTAGAGTATGTACTGTATGATATACTAGGTCACAATTGGGATCCATGGATACCCAAGGTTCCACGGAAATTTTTTCGGGACCCATGGCCATGAGTAATATGAAAAAAAAATAGCAAAATGAAACTAGTCGGTATTGCGATCCAGATCTCACGAGGTAAGAAATTGAGGATAACTCTTTCAACCCAACTGCTCCACTCTGGCTAGAATGGAAGATTATGGGATTTGAACATGAAATGCACAACATGCGATACCAGCGCACTAAACTCTAATGCCTTAACTGCTAGACCATAGCGCTCACGAATAGTGTAGAGCAGGCTTTCCCAAATTGGGGACCGTACAGGGGGTCCGCAACGATATGAAAGGAGTCTGATCAATCTTTAATGATTGATTTTAATCAAAAAGCCATTGCATCTATTTGGTTGAGCGTTGCGGATGATATCCATTGCCGTCAGGAAAAGCAACTACAATTCTATTGACTTTTGTACAACCTACATGTGTGAAGCAGCATTTTCAGTCTTCACCAATATGATGACAACGCGTCGAGTCTTGCAGTCGGACCTTCGAGTTTGCTTGTCACGAATTGCTTCGAGAATTGAAAAATTGTGCAGTGAAAAGCAACCTCATCCATCACATAAATGTCATTTTTGTTGTTGTGTTGTGAATGAAACATTATCCTTCCTCATTGGTTAGGCAGAAATTCGATATAGAATGGGGGGTCGTAAAAACTAAGATTCACAAATAGGGGCCCGCGGCACAAAATGTGTGAGAAACTCTGGTGTAGAGAATGAATGTATTTAAAAAAGTTTATAGAAATATAGAACAAAATATTACCAAATAAATTTTCTTTCTTATATCTTCAGAAGTGACTGATTGACTCAAGTCATCTTTATCTTTTTTTTCATCTTTCTTTTTTAGTTCTTTTAGCATGGTGAGAGATCCTAGTCCTTGGTAGTTAGCAGGAGGAGTTCGGTAAGATTTTCTACCAGATCTTTTTCTTGGTGTTCTGTGCTCGTGATCATCTTTTCCTGACATTGAGCTCTGAATTTGAAAAATATATTAGTGTATTTTTAAAGTGAAATATCTACACTGAAAATGAGAGAAGATTAACAATAAAAGACGAAAGAAAATTAGTATATTATAAAAAACAAATAAGTAAATCACTATACTCTAAATCGACTTGAGTCACGTTTTTTAAAGACTTCACTCATTCCAGCGAAAAGACTTGTCATGCATGTCTGACTGCCGGAGAGACTCGATTCCGCCTTGGGATTTTTGGACTTGAGTCTTTGAAATAACAAATCGAATGATCCCTGGCTTGACTTGACTTCATATTTGCATGTAGTAATACGAATATTTTTGATTCATTTATTATTTTTGTAATAAGTAAAAACTCATTATGAGCTATTCAAATGGTCAACAAAGTCGAAGTGTTATTTGCTAATGATGAGTTAAAGATTGAATGACAAATGAAAACACAGTTTTTATGTGTAGTCAGTGGTGATTGAGTTGAGGTAGGTATGTTCAAAAAAGAGGTTGGGAACCACCAGGATGACGTGTGAATGAATAAAAACAACTTATCTTACATGATCAGATGATGAGCCGTCGTTATGTTGGGCTACATTGTCAATAACATTATCAATCAATAGTCGAGACGAACGTTGTCGAGGAACTTCATGCATTTTTTGTTCTGCTGTTTTCTGCACTATGTCATCAAGTGGAGATCTAATAATAAGGATTAAAACAGGCTCAATAGCAAATGCTAGACAAATAGTGTAAATGCTGTTGAGTCTGTGCAAGCAGATGAAACATCAAATGTTGAACAAACTTTCGTAATACAAATAAAACCTATAATGGTTATTATAATGTTGAACTTAATGATGTTGGCATTGCAGAATAGAAATTGGGTGTGCAATGCCAAATCGGAAAGGTCCCAGTTTTTTCAAAATTTAGTAGGTCATTATCTATGAGTAGATGCTTGGAAAGAGCCTTGTTCAAGATGAGAGACATATAAAATGTATAATAAAGTTCCAAATTCTACTAACTTGACTTTTTCTTTCTCTCTCGCATGAGCTTGAAAATCCACTGGTTCATCTTTTATTGCCTGATTAAATAATGCTAATAGATCATCAGCATCTGAATGTGACTTTTCTTTTTCTGGGAAATATATTAAAATACTTATCAGCATATAGGATTAGATTCCATATTCATTGAGAGGGAGAGGAAAGAAAATAAGACAGTTTAATCATATGGAAAACCCCAAATCTCTCGCACATACCGCAAATTACCTTTAACTTTATTATGTTTGCAAGGATATGGGAAAAAACATTCCCAATAGAGGAGTAACAGGCAATAACAGGTTTACTAGTAAAGATGTGGCAGCACAACTTCATAGAAGAGAATAGTAGTAATTTGTACAGATGAAGTGAGCATTCAGTGGAAAAACAACTACAGATTTCAACAATTGAATGACCTGATTTGGAGCTCAAATTAATTATGTCTAAACAAGTTCAAAGATAAATCACTGTATTTATAGCTGTTAGGTGTATCATACATTTTTAAAAAAGATTTAATGTTATGAACTTCTGTACATTAGGGGAATTATAAATAAAAAATGATTATAATTATTTTCAATATTATCAATGATTTCAATAGTGTTGACGAAAATAATATAGTGAAAGTGAAACTTTTCAGTTTTGAAGTCCACTGTACAAATTTGCACTAATTGCTTTTAACAATTCACAAAAGAGCATACCAGCTCTAGAAACCTTTGGAACAGGTTCAGGTAAAATATCTCCTTGTAGTTGGAAACCCTGATTTTGATTTATTGTCCGAGTTGACAAAGGTTTTGCCATTGGTTGTAAGGAAGGCAGGGGCATTGATGAAAGGGTTCTCTTGTCAGTACCAGGTGATAAAGATCTGTGTTTTGGAGATTTACTTCGTTCACGTTCACCAGAAAGTGTTCTTTGCTTTTTTAAAACATCTGGAGATCCCAATCGATCTGTAAATATCAAATTTTTCATGTTCATTCAAATACATGTGTTTTCCATAAAAATTAGATATACCTATATAAATAATTCATATTATATATACTGCAATTATTTGTTGCTGAAGCCAATAGACCTAAATGTTTTTTCCAAAAACCACTGGACAGATACAGTTTACCACTCCATCCAAACATGTCTTTAGCTTTTGAGAGTACTGAAATATGTCCCGTTCGGCTTTGCCTACTTAATCCATTATATCCTGGGTGAACTCAAGATGTGAAACCTAAGATGCTAACACAGTTAAGTCTCATACTTCTAACAGCTAGGCCGCCATGCCCAAGTTTGGCTTTCATCGCCAACATGGATAAATAAAACAAATTCAAATGCAGCTACAAACCTGGTGATTTTTTCCTTTCTTTGTTTTCCTTTTTAATTGTTTTTGGTGATAATGATTGACTTGGTTGAGAACCTTCAGAAGTTGTTCTGCTTCCTTTCTTTCTTGGAGCAGGTTTTGGTTGTGAAGGATCAAGTAAGAAGTCAACAAACGATTCGGATTTGTCACTACCTTTCTTTTTCTTTGATTCACCAAGACTAAAAATAGAAAACATATAATATGACTGAAATTCAGAGCACATTTTTAGTGAATTCCTGAACTGTACTCGCTGCACACATTTTAGTTTGAAACTCTGGAATTTAAACACCATAAAGTTGTAAATTTTGTGAGATAGAGTCAGAAATAGAGTCAAGAAATAGAGTCAAGTTATCAAAAAAATAGATGGAATATATGGATGCTAAGGGATGTAGTACATAAACATTAATTGATGGTACTAAGTAACAAGCATTCCAAATTGAACAGTATAAATTTGATGAAACATGATTTTTATTCTCAGTATAAAAAATAAACAATCTTTAGAAACCAATATACTAATTTTACTGTACAGAAAATAATTTTCTATCATTGTTTTTTTTTCTTTGAAATGGGATTTGTTTTATTTTATTCCTACCAAAATACACAAATAAAGACTTGAAAACCACTAAACTAGTGAGTACTTATACCTGATTTGAGAGTCAGAAGATTTCATTGTAGTTATAATTCCTTTTAATTCGGGACTATGTTTCCCAGATAGCATTGGTGATTGAGGAGTTTTTGGTCGTGATCCAGGCCTTTTTTCTATTAAACCACTTCTTTGATCTTGCATCTCTAATGAACGTTTCAACTCAGCTGATCTATTTGGGCTAATAACTTTCTCTTCCAAAATTTAAAAAGCGAATTGGAAATTACTTTTTGCAATGTATGGTTTATTGTGATCGATGAATACTACTACTATGATTGTGAAGGTAGAGTGAGTACCCACAGCAATTTAGTTTAATTGCAATTAAAAGTAAGGTAAATGATGGTGAAAAAAATACTGCTTCAATAACTACTTAAAATTTGAGTACTGATTTTCTGAATGAAATACTTTTTTGAAATAACGATAGCTTTTTAAGAATTTTTTAAAGAATTATTTTTATATACATCATTGCGATGCGAATAAATGGTATATTTCAATTTAAATTGTTAAAAACAACGAGTCATCACACTCTGTAGATTGTATCTCTAATGCACAAACACATGCAAAGCAAACAATACCACAAAGTCTTGCAGTTACGAATTTTTTGGTTTATCTCTGCTCCAGTTGGTTAATTTATTTAGCAAAAACATTGATGGAGTCCTCTAAATATTCATTTACATCAAAAGAAAAGTTCTTGCCAAATCAAAAAGGGTGGTTCAAATGAAAAAAAAACAGAATACTCGCAAGGCTATTTTTACAGGTTAAAGATATTACATAAACATTAATTATTGGTTTACGCTGTTTACCCCTTGAAGGAGATTTTCTTCCTTTTGGAGAAGATAAGTCAGCGACTGGACTTTTCATTCTTTCTTGCTGATATCCAATACTGCTACCAAAGTTTTTACCGCTGAAATCCATCCCACTTTGTTGAGGAGATAAACTTCTTTTTGGACCAGCAGTTGGTAGAAAACTTTGATCTGGTTCTTTATTTTTACCATGTCTTTTTGCTGGTTTTGGCTGTTTTTCTTTCTTAGGTTTGGGATCTGCAAGTTGAGTGAATGTTAATCAAATAAAAAATTTAGCAATTGGTTATATTGGGTTAATAGTACAGTACAGATGATTTTGAGTACGATTATAATCTGGGGATAGGACACATTATATAATATTAGAAAGTGCATTGGTGCAACGTAACTTACTCAATAATGCAAGAATTGGGTCATCAGCATAGTCATTATTTGTTGATTCACTATCTTCCGATATCATTCCACTATTAGGCATCGACGAATCCTTGTTCAAACTAAAATTTAAATAAAATTATGTAATAACAAGCAGTATTGATTGATGGACAAAACCTCTGGGTGGTCAAAAATCTACTGATTGTAAATAATATTGATCAGTACTAATGACTGGATAGTAAGTAGAATATTGACATAAACTGCAAATATAATTTAAATTTATTGATATTACATTAGACCGGGGTTTCCCCGAACTGGGGTCCGTGATGACTGCACATGGGGTTCGCGACGATATGAAAAGAGTCAATCTTTAATGATTGATTTCAAATAAAAAGCCATTGCAGTTTTTTTGCTGAGCGTTTTTGTCAGCGAATATCCATTGCTGTCAGAAAAGGCAATTAAAATTTCATTGCCTTTTGCAACAACCTACATGTGCGAGGCAGCATTTTCAGCTTTCTTTTACCAGACTTGCCATAGAGTCGGACCGACGAGTTTGCTCGTCACAAATTGCTCCGAAAATTGATAAATTGTGCAGTGAAAAGCAACTTCATCCATCACATTAATGTCGTTGACGTTGTGAATGAAACTTTATCCTTCTTCGTAGGTTAGGCACAGAAATTGATATGGCATGGGATGGGGGTTCGCTAATACTAAGATTCACAAATGGAGGTCCGCAGCCAAAAATGTTTGGGAAATCCTGCATTAGATCATACAGTCAAACTACAGACCATTAATAAAATCAGCAATCAATTGTTTTTTTTTAAATTTCAGTGTACAAATCAAATGCATAGACTGAACAAATAATTCTTTAATAATAATATATCCCTGGTTGAAAAAATTCAAATTGAAATGTAACATACATTTACTAAAACATTATTTGGGTTTCATTAAAATCCCTATGTGATGCAAAAGTATTTCAAATAAATCTGTCTATATCAACTGTTCAAGTTTAAAATAAGTCTATTTATATGCATTTTCAATTAGGATGTCAATTTTATTATTCAAGAAACCAAATTACAGCACCTGGTCCAGAAATTGATTAGACGTTGAAAGACATAAATTATGCATCATCAAAAATACAGATGAACTGATTACAGCATGTTTGTTCAGCTATATTGTTAGAACAAGATAATTCGAATATTTCAATAACTGAATATTGTTATAATTAATCAAAACTGTACACTGTAAATGATTATAAATTCTATTTTTATAGATAAACGATTCATCAAAACCAAAAAATTTATAAAAATTTAAAAATAAAATATGCGAGTAACTTGACGTGTGTCCAATTCATCTCTTCAATTTATATTTATCTGTTTTAAATCCACCGTAAAATAAATTCATAAAATAATATCATACCCCAGGGGATCAAATAGAGGTTTGTTTTGTTTCTTTGATGTTGATTGTTTCAAAAACATTGATCCTCCATCTCCATAACCATCGTCATCATCATCATCTTTCAAGTAAGAGGGTAATTCCCAATCATCATCTTGTTTTGATTTGTGGGAATATTTAGGACTGAGTTTCAAGCTACTATGATGGGTGGAAACTTCTGTAAAATAAATTACAAATATATACATAAAACTTTATTATAGAATTGTTGCATTGTAACTGGTGAATGATTACAGGATTCCTATCTGTAAACCATACCTATCTATTCGTCTTTGTGAAATTAAAGAATAATAAATTATTATTATAGACATGAATGATCAAGGGTTTGGGGGAGAAAGACCAGTTGCATTGTGACTGTGAATGATTACAGGATTCCTATCTGTAAACCATGTGGGCCCTACATACCTATCTATTCATCTTTGTGAAATTAAAGGACAACAAAATATAATTATAGACATGAATGAGGATTTGAGAGAGAAAGACCAGATTAGAGAAAAGTAAAAAATTGACACTTTTATTACTGAATTTGATTAATATAAATAAATGAAATATCATATATTGAAAATTTATTTTTGTGCTGAAATTTATAGTTTTTAGTACTTCATTTTTACTATCCAACTTCAAACATATTTTTGATCTAATGAGTCACCATATTTGGTAGTGTAATCGCGAATTATTTTCAGAATATTTATAATCAAAACTGGTGAACATATTACTGTATTATGTGAAAATTTTCATTGAAAAATCATTTTCAACTCTATTTCTTTTTTATTATTAATTTTTATAAGCAAGAAATCGGATGACTGCGCTATATTTGATCTAGAAAAATAAAAACAGGAAAAAAATTGTCACCTTCTTCAAAGTCATCGTCATATTCATCATCATCATAATCATCTTCAGATTCAGAAGTGTATTCAACATGGGGATTAAAACCTCGACGTTTCTTTACAGCCGCTGAGAGTTCTGTTTGAAACGAATCCTTTGGTTTTTTAGTTGATTTTAAAGACTCCATATAGAAGTTGTATTTTCTACACTGTTCTGCAAATGTAACAGCAACAAAATTTCAATCAGATTGCTCGTAGTTTACAGAAAAAACAAAGGAACTCTATCCGAATAAACCGCCCAAAACAAGAGGCGCAGTTCTTACCACTTCATGGCAGCTCCTGCCACGAACGTACCACGCCGTCTCCTGCCATGGTTTTATGGCGCTATTACCGGTATATTTACAAATTCATGTACCATATTTTAGTTTATCATGCGAAATTATATCTACTTAAACCCTAACCCTAACCCCAAATCCATCCAAACTGTATCCATAAGAAAAACATTCCAACTCACCAAATATTTATCACCATCAGCAGATTAGGGGCATCCCTGCTATTACAGCCGACCTGCCGTGGTTACGGCAGTAAAATTGGTGGTATTCGATTTGCTGCCGTAACCACGGCAGCTCGCTATTGGTTTGTGGCAGCTAAAAAGTCAGTCGCCGTGGGTTTGGTCTTAGTGGCCGTGGTTTGGAAATCCCGCCATGGTTTTGCGGCAGCTGTAGACGCCACAAAATACTTGAAACTGCACTTGCAAAACAACGTAAATTTGTTTACTTTGTATCCCAGATACCGGTTCAATGATGCGATCCGAATGCCACACGGTGTCAGTGGTGAACAACACTCAACTTTTATCCTATTTCTTTTATATTCGTCCAGGCGTAAGCTGTGTTAGCGTTATTGCTTTGTTTATAAACGATCATGTATGGGCAATGCGTGACTTTGTGTTTATAAGACGATGCAAACCTGTAATTTCAGTTCAGATTATATAGTTTCAGTTGTTTGCGGCGTTTCTAACTGATGGGAATTGTAGCTGTTGCGATATTATATCAGTATATTGCCACGAATGCCTGTGCAGTCAATTTTTGATGTTTGTATTGAATTTCACAATATACAAATTTTATCCTTTGAAACGTTAGGCTGCACATTTTTAATGTTTTTTAATTGTTTTTTAAGTACAGAAGTAGGAAAATTCCGACCGACTGGTTATTAATGTTATAACAATAAGGCTGAATCTGTTGTTATTCTATTGAGGCTTGAATGTAGGTTCTTAAGTCAGGTTTAATGTTATGGCAAGCAAATGAAACAGGTCTGAAATAATGTCAGAATGTACATTTTCAGATCTAAATAACAGAATTTAAACATAAAACTGTCCATTACCATTGGTAGTTGAATGGGATTATTTCACACTTGACTGTAACAAGTTTACAGACTTTGTGAAGTGCGATAAGAGACTACAAGATTTAAGACTATGGTTTGGAAGATTTTTTTGCTGCAAATAACATTCCTTTGTTCGTTATATTTCTTTCCTCCACCAGTTTCAACAGGAAAAAATGAAAAATGTTTTTGTCAGGTAACAATATAACTTTTGTCAAATTAATTTGATTTAGGTTGTTTGATTATTATAAACCATATTTTTCAAATGAGATTTGGATTTGTCTGCTTGTATTGTATCGGCTACCTTAATATTATAAATTGATTGAAGTTTTTTCGGTGTTATTATATCGCATTGTTTACCGCGCTATATCGTGAGATCTACCTAAAGTTAATACTATAGTGTGAGGTTCACCGCTGTTTTCTCCATTTCTAATGGATATATTTTATTTCTAACCCTAACCTCGGTGGTGACAGCAGACCTTACTATAGGATAGGATTTAAATATTTATCCCGGGGAAGAGGAAAGTAATAAGATGGCTTAACCATATGGTGAACCACAGCCTCTCGTCTGGTTACCGTTACCATTGTTCATATTTTGCAAAATAGAATCTACTTTGTATTAGAATCTAATGTGTATGAGTTTTACCAATGTCAGGTTATTCATGAGTGTTTATTATAAAATAATATTGAAATTAGGTTTATGTTTAGATACTCAGTGGACATCCATTTGAATATTCCCAAAGAATACTTCAGGGTTTTTTATGCATAATTTAAAAAATCCTGAAATGATATAATAAATCCATATATATAGTCTTGTTCAATATACATTATTTCATAATTTTTTTTTTGATTTTCAATGTTATTTTCACAGTTATCTGGAATGGTCGATGATTGTTTTTGTGATATAGAAACATTGGAATCATTCAACAATGAAAAAGTTTATCCTTTAATATCCAAACTTATCGAGCGTGATTTCTTTCGTTATTATAAGGTAATTATTTGGATTTATATGGAGTTCATAATACTTAACTTAATGATTTTTTGTCTAGTACTTGAAATTAATTTCTTATATTGTTACACAGCTCAGTAAGGGTGATGAATACAACATTGGACTAGATTATGTTTCTAAAAATTTCAGTCTGAAATCCCATGTCCACCAACTCACACCGGATGCAATAAATTATGTAGTCAATGCCAAATTTGGAAGATTCCGATTCTTTCAAAATATAGTAACTCCTTATGTAAAAGTTATACATTACAATGTAGGCTTTTATATTAGGGAGATACCTGTTATTGTTAATAGCCCACAAGTTAATGAAAAACTAAATAAATAATTGAGTTTATAACAGTACAATATGAGGCGTTCACTACTTCTGGTTGCAGAATACATTCCATTGAAAATAAATTTCCCTCCCAAAGATCTTCAAAGCTCCCGAAAATCTCAGGATTTCTTGTGAAATTTCATGATGAATTGTTTGAATAAATGGATGAATAGCACATATCAATTCAAACCTAAATATACCTAACTGTAGAACTTCAGAGTCTAATCCGCTTATTTCTTTCGATTTAAGGCCAATTTATTTAAAGAATGTTTTTTATGGGATGGTGATAGAGGATTGTGTGGATCGGAGAGTTGCGGGGTAAAAGTATGTGATGAAGTAAGTGTATCACCAAATATGTTGTTATGCAAATGAAGACTATTTAACGTAATGAATTGTTGGCTAAGACTGAGTTTATTACAAGATGACTTAAAAGCAACCCACAAATTTCTTCATTATTCATTAGAAAATCAGGAAAAATTATTCAACATTTGAACGTGTAAGACTGAACCAAAAAGTTTTGAGTAATCTAGGACTCTTTGCACAAAAGTTATGTCCTCTTTTGAATAGGTTTTGAATGGCCGGGTCCTGTTTTTATAATCATCCTATAAAATATGATAGATTAACCTTTCTTAGTTATGTGCTGCTTAAATAAGTAGGTAGATTAGTTTTTAACACTATCATTAAATGTATATTCTGTTTAATTATTCATGAGGGATAGAACTTTTATTCATATGGGAATGGCATGATTAGATGGCATTCTGTGTATCATTGGTTTTAAAAGAGAATTTCAAACAAAGGTATATGAAAATTTGGGTTCATGCCTGCCTGTCCCTGGTATTAAGTGCAATACATTGGCTTCAGTTGAATTTACTTTTCGAACAGTCCCTTACTAAGCCATTCCTCATTGAGACGAATCCAAAGCACTTGACTATGACAACAACAATGTTAATTTGAAATGTTTTTTTTCTGGTATTGGACCATAAACACACATTAATTGGGGCTACAGTTTCTGTCTTTATCACATGAAATATCTATATGGTATACCTAGTTATGATAACAAAAATAGATCAGAAATATTTTATTTATATCCAATATTTATACTCACAGAATGATTTACCTATTGGATTGAGACCGGGAAACTTCAACAAATTTTCAGAGAATATTAAAGATTGTGAAAAATCAGAATCATTAGGACATTTGAACAGCACTCTCAGGTTAATTTTATTAAGTTTTTGATGACATTTAGTTCATAATATTTAATTTAATTCAAGTGATTTTTCAAACATAGAAATAGAATTATAGTACAACCTAGTGTTACTGCAAATTTTCTTGGGTCGGTTGTTTTTTTTCAACAGAACCTACAAGATACTAACTTTGATCTACTAGTAAAAATCATTGGTTATTTTATTTTATATTTGGTATCGAAGTGTCGCTCAATAGTGATTGTATATGTGGGGAGTATCATTTGGTAAAAACTTGACAGCATTCATTTTGCTAAGTAAAGCCACACCATTTCATAAACTCGCTGATGGCGAACAAGTGCTACCTTCTTACTTTGGGGTAATTTCTAGGGGAATGTAATGTAAAAATGAATGTTTTATATTAGTCATTAGGTTTCTGGCTGTAAAAGTACTGCATGCCGTTTAGTATTTGAGCATGTCTTTGGGTCGCGAGATTTTACAAAATTTATTTTAAAAAAAAAATTGGAGTTTGTTGGAAAAAAAAAGTTGGGAAAGACTGATCTGGTGCATATATCTTTTATCAATATCACCTAACTCATCTAGGTTGGGCAATTTTAGTTCAACTTTGTTATCATAATATTGATCTGGTTATGTTTAATTTAATAAAAGTTCTTTGTACATATTTAGGTATATCTAAATATAATGATTATAAATATATTGTCCGTAAATATCAGTCAACCTTTTCAGGGGCTTCATGACACCAAAAGTTTAAGAACCCCTGCTTTATTAATACACAAATAATAAAAAGAATTTAGTAATTATGGTGCATATTTTGCAAAATATTACTGTGTTGATAGTCCAAAATCATTTTTCATTGCAGAGGAAATAATAATATATTGGTTGACCTTCATACCAACTGCTTTCTCAAATTAAAAATTGTCCTCAATTGATAATATTTCAATATTATTGTAATTAATTTATCAATATCACAATATGAATGAATATGAATCCATATGTCTGAGCGTGGTTAAAGACACGTTGCATCAAAGTAGTGTTTGCCTAATACGTACTTCTTTATTTACCAAGTAAAATTGTGTCATTAGTCCAAAATGTGTTGTTCATTTCCTTGGCTGTTCAATTCTATGTCATGTATTCAATAATTTCTAAACAACTTAGCAGGAAATGACTGACAGTTACTGACATCCCAAAATGCCTAGTATCAACTAGGAATGCTAGTTTCAGAATCGGCTCTTCGAAATATATAGCCAAAATTTAATGAATATTTTGACATATTGTTCTACTAAATCTAGTGACTCGTAGCCGGACTAATGAAGAATATTAAAAAAAAGGTTATTGAAAAAAATTTGAATGGGAAAAACTATAATACCTACTTATTAACCCTCTACTAGACGCGAAATTGTTTTTTTACAAATATTGTACAAATTTTTTACAAATATTGGTTAGGTCGCATTAAGTTCTAAAACGCCACAAGTGATGGTTAAGGTCTAATGGTTGACAAGTGAAAAATTGTGATAATAACCATACAAAATGGACATAGAAACGGGGGCGGGGGGGGGGGATGAATGGGCTAAAATCAAATTGTTCCAGTAGGTCATATCATTACAATTTCCTTCTTTTAGCTGAGAGCTTCTCACTTTGAGTAATCTTACGTCAAAAGTTACTATCTAATTCTAAAATCCCAGGCAAAAAAATTTAGCTGATTCGATTCAATACTTATTAATACAAAAAATATAGCCAAATCTCTAGAATCGCTAACACTGAAAATTTATCTGTTATTTGTGTTTTGTTACCTTATTCCCTAACAATCTCAATAATTTGCCTGATTTTGGCTTGCTTCGTTTATATTGGTAACTTTATAAAATTCTTGGTCGTACTTTGATGTATGTTTATTAATGTGCATTACAGCAATATAACTCTTGACTCTCTGGATAAATGGGACAAACATGATGATGAAGAACAAAATTTTTGTGATTTGGATGGTAAGTAGAATTGCATGTGTTGTGTGTGAAACAACTTCGAGTTGGGCACAATGTCCTTATATGGTCAGATATGAGAACTGAAGCCACAGGCCCGCAACACTATAGCGTGAGATCTACCTCAATCTAATACAATAGTGTGAGGTTTAACTCCGCATTTTCCATTTTTAATGGGTTTATAACCCTGACCAGGCCTCTGACTGCATTTGGGTAGGCGGTATATGGCAGTATACCTCATGCTATTGTAGCGCCGTAAATTGGATGGAATATTATACCAAATTGGAAAGATTTTAGTCTTTGTGTAAAATGCTATGAAAAATGTCAATTTATTTGCTGTTACTACAAATTTGCTATAAATTTTGTTCTCAGATGAAACTTCAATTGATTTGAATTACATCGATTTATTAAACAATCCAGAACGATACACTGGATATAAGGGACCTCTAGCATGGAGGATTTGGAAAGCAATATATGAAGAAAATTGTTTCCCGTATGTATTATAGTTGTAATGACAAATACAGATTGTAATCAAAATCCATATTGTTTGTAGCTACCATGCAGTTCTCATTTTAAAAAATGATAGTCGCAAAACAAAAGTGGAAATATGGTTGAGCCTTTGACACTTGCCATGGGTTACTTTTTGTTTCGTTTTTTTAATATACTATTTCAATTTTCTGCAATTTATACATGGCCCTCAGATAATGCTTTACAAATACTTTCCTGGTCTATATCATTCAACAAAAAAACAAATGTGCTTTGCTGTTGAGAGATGGACAATAAACAGATAACCTTTTATTTTCATTTTTCATAAAAAAGGTAGGAGACTTGTCACTGTTCGATTGTATAGCTTTATCAATTGAATGCAAAGAAAATATTTTAATTATATTTGTGGTAACTGGTAATATATAATAAATGTTTTCATTATTACGAAGTGTGGAACAGATGTTTAATTTTCTTTTTCAAATTAATTTTCATCATGTAGTCTAATTATATATTTGGTAATATCAAATTGGATGGTGTATGTGTTAGAAGTCACGTATCAACCTCAATAAATGTTTATTGAAAGAAATTAATTCATACAGGGTGATAAAAAATAGACCAAGGTCATTTGTAACATACTCTAGACTAGAGAGAAAATAGCTTTTGTGCAAAGAGTCCTAGATTGCTGAAACTTTTGGGTACAACCGTACACAAACAGAAGTTCAAATATTAAATAAATTTTCTTCATTTTCGTAGAAGTACCACAATTAAGAAACTTATATGTTTTTTGGTTTTTATTCCTGACAGAAGATGACAATTTTTAATTTGACTCTTGCAAAGTTCCCATTTTATAATAATGTTGGGTGATTTTCTTTTGACGAGCTTTTGTTATGACCTTACTACGTTACGTTCGAGTGTGGTTATAGTTAACCTGTCGCAACATGAGAGTACTTGAGTGGATTCCTCATTGCCACGAGACTGGCTGTAATAAATGTTATTGCATTGAGTATAATCACCGCATATTTGTCAAATGTTTTATATGTACATTCTGTTCTTCTAGGTCAGATTCGATGACAAAAAAACAATCAAATCCTATTTTGAAAGCATTTGCTACTAAAGAGGGTAAGTATTTGGGTAGTAGTTGGTAGGAAAAATTGAATAGCTGGTTATTCAAAGTATATTCTGAATGAATATCTTAGTTGGTGATAATGGTAGATGGAATTGTTACCAATATGTTAAATTCAATAGTTATTTTGTATTATTCGGACAAAAAATAAACTTTCAAAAAAGATTCATTGAGATATAGTTCCGTCTGCCTTCCTATATTGGTTTGTTATCAAGCTAAGATCAACCACAATCGTGGATTTTTGAAACCATTATTTTGTTATCGAACTATAGGCTAATAGACCATGTTTGTTTGGTATCTATAATGTGCGAACAAATTTCTATATAGTATGTCGGTAAAAGTGTATCAGTAAGCTCTCTACTTCTCTACTATTGAGTAATATTTTCTTAATTTGTAACAACTTCAGGAAATGATATTATAATAATCAAAATACGAGTGATTGAATGCTTTTCAGTTGCGATAAAGCAATACATATATGGTTATATCATTTCCTTCAAAATTAAAATCAGTGAAAAATTTATGAAAATGTTGTGGTCGTCATTTCCTATTCTCAACATTTTATTATCTCTTATGAATAACTAATGTTTACACTAGTAAGATTCGATTTTTTTAATACTTAATAAATTTATGGCCAAGACTTTCAGAAGTATATCTTAGCTCATTGACCGGCCTAATTCATTTGCCTCAAAAGTGCTGAGTGAATGTTTGAAATCCAAATAGTGCTATTTCTGAAAATTTGCACATTATTTTGGTGTTTAAAATAGTAGATGGAATTATTGCGTCTATGATCCACATATCCACTTAATATGCCATTTGAAACTGCCTTTTTAACTGATTTCAGGTGAAACACTATCTTCTTTTGAAACTTACTTTTATATATGTAAATTAGTGTTAGATTTTTAGTCGTATTATCATTGATAAAATGTGTTTTGTTATTGTGTAATTAGCATTTTTAGTTGCTCGTTAGTGCAATGTTTTTTGTCTTTGGTGTTTAGAGGATGGAGGTAGTAGATCATCATTTTTCCATACGCTATCATCAAGTGCAAGTTTGCAAGGTAATGAATGGGAAATAGTTGGTGGTTATTTAAAATATACTTTTATTTAAATGAAGCTTTTTCAAATACAAGTCTTAATATTTTACTGTATTTGCTGGTGTGAGCATATAAGTACAGGCTTAAAAGAACATGTTACGTTTACTAAAATCTCAAATTTCAAGATTATTTATGAAATTTTATTTAGGTATGAAATGAAATTTTACCTGAATCTTATATTTGAGTTATTATCTGTACTGACAATGTGACATTGTAAACATTTGCTTCAACTAATTTGATCTACTGAAAATCATTATATTTAAAAATATTGAAATGTAGGCATAGGTTATTCCTTTAATCTCATAGACATACATCATGGGCCCCATTTACAATATGCTAATTTTCAGAACTTATGTGGCATATCACATTTTCTTTGCGAAACAAGATTGTTTGTTGACAGTTGAGTTGACACTTAAATTCGTTTCTCATTTTTTGTCTGCTTATTGATTTTTAGGAATGTGTCTGGAGAAAAGAGTGTTTTACAGAGTGGTATCTGGCCTGCACTCCAGTATCAATATTCATCTTTGTGCAAATTACCAATTCAAAGGTATATGCATTTTATGTATAGTGGATATTGTTTATGTGTGTATGCAACTTTTATATTGTACAAATATAGCACTAATGGCAGTTTTATAATGTAGCCCCTTCTACATGAATTGACACCAAATTTTTTCAATAAATTCCCTTTATTTTGTATTACTGATTTTTATTTTATATATTTCAAAGATGGTTGGGATCAAGAGTACTGGGGTCCAAATCTTGACGAATTCCAAAGAAGGTTTGATCCTGAAAAAACAAATGGAGAAGGAACATTGAGATTAAAAAACCTTTATTTTATATACTTACTCGAGCTCAGAGCTCTTTCAAAGGTAAATATATGCATTTAGTCAAAAAAGTATGGCTACAATGTAAATAGCAAATTATGTGGAGAATTTTATGAAATTTAATATAATCAAGCAAGGCTATTTCATTCTTTTGCAAAATGCTGATTTATATAATTGGACCTGCTATTCCGGCAAGAGCTTATAGATTTGCCTCAAGGCATTTTTTCGCATCGTTTTTTATAGCTGCTGCATTCAAACTATGATCATGCTTGAATTCTTGTCTGGTCCATCATATGCTAAGGCTAACTCAAATCTTTTATATCATTTTTGTATGGAATGCACTGCTATGTAGTCTGCGGTAATTGACATTGAATAAATGCATAGTCAGGAGCAGGACTCAGGAATATTGTTTCAAAGTATCAAATATGTGGAATTTTTTAATGACATAACTGCCAAGTTTCCAGCATGACTAATCAATGTATTCTTTTCCTGACATGACAAGCAAGCACTGTCATAATATTATCATAACACGCCAATGGAATAACCAACATATCACTACTATATCTACTAGAACACTTACACATTGGTACATGTTTACATTTTTCTATTGATTGTGTTTCTGTGGGACCAATCTACTTGTTTCTATCTACATGCTTTTGTTCCGTTGGATCCAAATTTATTATTTTCATTTTGTATATTTTAAAAGGTTGCATCATATTTTACAAAAGATAATATTTTCTTATTCACTGGAAATCCAACCAGTGATGTTGTCACTAAGAGAATGTTGATTGATCTACTACAATTAACAAAGTAAGTAGATCTTGTATTGAATTTAAATATCTTCTTTTATTATTAGAAATAATCATTTTTTATGAGAGTTTGTGGGGTGGTTTAATTTTGTAATTTGTAGTTTTGACAGTTGAAAAAATTATGGTAGAATAAATATATTATTATTTTATATCATAATATTGGCTTAACTGTACATGTGGTTGCAAACCTTTTTCAATAATTCTCTCCTGAGGGTTTACACCTCCTTCACAATTCGTTATTATTGTTTTTCATTTTTACGGTTTAAATTTATTCGGTCATATATTTTCTTGAATATTTGGGTATAAACTTTTCTTGTAGTTATTTTAGGTAAAAATAAACTTCTTTCTGTAATAATAATGAATAGTCTACTGTCCGTTTCAGGTATATATTACATATTGTTATACCGTAATTTTTGTTTTTAGGGAATTTCCTATGCATTTTGATGAAGGTATACTTTTTCAAGATAAAAATTCCAAAGGTTTGAAAAGGGAATTTCGAGAAAGATTTCGGAACATCACTCGCATTATAGATTGTGTTACTTGCGAAAAATGTAGACTTTGGGGCAAATTGCAGGTAAAGATTTTATGGGAAATGACAGATCAATGGTGTGTAAAAATAATGATTAGTACAATATGTTGAAACATAATGTATTACAGTTGAAAAGACGCCCTGTTAGGAAGTAATTGTATATACTATACAAATTGTTAAAATGGTGTATTGTACTATTTGCCTTATAAAAAATGTTTTTCAGTATCGTCTGCTTTTGGTATTCAGATGATAAGGGTATTTTTCCAGTTAAATGCTTAATTATACTCTAATTATTGCCATAAAAAGGTTTTCAGATCAATGTAATTTTAACATATTCATTGTACTTGGACATTTGCGTTCTCTTTAGATCCCTGTTAAAATGTTAGTATTGATTTTTATGAAATTGAAATAGCTATCCAAAATAAGTAAAATCAACTACTATATGGATTTGTTATACTACCTTTAAAATTATTTATATTGTTGCAAAAGGCTAATGGAATTTTTCTGTATATCTGATATTAAATTTTTGACATAATTCTAAATAAAACCTATTACATTTTATATTGTTTAGACTCAAGGATTGGGAACTGCTTTGAAAATTCTTTTTACATCATATGATAAATTGGATAAATTTCATTTAAGAAGACAAGAAATTGTATCTCTTGTTAATGCATTTGCAAGGTAGGAGAGCAAAATTATCTCCATCTTTTGATAATAGTATAACATGTTTAAAAATTTGTTTTCTCTGAAAAAGAAAATTTTTTTAAATGTCATTGCTCGGTAAAGTGATTTAGAGATAAAGAATGCACTTCTCTAAGCAAAGCCAAGAACGTTATAAAATTATGGTTGTGTACTATGTGCCAGTGAATTGCTGGGTATTGAAACGCATGCGCATCGAAATAACTTAAAAACATTGTACATTTTGCCTGTCAAATTAGTGAGTAATACCACCTGTTTATGGTTTTATGATATGTGGTATAGTAGCAGAAAATTTTTTTGCATTTTAATCAGATGCTGCTCCGAATAATTCATTCAGTACTAGGTCCGTTTCATCAAACTTTTCTCTTCAGTACCCTTCAGTTTAGTTGATTCACTTTGTGTGTGATATCATTTCTTGTATGCATGTATGTTTATTTGCTTCAAAATGTAACAGTATCTGCATAATAATTAAACAGTGTGAAAGAGACTGGATACATGTTCAAGACCATGGCCTAAGACACAGATGTGCGACATGCACCCCTAACAAGTATAACAGCAGTTTAGGACTGCTGCGTTAAATTAGGAGTAGACAATAGACATGAAATAGGCTATACAATGTAAACTCCAGTACAATAGTTACGGTAGTTTTGATTTTTAGAATGGTAATTGAGATCTTCATTGAAGACTTTTGTTGTTGAAATCAATATTGTAGTGGTTGATAAAGAACAACAATAGTAATGAGCGAGAAATTTAGAAAGCCATATTATCTTACAAGTGTTTAAGTTCAGCTCAGTTGTAATAGTATTGCCATGTTACTGTTGGGTTTCACTTATTTATACATGTTAGTAAACTTTTCAAACAGGATATCAAGTAGTATACACAGTCTTGAAGTATTCAGAAAAATGCTTGGTGAGTAGTACTCTGATATTTAATAGTTGTAGCATCTCATTTGAGATGACTTATCATGCAGACAACATACTGGTAGAAAAAAATGCTATCACCGACTACCGTACTTACTATTTACTAGTTTGAGAGATTGCAGTTAAGGCATTTGAACAAAGTTTGGATAAGAGATTTATAAAGGTGGAATTCAGCTTATTATCGAATACATAATATAAAAATATGATTTACTTCGGGAGTTGGGCAACTTGAAAACCAAGTGAGCTAGAGTTTAAATGTAACCAAAATAGAAACTAGAGTGCAAGATGATTTTATTTGGTTCAGCAAATACAAAATGACAGAATTAGTGAATGAATTTATGGTTAATGTGGAATATTTGGATAATGCAATGGGATATATAAAATTTTATGTAATTCATTATGAATAGAAAAGCAAAGAATCGAACACTGCGAACAGTTAGTGCTGTTGATGTTTTATTTATATAAATTGACATTGCACTGATATGAGAATTTATATATTTTTCATACAACGCATGCCCTTTGTAGCTGCCACTGCTGCTAGGTAAGAAGCTATAGTTTAGAGAGGAAAGTAATTGTTGCGGCTTGGCATTGCCTACCCAATTTCTTACACCCTGGATGAAGTGATGAGTTTTCACCCAACATTTTGCGATGATACAAGGGGTTTTAGGTGGTATTGTGTGTTGAACTGCAAGTCCTTTCTCCTTGTTTATTTGCTACTTTTGATATGTATGTGTCAGTTGCCACAAGGATGCTGTTACGATTCCATGAAATAGAAAGTGCATTTCTCATAGGTTTTGAATTGATATGCCAATAAGATTATCAAAATCTATTTTTTACTATCCAAAGCTATTGTTAAATTGTACAATGTTCATACTCACTTTTTTATTCTTTTTCTAGATTGTCCAACAGTATAAATAATTTGGAGCTGTTCAGACAAATGCTAACTGAAGCTGTTACAAATGATGTAGAAAATAAATCTTTAAAATATCAGGATGAATTATGATAATTTCTTATTGCAATTTGTCAAGAAGAGTTATTGAAGCAAATATTCTTTAGTGCAGGGACATCATATTTGTGATATGTCAGATATTTAACAGAAACGTATTTTGTGAATGATTATACTACATGCTATGTTTGGTGGGGAAGCTGCTGCATTGGTTCGTATTCCGTGGGTGATCAAGCCGTGTTTAAAATTGGCTGTATTTGGGTTGGGGTGGAATTTATATCAAAATAATTTAATATTATGAAATCTAACATTCTAATTGACATAAGTGGTCAGAAATAATAATATATGCAAAATGTTGCTTTGCAATCATGACTTTACTGCGTTTCATCAATAAGAAAAGCTCAACAATTTTTCGAATGTTTTTTTATAATATTTGAAAACTAACAAAATTCATTGGACAAGTTGTATAAAGAAATATTTGGCATTGCTGTAGAATGTGATGGTTTGAACCATATACACCTGTCTCCTGATACTGTTTTAACAGTCTATTAGATTAAGATTTGTGGGAAATTTAATGAAGGTTTTAATATGAACAATCTTAAGCTGTTATTATGGTGGGGGTCTGAAAAGTTATCATCCAAATATTATTTTCCCTATTATTATTGGTAAAAATTAACATATCACTGTAAACTGACATATCATTTTAACAATTTTTTTCCCTTAACAATAACATGACAAGGTAGTGTTTATATCATTGCTTATTTTTTATGTCTGTCAGAAGAATTCCTAGTTTTTATGGTAGTGGTAATATTGAAAATTTATTCAGAATATCCTGTGTGTGTGTTGTCGACGCAAAATCTCCTTATCAAGGCCTCAAATGCTTGAACTCTAGTTATGGTGAAATTCTAATGAACTTGCTTTCCCATGAACTTACTTGACCAAACCCCCAAGTGCAATACTTTAGCAGATGGACCATACTTTATTTTTTTGCTTTGGACAATCTGGTATTTTCCCATGGTATTGTGAACGATTTGATTATTAGATTATTTTTATTCTTTTTGTTAGTACTTGCCTTAATATGAGCTAACTTTGTTGCAAATGTATTCCTGGAAATCCATCATATTTTATAGATACACAAGTTTTTGTTGCACTTTTTCAATCAGCTGTTGTCTGTGTATGTATTGTTCAGTTTCATCATCTCTTACAGCAGCTGAAACTAAATATGATTGGACCAGAACATTTGCAATTATTACTTTCTGCTAAATGTCTCATCTTTGAGTGATGAGGGTAATTTTAACAAGCGTTTTTGCTGCTGCTTTGTTATTTCTAATTTTACTGAAGATTATATTGTATAGTATTTTAAATCTAAGTTGAGGTGAAGGTTTCAATAAATGTCTATTATGTTATAAAATGTGTTCAGATCATTATATGGGGGACAGCCGGGCCTAAGATAAGACAGGAGTTGCTTTTGCTACTTGTAAGGTCAAAGATTTCATGTGTGTGTATGTGTGCATTCATTCTTTACAGTTTTGAGGCTTGTTAATGTGCTGGATAATAGTTATCTGCGTAGAACTACTTGATTTTTCTTTTAAAGCTAATTCGTGTAATTTGAAGGTACATGCCACAATATAGGAATGAATTGACTTTGTCAAAGGCGGCCCAAATAGTATGATTCATCAGGACATGCGCTCTAGTTAAATATTGATCCTGGCTATTTCAATTCCGAATCCCAATTAAACTGAAGGCTGTTTGAATATGGACATATTGGTAATTTAGCCAAATGAAAATAGTGCAAAAAACTACATTCTTTTTGTGTAGAATAATCCCAACCAAACTCTAGAACTGAAATATCTTGATCAGTCATTTTATACCAGCATACTTGCACTCCTTTTCTGCGAGTTAATATGTATATGTTGCAGAATAACTTTGTAAAATCAATAAAAATATCACTTTACCGAATACCATTGGGGCAGAAGACTCTAATAACTGAAAATAGCTCTGAAAAACAAATCTCAACGTGGTGTGTAATTTTGTCATTGTAACGACAATTGCCATATCTAGGCATCATTCATTTTTCCATAAATTTACGCAAATTATTCCTCAGTCTCATTGTCCGCATTTGTTTTGATACTCTTCTATTGATAAATAAAAATCTAGCAAGCGCTACTGCTTTGTGGTAAAAATCACCTCTTTCCCTACGTGTCAACGCACAGACAATGAAATATTATCAAAATGCATAGCCAAATTTATTTTTCCCAGAAGTGTGTAAAAAGTAAATAAGATCAGTCCCATAGAACATACATACTTTGCATAAACAAACACCAAACCAGCTACATACTGCTATGCTGTTTTAGTGTTTGATTTATCTTCAAATATACTACATTCATCAATTAAAAACGAATACCAAAAAAAGGGAAATATTACAGTGCCCAAATGCCATAAACAATGTGCATCAAATGTCCACCACAGTGGTACAAAATCTAACAACTCGAACGCAAGTAAGCAAGATGTGTAAACAACTATGAAAGAAGCTTTCCACTGATGGGAAAAAGTTTTTCTTGTCAACCAATGGTAAAATATCCAAGCAGCACCATTGGTGAGTCCAATTACGACATTTACAAACATATTGTAGCCATAATCAAATGTTTTGTATGTGAGATAGCTAACATGATAAATAAAAAATAAAACGAGGATAAGAGCAGCAGCGATTCGGACTAGGGTTTTTCCGTTTGTTTGATCTGGGTAGGGTACACCAAGCGAAATCCTAAAAATACAGTAGTAGATACTACATAATACAGCAGCAGTTGCAGAAAAGTAATCCATTTTTTCAGTGAATGGGAATTCCCTGGTATGAAATATAGATGACCATACCCATACAATGATCATTACAATACCCAAAGCCAAGGATGGGTAAAACAAACGATTTGCAGATGGTACTTTTGTCACAAACAATTTTAAAGAAATAATATGAGCAATTCCATTCATAACAGAAAAAATCATTGAAGCTGGTTCCTGGATTCCAAACAATCTAATGAACGGCCATTTTCCATGGAACTGAGGCACTGGCTGGTTATTTTGGGTGAAGATGTCTACCGTCTGCCACATGCATTGGTATCTGGTAAGTCAGTAAGAAAAGGGTATAGTCAGAAGGGAACAATTTAGAGGTAATATTGATTCATTTGTGATAATGATCGGCTGTAGTGGATAACAGGCTATTCATCATTTAAAAAAGATGTTTTAGTGACTGTAGGAATTCAGTTTGTTGAATTTTTGAAGTATATATGTATGTTTATTTGTCTCATAATAAGTATAGTTAAACTGAGAATTGCTAATGTTGGAGACAAGATGCATGCGCAAGACTATATTGACCTAAAACACTAAAGTGCAGCATGCAACCCCTCTCATAAACATATGCAGGTGATACTACTCCTCATTGCTTTCATATGGTTTCTTGTGAAAAACTCTAACACGACTAAAATATGTCATGCTCAAATTATCATACAAGATCTATCCAAACAAAAACTAAAAGAAGATAACTTTTGTTTAATTCAGCGTCCAAATGTAAGAATATTTTCCAATGAACGTTTCGAAATTGCTTTCGACATCCCTAATCACAAATTTCAAAAGAATATTAACCAGAATTCATTAGTAGCACACTGTGTTTACCCGTTCAATCGAATAGAATTACCATACCGACATTCATCTTCACAACTCCAAAATAATAGTTTCTCTGGAAGAGGTTGATTTTTTTGAAATATTTTCAGTTTCTGCGGTCCGATACAGTCTTTTCTGATACATGTTTCACAGCACGACTGAAATATTCATAACAGTAGTCGATTTAATACATGCATTCTCAATATCGTATCTATAGAACACTAGAATGAGTTGCTCAGTAGAATAAATTACCAGAAACAGAAAAATTTACCTCTGGACAATTAAAAAATTCATGTGAGTTTATCGCATATGCAATTATTTAATATTTTTTTATCTGATTTCAGTTTATACAACAACAAATTCATAAACCTTTTAACTATGAAGTGGCGCAATGAGGCAATAAATTAAAATAAAACTTAACATTCGGAATTCGTTTAGTTACGACGTTTTTTTTTATATATATTTTTTTTCGTAATTATGTTTTTCCTTTGTGTACTTTGGTATATGATAAAATAAACTACTGACTGACTATCCATTAAAATCCAAACTCACTGGCCTGGAGCAACATGCAGTAGCGACTATACTTACCCGATATATTGTCGACCTGTCTCCAAAAGATGCATTCACTCCCAATACAGACAGGACAAAAACAAGAAATACAGATACAAAACAACCTCCGACGGAAACCATTGTGCTGGAAGTTCGTGCCCAACTTTGGGACACAGTTGCCCCAATGCCCGTTCCCAGGCACGGAATGCGAGAGAGAGAGAGAGAATTTTATTGTTTCGTCAAACCAGAAAACACATACAATATATATGATAGCAAAATGAGAAAAATTAGATTTCGGTAGATGACAGGGTGGTAACGATACGACCATTAACAGTCATCTGAGTCGGTTACCACCCAAAGCAAGCACATGAATATATAAATTAATAACACAGGTTCTGTAATATTACACTCTCAGGATATACATATGGAAAAAAAACTATATACACTATGTAAAAAAAAATGATATCTAATTAGAAATGAGAAAAATTTCTAATCGGGATTAGGAAGTTATTAAATAAATTTTAAATAGAGAGGAGCAAAAAATAAGAATTCCATACCAAATTTATTATATTAATTTACACTTTCAATCTGTTCTGAATCTTTTGTGCTTACACATGATAAAATATGAGGGATATGATCACAGGGAAATTGAAGGTTCTATGAGTGAAAATAATGTGTTGTGTGAAGAAAACCATAGATTGAGATATGAAATATAAGCATAACAGTAGTACAATTTTATATTTTCAATTCATTAGGGTGAAGAAAAAAAGCAGGATGCATATGGAACTTCTGATTCCACTTGGTGACGCCTTACTTACTTACTTGAACTCATTTTTTCGTAAACTTGCTGCACATAACACCTATTTTCGGTCTAAGAAATAAAAATAAATGATTTCAATACTTAACAATATATAACTAAACTTATACTGTGAAACCAAGATAACAAACAATGGAACACTTAAGTCAATGCTTCCGAAAACAAATAAATAACTAATCCATCTCCCCCGAGATAAATATGTAAATCCTACTTTAAGATTTCAGGAAAATGAATGATGAATCCTGTTGTTAATGTATATATTTGTTTATTTTATTATTTAATAATCAAAAATCCATAAAAAAAACGAAAAGAGCAAACAGAAATCGGAGCTAGTTTAAAAGAGATACATATTTAAACATTTAGGATATGCGTGTCTTTTTTAATCAAATAGATTATCAAGCAATTGATGCAAGCCATTGGGGTTACCTCCAAGCACATGTCAAGGTATTTCGGTTTGTGATAATATGATCATCAAGGTATTGTTGTATTAATCGTCGTCGCATATAGTCAAGTTTTATTGCTTGTTACGCAAACCTCTCATATATAAATGTAACATGGCTGTTCGCGATGAACGTATTGTTTCTTTCTTACACGTTTATGTGAACCACGAACATTTCGTTCCAAACATGTGCTTTTGTATTTACTGTGTTCGGACAACGCTTACCATCGAACGATGAGTATCCCCTATCCGGTATAGGTTTCATTCTCGTGACAATTCGTAAAACTCATAGTCATTGCGTTGGCTTAACCGCTGGTCGATTATGACTTACTTGCCGGTTCAAGCAAGACATAGCATACCGGTATGCAACAATTTTCCTAGATAGCTACTCCCATAGTCGACTTGACTGAATGATTTTTATCCTATGTTTTCATAATTATACTTGTTATCATACTTATTATGTTTTCTAGTTGAAAAATTAAATAAATACGACCTGTCTCCTCATTCTTGACCAAAATGATGAAATTATTTTAGATTCTTCTCATTTAGTGACTACTGTAAATATATACTGAAACCTATTTATTTGCAATAAAAAAATTATTAGTTTTTATCAATAACTTTTATTGTGCATACCATTTTTATGAAATTGAAAAAGTAAAAAAGACATTGAAATACTAAAAATATTGTGCAAAGAAAGTGCCCCATCAATAGTTCGGATCATCCACATTTGTCATTCTGTTCTCATGTAACTTCTCTTCATAATCTGATAGTTGCCGCACAAGTCCTCTGTTTGGTCTCACTGTAAATTTGCAAGTCTTGATGTGTCGCCATGCATCCTGTAAGCAATGAAGTCAGTTGTAAAATTAGTATATATTAGGTCAGTACATCGTAGATACTTCGCGATAGTGGCACAACTGCCAACAATTACACTGTTTCCATAAATATAAAGAAAAGAATTTCTGATTTGCGAAATGGTTCTTGTAAATTATGTCCGGTTAGGCTTTCCCCAAATTCATCCACCACGAACAATTAATTTGCTATAATCTGGACTGGTAACAAGACGGGGAGATTTGATTGCAGAGAAGTCAAGTTAAATACATCTCCCAGGTAAATGACAAAGTCAAAGTACAGAAAAAATCAGAAATTGAACGAACTGCATCAAAAATACAGTCAAAGGAAGTCACAAAAAATTCACTAACCTTTAGGGGCCACTTGTAATATGTCATGAGATATGCAATGCATGCAGCAGCACTTCTACTGATTCCTCTGTCTGACCAAACCAGCATTGTTCTTAATGTTTTGCGATTATTGGCTGCAATGAAAAATTGATTTGGTTAATCTATCACAGTAAATTCTCTTGCTGCGTCAATAAGCATTCTTGGCATCTCTTCCTCTGCAGAATGATGTTTGCTTATTGGACTTTGATCCTGTCACAGTCTAAACTAAGTTTTCTGTACTCATTCATTGTTAAAATTAGCCATGGATATTGCCCCTAAAAATTCAATGCCAATGAGGTGTTTTTACGACTCACACTGTCTCGAGTCCTTTATTATGTCAGTCGATATTTGATCAATTCTCAGTATCTTTATCATGTTATTGACTGAGGTCCACTCTTTGGTGACTGTACTCGTATTTGAATTAATTGTGGTGGACTTGCTAGAAAATAATACTGACCCCTTTGTTCGGAAATTTATGTAAGTTAAATCATAATACCAAATATCATGCATCTTACCAATGAAATCAAGTATTCTGGGGATATTAGAACTGAAATCTGCTTCACAATTATCTTCAATCGGAATTTGTAAGTAAGTGCTTTTATCTTCTTCAGTAAAGCTAAAAAAATATGTGTAAGCATGTAGATTGATAGTGTTGTATGAATTTATTTTTAGTTTAGTAGTATTATTCAATTAGCTAGAGAGGTCAAAGCTTAAGACCCTCATCAAAGGTGTAATGAACTACGATCCACAGCAAATAATAAAAGTGTAAAAGATGGATATTTTTCTATTGATTCAATTTTTATCTGACAAGAAGGCTGAAACAAGAAATAAACCTACAATGCATCAGTTGAGTGAGACATATTTAAATGTGCTTGTATCTTGAGATCTTTGTGTACTGTCTTACTGCAAGCTTGGTCTTTTGTTCCAATATATAATATACTAGGCAGTATTTCACACGGATATGTGTTCAATACATCCAGTTCCTGGAATAAACATCTTTAAATCAAAAAATACTTATTATTCAGAATTATATAAAGAGCAAAATTTGAATTTGAATTACAATACTAGAACTGAAGAAATATAGCATACTATTAGATAAGAATGTTTCTAAGAATAATAAAATTACCTGAGGAAGATAAATGATTTTTTGTGTTCGGAGAAATGGATACATCGCTGAAAAATCCTCATACCCGCCACGTAAAATTTTCACCGGATTTTTACTCCCATTTCCTGCCATTGTTGATGCACACTTCACTGCCCTGCCTGAAGCATATCCTCAATTTGAAATTGTTCAGTGGGAATATTTTAGAGAAATCAGAAGTATTCACAACATGGCAGTGAAGTTATAAAATTATTTTGACAAATACGGTTGAATTGTAACCTGCTGTGAAAATTTTCACTAATTCATATGTTTTATCATTCGTTTTGCATGCACCAAATTCATAGCAAAGAAAGTACATCGATATACAAACCTTTTTCTCGTAACGTTCGACAATTACTGTCATAAACAATCACATGAGTTTTGCATTCCAATTCAGCATCATATGGAACAGAAAATATTTCATCCTCACTGCAAGGTGCCCGTTTTGCACAGATGACATGACTTTCATCATATTCCAGCTTTTTTCTTGCATCTTAAAATGTTTATTAGAGAATTGCAGTGGAAAAACACGGGCCGATAGTAAAATTTATGACTTCTAACAATTCAAAGCAATGAAATCACTTAATCTTAACACAGTAAATAATTGAAATGAGTAATAGAAGCATCAGTACTTCACCACTCTGCCACTAGATTGAGATTACTACAGTACTATGGCTGGCACTTCTTCAGTCCAAAATGGTTGGGCCATACCCATTTGACTGCTTGATCACTACTATTATATCGTTGTACCTTCTTCTCCCACCTTCTATCCATACAAGTATAACAGGCCGTTTCAACTTATTGTTATAAGTAAGACTCGTAATTAAACCTGTATCACCATAAAATTAAAAAAGTGACTTACCTAAAAGCAGAAGAAAATTTGTGTCACTCAAGCATGGATACACCGTTCTTTGATTCAAAATATTATAAAGTTCTGTCGGTTCAACGAGAACAAGACCCGTCATTTCAGTATGGTCCTATAATAGTATGATGTAAAACGGAAAAACAGATCCAGGCGAAGAATGCAAGATGCACGAGATATCGGCGCGTACTTGGTATCCATAGCGATCGCAATTCACAATTAGTTCCTACACGGTAATAAACAATGCTCCCTTATTTTTCAATAATGGACTAATCGATTTAAGTTATGGAAAATGGCAGCAGCTTATGCTAAGCCGTTACTTGTTTCTCAACTTTCTGTTTAACTTTTTAGGTCTCGTTGTTTTTTCCGAAATTTTGCTGCTTTTCGCCAAGTTTCTATTCAACTCGTAGCATCTGGAGCAAACTGGTCGGCATTGGTGTCTTGGCTTATTTAATGTATTACGCACATATGTCTAAGCTGATTTCTTATCTTTTAAATTTACCGTATTTTTTTCGGCAAATTTCGGATCTGTAGGTTAATGACAAAATAGACAGCAAGTCATCCCATATATAGCTAATTCAAATTCTCTCGATGTGACGCACCTTATCAATTTCCTTTGTAGCCACAGGCTTCACTGTGTTAATTTGTTCATCAAACAGAATGCACAATCGATCTATATATTTGTTAGTATTTTGTGTCAATTAATGAAGTTTAACATTCTGGAATTGGGCTAATTGATTGTATGATTACAGGTATGCCTATTTACAGGTATAAATATGAGCAAATGAAAGATCACAAAACTACAGGGGATTTTTTTTATGATAAAATGTACAAAGCTCTTATTTGATCTTCAGAAATTTGGATGATATTTATAGCCTACTATCTTATAATGGTTGAATCTTCATATTTTTTAGTTCTTCTTCATTATTCTGTAAACATATATGTTCTATTTATTGTAATTGGAGTATCCTTTAACTGGAACAACTTCACGTAAAGTAGATGCAGCTGAACCGATATGATACAGAAGAATAGAATACTGTCTTTCGACCTGTAATAAAATGCGCATGAGACATCAGTTATATCTTTTATAGGCAGTTGAGTCCATTCAAAAAGAAATTTTGTCAAAATTTTGATAGCTTTAAAAAATAAATTTCAAGAAATCGAAATCAATTAATTAGTTGCCGTTGTTCACATGAAAGATTGCAACTTTTTGGGATTGCAAAGTACACTGTTGGGCGACAAATGTTATTACGCTCTTGCTAAGGAGAGAATATATATATAGCCTAGTATTTCATATTTCACCCACTGCATTTAAAAACGGCTTAGGTACAAGCTATGCTAGGGGAAGTCATTTTTATTTTTGAAATTTGCCAATGGAAAAAAGATAGAATACAGATTGAAAACCCCCTCAAATAAATGGTCACTACGAAAATGCAAAAACCATTGAGCCTGCTATATTTTATATATGTGCATATTTTAATTATGTCCAAAAGTAATATTTTTGCATTCGAAATCTAGCTATCACATACTATCGGACAAGAGTTTCAATAAAAAACATATTTTGGCCTGAATAAGGAAATTTATATTATCGAAACTAAAAATTTATTTTTGTCAAAATTATAAATCGGTTCTGAGGTTCAATCACTTGTATTATTATTTGAGTACACACGGAGCTGGTAAACTGGAGAATACAGATATAGCGTGAAGTAAGATAGAGAAGACAATTGAAAAAGTTACAAAAAAAAAGAACTATACTTCGCCCGGACCACTAGACTGCTGGACATCATAAAGAATGAAAATACCTCTCTCCATCTATCATCTTGATTAATGTCCGCTTTAATGTCAAAAAGTGAGTCCACTAATCCTGGAAATGCTGAACTTGCGTATGAATCGTGGAGACCTGGCGCATATATAACGTGCCTATGTATAGAAAAATATATTCTGTAGTTTCTGTGAATTTGTCTGAAGTTTAAGAATGTACATGATTTTGAATTCCACGCCTAAAATTGATTCTTTCTCCAATTCCATTCATATCTATAAAAGCTCTGTCCAATTGCATCAGCTGGTCGTTGATTGCTCGGATTTTCAGTTCACTGAAAAATACGTATATGGTGAAAAAGAAATTCTCACAAAAATCTTTTCTTGGATGATTATTATGTGGGCGTCAAAGAGGAGTAGTCAACAATAGCGTGAAAACATTAGGCAAAACATTGTATTTGAAAATCGATTACGAGAGTTCGTGACGAAAGGTTTGCAGTTGCAAATCATATCGACAAACGTTGTTAGTGTTCAAAATATCTCACCGGCTGCGCGCATCATTCGAAAGCGCATAAACTGAAAAGGCCATATTAGGATCCATCGAGTTTTAAGTGATCTCGTATGGGGCTGAAACATAAAGCTATCCTTATTCTTGTTATTTATTTGTCAGCAAAAATATGGTCTTATTATGAAACCAATCCGAAACTGAATTCAATTATATGAACTACCTTTTAAAAAAAGGCCCTTTAATTTTATATTAGTTGTATATATGCTTTAAACACTTTTACACTTTCTGATATTTACATGGATCACTACAGCTGGTACAGTAATAACAAAACTAGATAGCGATCGGAGACCGCCGACACAACGATCTTCCGCATGTTCAATATTTTACTCGACCAGCCAAAATACCTAGTCCTAAACGCTCCACATCGCAGACAGGGCATTGTTACGCACACCATCGATCGCAAGAGATCCTGATTCGCGTAGGTAAAAAAATCTGAAAAAAACGATGGAAGTTAGGGGATCCCCCAAAACAGAAACTGCGGTTTTGATTCCTTCGCTCTGACTCAATAGCGATACCACGTGTCCCATCACTAATTAATTAATAACTCGCTAATTATACGACATAATTCATTCATAATAGACTTCTGGTCCGAGATATGATGAATGCACATGCAAAATTTGGAGCAGATTCAACCTCGCTTTCGTGAGATATCAGATATCGCGTAATATACGAAAGTGTCTAACAGACAAATACCTATCTACATATCAACATCCCGATAAGTCATTAAAACTGTAAACGCTCACTTCGTCATGTCAATCTGTTAAAATTTTATCATGAAGTTCTTTTGCCGCTGCAGTAAAGTTCCCTATTGCGTAATCGAACTGTTCTGAATAAAAGGTATAAGATTAAAAGGCTGTTTTGGTGGATGCTATTGAGTCTAATTGTATATATGTATTTATTTGTAGATGTATATAAATATGTATATACATATTTAAAATGGGCCGCAGTCGCATCCAGATGTGAAGTCTTCAGTATCCTATTTAATTTAACCAATAGCCGCGGTCCTACCCACGCAGTAGGCCATTCAAATGTCGGTTGAGTCCATACGTCTACTCTACCATTGTTTTTATAACTTACTTTTTATAACATGAAATGTTTAAAAGGCTCAAGCTACTGTTTGCTACGTATAGTTGCAAAAACAGCGTATTTAATGTTATTAATCTTACTCAAATCAAATCCATGTTCAACTAATAGGTTTTTGTAATGTGCGATGAACGAGTTTTTGTCTTCCCGAAGTTTTGCTGCGTAATCTTTACAGTTGAGTGGCAAAATGGGAGAATCTATTAATCGACGACCAACTTCTCCGATTAATTGCACTATAGATTTGCTGAATTTGAAATCTGGATCAACAAACTTTTTCACATAATCGAAGGTTTCGTATACGGAATGGTACACAGGATAATACGAAATCCCAATAGACTGAAATAAAAACAATCATTAAAGTACTGCTTCATATTACTCGTTCAGTATAGATTGAGTATTAAATTACGCAGGCCGTTTTAGGCTCGGAACGCTATGCGGTTGTAATTTGATATATATATATATAATTTGCACAGAAGAACTTATTGGAAAGTTACCTCGTCATAAGTATAAACTGTCGAGAGAGATGAAACCCCAGCTACCTGAACAAATGGCGTGAAGTCGCTTCCGGATCCTAGTGTTTTTATTCTAAAATAGGAATATATATCGTTAAACAAAAATAGAATATTTTAGATACTGAAAAAAAAACTTTTTACCGGTTAAAATCTTTCGCTAGAGTTATCTTATCACAGAATGTGCGAAAGCAAACTTACAGGGGAACACTCTGGGGATCACTAGGGTCCTTCGGCAACCTGTGCGCCCAGGTATCATACATTGTATATCGACCCTCGGTGATTTCACTTTCGTGCGGTGTTGGTATGGTTTTTGATGACTCTAAGATAACTTCATTTAAATTAGGTGATGCTAACATATCCACAGTATAGTTTCCAATTACCGCTAAATCGAGGTTTAAATATGCAACAGATCTTGACGTTAGAAGCTTTTGAAATTCCTGCAAAAATATGATCACTGTCTTGTTATTAAAATAAATTATATAGACATGATATTTTTATACAGGTAAAAATATTTTTTAAAGGAAAAATCTTTAATTAAAATAATTGTGAAAGCACTGAAATTCAAAAAGTACAACTTTTGGCAATTTCAATGCATCTGCGCAATTAAACTTTTAACTTCTCTGTTTGAAAGACATTTTCAATTTTTTTTGTATGCGTGGCATTCCGAGCCTCCACAGGATCTCACAAACTGGCACATTCTGTGGAAATATAAATAAAGAACTCAGTTAATTTTAGTTCCAATCTCCAACCTCGACCCATTCTGTCGATCCCAATATTCCGTATTCTTCTGCGCCCCAACTACACAAAATAATCGTTCTTCTAGGTTTCCAACCCCTTTCTACAGCAGATCCCAGTGAACGAGCCATTTCCAGTAGAGCAGCTGTACCAGAAGAAGGATCAATTGCTCCAAATACCCAAGCATCTCTATGATTTCCGATTAATACGTATCGATCTAAAAAGTCGAACGGTATTGAAAATTTGTAATAGAAAACGAAAGCAAAGTTTGAAGTATTAAAGAAATATTGAGTTATTACCAGTTCCGAAAAAATTGCAGTAATAGTATTGTTATTGTCTCTGGGAAAAGCTTCCAACAATCATTACACACATATAAATGTTAGATCTCCAGCGCCGGTAGTGTCTATTTCTTTATTGCTGACACGTTTGCATCTTTTCGTTTGTCAACGTCGCAAACGTCTCAATTCATTACTCGCATTTGATGTGTTTCTTTATTATCTGTAGACCGAGCCGAGAAGGTTTCTGTCTACTGCAATTTGCGTGTTTACATCGTTATCGTATCGCCTGGCGTTAGAGCCGAAATTATAAATGTGCACAGCTAGTTTGCTGTTGCAATGCGTTACTTCTATGGCGATTTATCATTAGGAAAGCTGTATCATGTTAATTATAGTGGGCTAATTATGCTTTTCTTTGTTTCATGCTTATTTAACTTGCTAATAGTTTAAAATTTGCTGCATTGAACTCTGGATTATTGAACTGCAATTTGTGAATCTGTCCTGCGTTTTGATTATTTTGTGAACAATTCTTGGTGAGTTTTCTGTATTTCATTTCATTTGGCTTGTTATGTAGTAGTCCTATTTGGATGACATACTGTTGGTATTATATTTATTGCCACAATTAATGCTGTGGGGTTAAGTACTGTTATTGTAGTGCTTATTTGTTCGTGTTTATTTCAGTGTTCTGGAGTTACATAAAAGATTCGATATATTGTTGACCTTGGCTAAAAACAGTCGGTAAGCGATATAATTTGATTGCATGTTGGTTATTTATGCGGCAAATTCATAGTATTTATAGTGTATTTTGTTTTCTTTAGAAAACCTCTCTCTCTCTCTCTATCTCAACTCAATCTATCTGTATTCGTCATCTGTTTCCGTGATCTATTTGGCTCCATCTGACATCTCGATTTTATAATTTATGCTGAGCAAGTGCTTGATATTTCCACGACATATTACAATTCTCCTGTGTTTAAATTGTTTTGTATTGGGGGCTTGTGGACTTCAGCTTGCATATCTCAGTTATAAGGCAGGGATAATTTGGAGAGGATTGTCTGGACCGAACATAGTTTTGTGATATACTATTAGAGCGTTTAGACTGGAAAATATTGGCGCACGGTTCAGCGCCCTTCGTCTTTGTGTAGCAAGCAGGGTGCATAAGGTCACACCCCGTCAAGCTTCTACATAAAAAGTTTTCGACTAGTGCCTTTTTGCTAGGTGCAAAGAGTTTTCGACTTCTGCAAGTTTTCGACTTTTGCCTTTTTGCTGATTGCAAAAAGTTCAGACTATTGCCTTTTCTGCTGGGTGCAAAAATTTTTCAACTAGTGCCTTTTTGCTGGGTGCAAAAAGTTTTCGACTTATTCATTGTGTCTTGCAACAAGACGTCGATAATTAACAAGATACTGTTCAAGGTTGAAAGACTTTCATCGTTCAAGCTATAATGGAATCCAAGGCAAAGCAGCAGTTGGGCATTTTGCGATCTGCTTTGCAGGAAAAGTATTTGATAGCTGAACGTTTGATGCTTCAACGTGAAAACGCTGAAAAGTTGTCAGTAGTAAGGCTAGAAGCTGATGAAGTGTTCCAGCAGCTAATCTCTTTAATTGACATGATTCCTGAAAGTGCAGGTAAAGAGATTACTGACTTTCCTGTGACTAATGATTTGAAGCGTGAAAAATCGGAATTTGATTCACGCATCTCGGAATGGTTCGAAAAATTGAAAACGCATTCAACTGTGCAACCAGAAAATGTATCGTCAAAGTATGCGGGTAGTATTTGTTCTGACAATACATCGAGAGCATCCTTCAAGAGAAGATTGCAGTGCAAAGTGAAACGCGATCTAGCAATTGTACAGCTTCGTCACACGGAAGAAAAGCTAGAGGAGGAAGCTTTGAAACGTAAAATGGAGCTTCGTCACACGGAAGAAAAGCTAGAGGAGGAAGCTTTGAAACGTAAAATGGAGCTTCGTGATGCACAGCGTAAAGTGGAATTGACTGAAGTGGAATTTTTATTGTGGGATACGAAATCAACTGGTGATTCAATAAAAGGTGATGGAGATTTCAATAACTTGAGTCCTATTAATGTGTTGCCAGGTACGAGCAGGGCAAGTGATAAAAAGCCTTCAGTGCCATTGGCGAGCCGCAGAGAAGAGACTGCAAGTACTGAGCAAAAACCTTCATCACCCAAATTGGTGAACTCACTCCAGGTTGGTGATAAAATTCCTCCTACAACTGTGCATAAAAATGTAATGCAAGCTGATGTTTCATCATTGAACAGGCGTCGATCTGCTTCGCTACAGAATGAAGCCACACATACTAGAATAAATACCAACCATGATGGCTATGCTGCCTCTGATTCGTGTCATGAACGAGTACGTTTCGCAAGGTCGCATAATGTACACACATATTCTCAGACTCCATTGAGAAGAGATGATAATGCTGTTCCAAATAGAACTGGAAATGGTCAAAGCTATAACTTTCAGCCTGTGAATCGTGCGATAGCTCAGGAGTGTTCATTTGCGGCTGAACCAGATGGAATGGCTGGCAGTGAACACCATCACGTTTTCCGAATAAATGAAAGTAGTGTCAATGAGTTGCCAGATGTGCAGACTCGTGGATATAGGACACTTCAGGAAAATCGTGAGTCGGTTAATGATTATGTTTATGAATCTGGGCCACAACATTATTCACAGCGGAGAACAAGAGAATCATCTCCAGTTATACAGCATCACCATTATCATGGACGTGAAGAATTCTTCTTTCAGAAGCCCAAGTTACCTGTGTTCAATGGAGATCCTTTGAAGTATATGTCTTTCATAACAAATTTTGACATCCACCTGGCACCGAAACTAGAAACAAATAGCCAGAAGCTTGTGTGTTTGTTGCAATATTGTGAAGAGAGAATTCGTGCACAATTAGAATACTTCACAAAGAAGCCTGAGAATGGATACAAGCTTGCTAGGCAGAGGCTGTTTGAAGAATATGGTCAGCCTCATATTATCGCTGGTGCATGTGAAAGAGTTCTAAAAGAGTTTCCAAGTGTGCGTGATGACAAGCCAGAGCAGCTATTGCAAATATCACAAGTAATGGACCGATGCCTGGGAACTCTAGAAGACATTGATGAATTTGCAAATGTAAACACCCTGGACACTATGGGAATGCTGATGGCTAAACTTCCTGAAGATGTTCAGGATGGCTGGCCACATGAAGCCCTCAGAATTCAAAGAAAGACTGGTCGTCAGGCTAAATATTGTCACTTGGTCGATTATGTTTGTAATTGGGCGGATGTAAAAAATTCAATGTATGGGAAAAAGCTTAATGAGATTAGTCACAAAAAAATTCCTGTGAGTGTGAGGAGAAACAGAGCTGCAACCTATAATATTGATGCTGAGGCCAAAAGGGAACACATTGATCAAAAACGGGATTTGGGATGTGTATGTTGTCTCAAACCGCACAATTTGTGGAACTGCCCGGACTTCAAGAGTAAATCGCATGAAGAAAAGGTCAGTCTTTTGAAGGAGCAGAAATTGTGTTTCAAGTGTCTGTCTCATGGTCATCTTGCTCGTAATTGCAAGAAGGCCAGTCAGTGCAAAGTACATGGATGTAAAGGAAATCGACATCACACACTGCTTCATAGATTTATTGAAATTCAGGAGAAATCGAAAAAGCCTGAAGAGGGACCTGCTGTATATTCATTGGCAAAGTCGTCAAAGTGCAATGGGAAAAGTATCGGGCAAGATGTTTATTTATGTGTGGTGCCGGTCAATGTTCGAAATGGTGAAAAGACCGCTCAAACATACGCCTTGCTGGATCCGGCATCTACAGTTACTCTGTGTAGTGAACGTTTGATGGAATATCTCGAAGTAACAGGAAATACTAGAGATATCACATTACGCACAATTGGACAGAGGCCATACAATACAAGGGTATATCTGGCAGTTTAGTTGTATCGCCGCTAGATGGTGGTGCTGAACATGAAATCACAGATGTGCTCTCGGTTGAAAAAATTCCTGCTAAAGCCGAATAAAGCGCCCGATCAAAGGTTCCTTAAAATCATGCCGCATCTTCAAGATGTAAGATTGCCTATCTTGGAAGGAGGAACAGTGAATCTTCTGATTGGGGCTGACAATGCGGAACTCGTCTGTTTCCAAGATGTTCGAAATGGACCGAGGAAAGCACCTAAGGCAGTGAAGACTGTTCTTGGCTGGTCGCTGTTCGGACCCAGTTTTGAGTCGCCATCAGATATCAGAGAAGTTCATTTTACATCTGATCATTATGTCAATTTCGTCCAAGTGTAAGGATTTGGAAACACAAAAGAAAATTGAAACTCTGTGGACAACAGATTTTGGCCAATGAAACTTCAGTTCTTGATATTCCAAATTCTCGAGAAGATCGAGCAGTGTATGAAATTATGCAAAATTCGGTGAAACATATTGGTGGTCATTTTCAACTTCCTTTGCCATGGAGAACCGGGATGCAGGATCTACCGGATAACCAAGAGATGGCGAAGAAAAGACTTCGTAGCCTCAAAAATAGACTGATGAGAGATTCCGATTTGCATAAAAGGTATGTCGAAGTTATTCAAGGATATATCAAGGCAGGATATGCCAAAATAATTTCATATGCTGAAATTGATACGTCTAATACAGTTTGGTATCTTCCTCATTTTCCTGTCATGAACCAGCATAAGGCGGGAAAGGTTCGTGTAGTTTTTGATGCTGCAGCCAAATATGGAAATGTGTCTCTGAATGATTGCTTAATGTCCGGACCAGATTTGGTAATCGTCACTACTGGTGTAATTTTGAGATTTCGCAGGGGACGAGTTGCATTGGTGGCAGATGTGGAAGGCAATGTTCCACCAGGTTTAGAGTGGCACCTCAGGAGCACGGATGCACTAAAGGTTTATTGGTGGGATGACGTGGAACATTTCAAAGGAACCCTTCCACATCGTAATGCTAGTTCACATATTTGGGGCTGCATTCGAGTCCGTCTTGTGCTGCATTTGTTGAACAGAGCGGCGGTGAAATTTGGAAAATGAACACAACCTAGAAATTCAAGAAATTGTTATTGAAGATTTCTATGTCGATGACTGCTTGACAACTGCTGAATCGGTCGACTGAAGGCATAGAGATTGTCAGGATTATTGACACAATTGATGTCAAAGAAGGATTCAACTTGACTAAATGGCTCACCATAAAGATGATTACTGTCTATGATTCCAGAAGAAAAGAGAGCTAAATGTGTTCAATAAATCATGTCATTGATGGCAATGTCAAAGAACGAGTTCTTGGTATTCAGTGTATGTGGCAAATGATGAGTTTGGGTTCAAGTTAATATTGCTGACAACCAAATACCAGGAGAGGTATACTTTCAATTGTAGCATCTGTTTTTGACCCACTTGGTATAGTGGCCTCCAATAACGCTACTTGCCAAGTTATTGTTGCAAGAACTTTGCAAGCAAAAATTTGGGATGGGATCAAGAAATTGCAGATGGTGATGCTGTTAAATGGCGAAACTGGCTAACATCAACTGCAAAGCTTAGAACAGGTGAAGATACAGCGATGCTATCAGCCATTTGATTTGGAAAAGTTGTTTCCTATGAACTACATCACTTTGCTGATGGATCAGAATTGCATATGGAGCTGTTTCATATCTACGAATAATCGATAAAAATGGCCAAATTCATGTGGCATTTTTGGTTGGAAAGGCAAGACTTGCTCCATGTTCTCGTGTAACTATACCCAGACTTGAATTAACAGCTGCAGTTCTCGCTGTAAAGTTGAATCTTGTCCTAAGAAAGAACTGAAGATGAATGAATGCAGTTCAACTTTCTGGACTGATTCCACAGCCGTACTTCAAAGTATAAGAAATTCGAAGAAACGATTCTCCACATTTGTTGCTAATCGTTTAGCAAAAATTGATAGAAATACTGATGTATCACAGTGGCGCCATGTTCCAACGAAGATGAATCCAGCTGATGATGCTTCGCGTGGTCTTAGAGTTGATGCATATTTAAAGTCAGGACGATGGATCAATGGGCCCGAGTTTTTGCGTCTTTCTGAAGACAAGTGGCCAAAGATGCCGGACTGTTTTCCTGATCCACCGTCTGAATTTTGTCCAAAGCCAGTTCCAGAAATAAAGTCGGCATTTGTAATAAAGGAAGAGTCTTCTGTCATGGACAGGTTCATAGGATTCTTTTCTACATTCTACCGTTTGAAGAAAGCAACTTGTTGGCTCATACGATTCAAGAAATATTTGTGTTCTCATAAGAAGTCAATAGACAAGCTTACTGAACTGCCAGCAAGACTGACTGTGCAGGAACTGAGCTATGCTGAAAGAGTTATTATTGAATATGTTCAAAGACAAAGCTTTCGTGAAGAAATGAAATGTATATTAAATGGTAAATTTATCAGTAAAGGTGATTGCTCTCGCCGGATGTTGAAACTTAATCCTGTTCTAGAAGATGGTTTGATGAAAGTAGGAGGACGCTTGGAAAATGCACCAATTATGCATTCATCAAAGCATCCCATCATATTGCCTCATAATCACATCTTACGGATCTAGTCATCAGGGATCATCACAACAAAGTTGGTCATTCAGGTATGGGTCATACATGGACCTCATTAAGAGAAAAGTACTGGATTATCAAAGGTGGAGTTGCAGTAAGAAGGGTCATCGGAAATTGTGTTTCTTGTCGAAAGCGAAATGCCCGCCCTGGAAAACAATTTATGGCAGATCTACCTTCCTGTCGACTGAAATCGGATGAACCAGTGTTCAGTCATGTTGGTGTTGATCTATTTGGACATTTTCTTGTTCGACAGGGAAGGAGTGATGTGAAAAGATGGGGTTGTGTGTTCTCGTGTATGACAACTCGTGCTGTTCACATCGAGGTGGTAAATAGTTTGTCTGCTGATTCTTTCATTGCTCGAAGGGGTCATTGTACTCATATATATTCGGACAATGCTGGTAATTTTGTATTGGCAGAGAAAATACTTGAAAATTCCTTGAAGATATGGAATGATTCTCAAATTCATGGATACTTACGTCAAAAGGGGATAACATGGCATAAATCACCGCCTACAGGTTCAAATCATGGAGGTGCATGGGAACGAATGATTCGGTCAATTCGTCGAATTTTCAATGCTGTTACTCAGGGTCAAACTATGACAGATGAAGTTTTTAGGACCGCCTTGATCGAGTGTGAATCATGCTTGAACAGTCGTCCAATAATTCCTGTAACATTTGACCCACGGGATGAAGAGCCTTTAACGCCGAATCACTTGTTATTACTTCGGGCAAATCAAAATGTGCCTCCTGGAGTTTTTGACAAGAATGATTGCTATGTTAAACGTCGATGGGCACAATCTCAATATCTCGCAAATGAATTTTGGAGAAGATGGATTCGAGAGTATCTGCCTACGATTATTGAGCGACACAAGTGGTTTCAGAAAGAGAGAAATTTCAAGAAAGAAGATGGTAGACGATTCTCAACCTCGATCAAGATGGGCAATGGGAAGAATCGTGGATGTGTATCCAGACAAGAAGGGACTGATACGAACAGTGCTTGTTAAAATTCGTAATAGCTTGGTAAAGCGTCCCATCACCAAGCTAGTTCTTGTTGTTGAAGGCACTAAATGACTATTGAGGCTTGGAGATCATGTTGTGTTTTGAAATTTATTTCCTATGTACATAAATTTGTGGGGGGGAATGTTAGATCTCCAGCGCCGGTAGTGTCTATTTCTTTATTGCTGACACGTTTGCATCTTTTCGTTTGTCAACGTCGCAAACGTCTCAATTCATTACTCGCATTTGATGTGTTTCTTTATTATCTGTAGACCGAGCCGAGAAGGTTTCTGTCTACTGCAATTTGCGTGTTTACATCGTTATTGTATCGCCTGGCGTTAGAGCCGAAATTATAAATGTGCACAGCTAGTTTGCTGTTGCAATGCGTTACTTCTATGGCGATTTATCATTAGGAAAGCTGTATCATATTAATTATAGTGGGCTAATTATGGTTTTCTTTGTTTCATGCTTATTTAACTTGCTAATAGTTTAAAATTTGCTGCATTGAACTCTGGATTATTGAACTGCAATTTGTGAATCTGTCCTGCGTTTTGATTGTTTTGTGAACAATTCTTGGTGAGTTTTCTGTATTTCATTTCATTTGGCTTGTTATGTAGTAGTCCTATTTGGATGACATACTGTTGGTATTATATTTATTGCCACAATTAATGCTGTAGGGTTAAGTACTGTTACTGTAGTGCTTATTTGTTCGTGTTTATTTCAGTGTTCTGCAGTTACATAAAAGATTCGATATATTGTTGACCTTGGCTAAAAACAGTCGGTAAGCGATATAATTTGATTGCATGTTGGTTATTTATGCGGCAAATTCATAGTATTTATAGTGTATTTTGTTTTCTTTAGAAAACCTCTCTCTCTCTCTATCTCAACTCAATCTATCTGTATTCGTCATCTGTTTCCGTGATCTATTTGGCTCCATCTGACATCTCGATTTTATAATTTATGCTGAGCAAGTGCTTGATATTTCCACGACATATTACAATTCTCCTGTGTTTGAAGTTGTGTATTGGGGGCTTGTGGACTTCAGCTTGCATATCTCAGTTATAAGGCAGGGATAATTTGGAGAGGATTGTCTGGACCGAACATAGTTTTGTGATAGACTATTAGAGCGTTTAGACTGGAAAATATTGGCGCACGGTTCAGCGCCCTTCGTCTTTGTGTAGCAAGCAGGGTGCATAAGGTCACACCCCGTCAAGCTTCTACAATAACATGGTATGTAAGTAAATACTCAAACACACTCCCATAGACGGTTGGTATTTTGGGCTAATAATCTGAAATGCTTCATTGGGATCGCGTGCATAATTGCACGTAATAAACATGCTCAAAGTTTTTGTAGGCTGTTTTTACTTCCAAGAATTATTTACCTGGTTCTTTGTGTCCTGTTATATAACCAAATATATTATGAACAACAGCTCGTTGATTTTTGGTTGTGACGTGCATCTTTATTTTACTGAAAATTGTATTGGAAGTGAATAAATATTGAATTGGCCTAAGTTCATTGTTATCTATCTATCATAAATTTCGTGATAATTAAATTCGGCAGCGTATAAACTTTGACGGTAAACAATGAAAGCTTGCAAATACTACTATTAAAAATATAGTTAGAATTTAACAATAGTCATACATATGGATCCATTATGAACAATTGTACCCATACATTTGCACCCGCAGATTTTTGCACCCACATACAGATTGCACCCATGAACATTTGCACCCATGGACATTTGCACCCATGGATATTTGCACTGATGGATGTTTACACCAACGGACATTTGAACCCACGTACAACTGCACCCAAAGACATTTGCAGCTACGCACATTTGTACCGCAGGTGGATGGAAATGTACATGGGTTCAAATGTCCGTGGGTGCAAATAATCGTGGGTGCAAATGTGCTTGGGTGCAAATGTACAAGGGTGGAAATGTTCGTGGGTGCAAATGTCCAGGATGCGAAGGTCCATGGATGCAAATGCCTATCATTTTACACGATATTTTATGTACATTGCGATCATCAAGTTCAATTGATTTTATTTACCTTGTTTCGTTCAATGCTCCCTCAAACCCTGGTCCCAATTTGTACGTTATATTAAGGCCCCCTCTCCATTCATTCGGAACTGCTGACCCTCCCATTCTTGATAAATATTTCATAGCATCGTCATAGCCTATTGGTGTGACAGGAATTTTTGGTAGTTGAGTTTCGTTTTCATACATTCTCCATGCCGTGTCTAGTGGGAAAAAATTTCATTTCAGCAACTTAATGGAGATGCGCAAAATTATATCTGAGAACGTTTCACCGATTGTGCTATATGAACGGATACTGCATTAAATGTATTTAGCAATTATTTGCGTATATATAGCAAACCCTTCTACTGTGATAAACATAATAAGTTTGGAAAACAAAACTCATCAACAAGTTTTCCATTTAAATTACTCCAATAAATTACTTCCATCTAAAATACTCCGTACAGTAATTAAGAACAAAATCCATGCTTTTTAGTCACTCTGTCACATGCTGAACAACTTTTCTTTACTTACCTATAGCAGGGTACTGTGGTGTTAACGGATCACTCTTCACAATATGCAAATTTCCTCTTTCGGCTCCAGTTCCAGGAAGATACCAATCATCTGGATATACTCCAGACCATGGTACGGTATAATCAATAGGATCCGAATACAAAATAAGTCCAATACATCCATTATCTTCAGCTAATATTGCTAAAAAAATCAAGGTATTTATTTCTCAGCTGGTTATATATATATTAAATGTAAATTTTGATGATAAAAAATATTCGTTTTTTTTCTAGCTCGATAAGTAATATGAACATTTTTAACAATCAGGAGGCCAAATGCGTGATAGCCAGACTGAGAAAATTTCAATACAATACACAAGATTATAAAATAATATATACCTTTGGAGCCACGAAATATACGCCCATATCTCGATATACACACGTGACCGGAAGGATCAACTCCAAATTCTCTTTTGAGCTCTATAAAATCTTCGACTCTGGCATAATTGACATAGACCAAGTAGCCCTGTATAAATATCGCGACATTGTGCTTTATATATGAATCGGTAATTTGAACTTCTATACTTAGATTCCAAGTACGGAGTAATAGAAACAGGTTATTATAAAAGATTCAATGATCGTGATCAGTCATCACAAGTCGTGGTTAGCTTCAATGCATACATGTATGGGAGAATCAAAATAGCATAAAACCAGTTTTGAAAAATACCATTGTTTTCCCATTACATAATCCACTGCAATATTAGCAGCAATATTCGATGATATATACAAGATTACAATCATGTTTAGTGTACTCGTACAGATAGATATAAAGCAGTTCTGTTGCCATAAACTCACTTCGACATCACCAGTACCCGAATAGGCATTAAAAGGGTTTGTGACCTTGTCGCTTATTTGAGATTCATCTAAAAATTTTTCACTTGCTTCCGACTGATATATCTCAGTACCTGTTAGCGGAAAACAGAAGATTATTATACTAAAAGCCAAATCAGTGCCCAATGTTTTTCACTATTAGAAATTTACAAAAATGGCATGCGGTGTTCATATGTATACCAACCGTTTTCGAGTAGAACTGATATGATGTTTGAGTCATTTTTGTCTGGATACGAAAGCAGAACATCATAAGGGTGGACTTCAACATGGAATCCATATTCTTGCCATTTCGTTTTTATATATTCAACAAGCTTAACTTCATCAACTTCCTGTCCTGCGATGTGAGGTTCCTTTGCTAGGTATCTGTACGCATGTCAGTAACATAGAACAAGTTAGCAATGTTAGTAATTTGTACACAAAAGTTCTATCGCGATGACGCCACGTAATAATTTATGTTGCATATTGGACATGAAATGTCCATATGGGTCGTTTTGTAAATCGTTGCTGATAAGCTTAATGTTGAGGCGACTATTGCTTTTATTGTTTTCAAATTGATTCTGAATTCACCAATATGAGACCCGATAAATCACCCAAAATCTTGTTTTTATTTTAAATCACGGGGAACTCTTTTTTATTCCGTCAAGCTTAATCAGCTTCGTTCAGTCTGTCCGTTGTTCGGCTCGATGACCTCGGTGCCACGCGTAACCGGCTGCTTTAACGGTGCAGATGTAACTGCACCAAGTATTGTTCTCCAGCTTTTTTGCCAAAGTTGATACAGATTAATGCAATAGGATGTATATCGGGAAACGCGGATATGAAAACGAAAAGGACCTTTACAATTTCAAATCAAATGGAATAACTCCGAATGCTCCCTAACCTTGGGTGGGAATTCAATTCCGTATTTTTTGACTAAAATTCGGCAAATTTTACTTAATCATACAGTATTTCCATAGTAAGCACAAAAGTGGTAAGTACCAAATTATTGTATCACAGAGTAAATTTGATGTAGAGATTGACCAAATGAATGGCTAATTCCAACAGCGCATTTCTGTCCTTATATCAGACACAAGGAACAAACAGGCATCATTTGTCTTTGAAACGAGGACTTCTAAGATAACGGCCATAAAATAGGCTCGAAGACGGTTGAAGGGGAAGCTGGTCGAATTATTTAACTACCTTATTGAGGAAATCTTATCCAAAATACAACTTTTATCGATTATCCTGTTATCTGACTGATTCTGAAGTGTTGGAATCGTTAGCGAATACTCGAGTACTTTTTCTGATTTTTCACGCAAAATTTTGTTGAAATATGGCAAGATTCTTGTCCGCCGATCTAATGAATAAACGTAGTGTTCAGTTATAGTCCTGGCATAGCGGTAACCGCAACATTCTTGTCAATATAGTGGAGCATCGCTGTTTTTGTGTAACAAGCTGTGTTTCTGAAGTACCTAGTTGTCCCAAGCAACATTTCCAGTCATCCTGTAGATTGCATAATGATGTCAAGGTGTTACTGTCGCCGTGAATATTCGCCTTCTCTTGATTATTGTCAACGCGTTTATGCAAAATCAAAACACCAATATCACAATCAGAAACCAACTCACCGTATGGACTTCAGAAGATTGAAAGTGTTAGATTGAAGATATTTTCATTGCCATGTATTCGTATTACTCAATTCAGCCTACCCTAGAAATATGTTGCAAGTATTTAGAGTAGGCCTACCTCAAGAATTCCTCTATGTTTGATTCCTTTATTTCGTCTCTAATTTGCTCAGAAAAATTGTCGGTAATTGGAGGTGGTGGTGCTGGTGATGGACTTTCTTCACTTGGTCGGGTAAACCATCCTATGAGAAAGCCAATCACAATTCCACCGGCAATACAAGCAATTGATAGTAAAACAACCCTATTCGTTGAAGTCATGTCGTATCGCTCTGTTCGTGGCAAAATGAATATTCGCAATATATACCCTTCAATACTTTTTGTCGAATACCAGAAATATATTCATACAGCTGTGGCAATAAATTTATGCATTTCAAAAATAAATCCGCGAAGAGAATAACGCCCCAGAATTAATATTTAATCTAACCAAGAACGCAAACCTTTTTTCCATTCGCGGCAAACTGCATTCACATTCTTTTTTTATTAGTTTGCGGTTTCTCTGGGAAAAGAGTAATTCTATCAATAGAATGATCTTTTGTCTACATACGGGAAATACATCCGAATAAAATATAGTATTGCGCTCGTTTAATACGATTTATGCAAAATCAGGCTGAGAGAAGTGAAACAGCTTTCGTTATGCACAAATATATTTTTGACTAAACCAATAAAAAGGCACGTTAGTTGCAGTCAACGACGCATTTTTACGTAATTGTTAATAAGCTCCTTATTGGTAGGGTTACCATATTTTTGTGACTTCAAATCGGGACGCCTCAAAAGACAACGATTTTGTAACTTCACATTTTCCGATTTTACTACATAGGCCTACATTCCTACATTTAAAGCTGTCCCGACTGTCTTTATTAACCATATTGTTATCTAAATTTCATGCGCATATTCTCTGTCCAAATATCGGGTTCAGTTGGAAGGAATTGACGGTAACGATGCCGGTACAAATAATTCGAATTTAGACTAATTAGGCTTCCCGCTGCTTGTCAGCAGGGAACCTATTGTATTCCTGTGTTTTATTATTATTATTAGGCTTCCCGCTGCTTGTCAGCAGGGAACCTATTGTATTCCTGTGTTTTATTATTATTATTTATTATTATTATTATTATTATTTATTATTATTATTATTTTTTTTTCAAATTGGTCCTACAAACTTGAAATTCACCTCAAATGTGCAGAAGATCTCAGCTAGCAATAAAATGCAAATTTTATGCATGACTGACCACGCTTTCACGCTCCAATGAGCAAAACGCGTATTCAGTTTTTTTGCGATTTCTCAAAATTGATACATGGTATCGGGTTGAAATTCATAACAATGATTACTGGACACGTTCCGGATACAATATGTCAAGGATACGCATGAGTGACCTCGGCGATACGCTCCAGTGAGCAATATAGGATATTACATTTTTATCTTCTTCTGGAGAACGACACTACTTAGAGACTTGAAATTTACATCACATGCAGACAATAAGTCCCCCATCATAATTTGCAAATTTTATGCATGACCGACCACGCTTTCACGCTCCAAAGAGCAAAAAGCGTTTTCAGTTTTTTTGCGATTTCTCAAAATTGATACATGCTATTGGGTTGAAATTCATAACAATGATTATTGGACATGTTCCGGATACGATATGTCAAGGATACGCATGAGTGATCTCGGCGATACGCTCCAGTGAGCAATATAGGATTTTACATTTACATCTTCTTCTCGAGAACGACACTACTTAGAGACTTGAAATTTAAATCACATGCAGATAATAAGTCCCCCATCATAAATTGCAAATTTTATGCATGACTGACCACGCTTTCACGCTCCAGTGAGCAAAACGCGTCTTCAGTTTTTTTTTACGCGGGAAGCCTGTTAAAGCTGCACGCAGCTCTAGTTATTATTTATTATTATTTATTATTATTATTATTTTTTTTTCAAATTGGTCCTACAAACTTGAAATTCACCTCAAATGTGCAGAAGTTCTCAGGTAGCAATAAAATGCAAATTTTATGCATGACTGACCACGCTTTCACGCTCCAGTGAGCAAAACGCGTATTCAGTTTTTTTGCGATTTCTCAAAATTGATACATGGTATTGGGTTGAAATTCATAACAATGATTAATGGACATGTTCCGGATACAATATGTCAAGGATACGCATGAGTGATCTCGGCGATACGCTCCAGTGAGCAATATAGGATATTACATTTTCATCTTCTTCTCGAGAGCGACACTACTTAAAGACTTGAAATTTACATCACATGCAGACAATAAGTCCCCCGTCATAGTTTGCAAATTTTATGCATGACTGACCACGCTTTCACGCTCCAGTGAGCAAAACGCGTTTTCAGTTTTTTTGCGATTTCTCAAAATTGATACAGGCTATTGGGTTGAAATTCATAACAATGATTAATGGAAATGTTCCGGATACGACATGTCAAGGATACGCATGAGTGACCTCGGCGATACGCTCCAGTGAGCAATATAGGATTTCACATTTTCATCTTCTTCTCGAGAACGACACTACTTAGAGACTTGAAATTTACATCACATGCAGATAATAAGTCCCCCATCGTAAACTGCAAATTTTATGCATGACTGACCACGCTTTCACGCTCCAGTGAACAAAACGCGTCTTCAGTTTTTTTTACGCGGGAAGCCTGTTAAAGCTGCACGCAGCTCTAGTTAGTATTGGTTTTACATGCGATACGTCTGCCATGAATGGGAATCAGCGCGAAACGAACGCATTCACCTTCAGTAAGTAGGCTAGCGCTGCGCTACACAGAAACAACAATAACGAGAACATGTTTGTATATCATGGTGGAAAAGCGGGACTTTTGGCTAACTTATCGGGACGGCGGGACAAAACGCTGAAAATCGGGAGTGTCCCGCCTAAAGCGGGACGTATGGTAAGCCTACTTATTGGACACGTAGTGGACCTGTGGATCGTTTTGATATTTTTGTTGTTGTTGTACTTTGTTGTACTTTACTTATTCGATTTCTCTTTGATTACTGGACCAATTGCTTTAAAATTTTCAGTGGTTATAGATGGAATTTTTCTCTAGAAGGCTATTACTTTTTATTTCTAAGTTTCGTATCGATTCTATGATATCTGATATTTCATCCAAAATTTCGCTGTAATATTTTTATTCATGGGAACACGGTTTTTAGTCCGCGTGATGACTGTCCGTTTTGATTCTGCAAATTCTTTTTACGCATATTTGAGCATTGCTCTCTTGTGTTGGCTTGATACAGCTAGTCCCACTTACGATGAAGAATCTATTTAGCCTGGTTTAAGCGATTTGTCTGGTAAAGATCTAATGTAAAATTCTACGTCTTCTTATTGGACACGTAGTGGACATAGCGATCGTTTCAAAATTTTGTTGTTATTGTTATTATTTGTCTCCGTCAACACGTTTTGAAGAAATCGCTTTTCTCTTCGAATACTGTACCAATTGCTTTGAAATTTTCAGTGGTTGAAGATGAAATTTTTCTCCAGAAGGCTATTACTTGTTTTTTTGCTATGACGTCATCAAATTATGGGATTCTACGTGTCCATATATTTGAGCATAGCTCTCTTGTTTGATTTTCACATTTGAAAAGAAAAGTTTATTATCCCGGAATGCCGATGGATAGCGTTCCAGTGTTTTATTAATAGTGTCGGGGATACAAATTCGAGTGTGCAAGTTTTTGAGGGGCAAGAGTATCTGCCCACGGATCGCTCACCTTCGAGAACAGTGGCATACAAGGAAGGAGCAGAAGGTAAACCACTTGCCATGCCTGATTGGGATAATGGTAAAATAATATAAACAAACAAGAATAGAGCAATATAAATAAGTAACTGATCTAAACTACACTGTCTTGATTCGGCTAAAAACCATTGCCAAACAAACAGTAAATCAGTCGAGCGCTATCAGTAATTTATTTTTCCAGCAATATTGAAAATACGCTAGATACATATACGGAATAGAATAAAAGAAGAAGAAGTCGAGCGCTAATGATGCGCATAGAGGATTACAAAGTTTAAATTGAGCTTTCCCTGATGGAACCTCGAATGCCGAAAACCTTGCCAAATGACTAGCTAGGGCGATGTACTTTGCGATCTCTAAATTATATCAAAGTTGAGCACCAGCAGGCTTAGAATTCGATGTTCGCTCAAGGCGATAAGTTGCATGGTTGCACAGCGCTGCCTCCTATAATTGTAAATCTTTGTAGTATTTGAAAGATGTTGTTCTTATAATCTTGAAGTCCAGTACAGTACAGAGCTATTGTACGGAGCACCGAAAACACGGTAATAAGCAATGCTCCCCTATTTTTTTCAATACTGGACCAATCTATTTCAGTTATGGAAACTGACAGTAACTTATAGGGAGCCATTACTTGTTTTTTAACTTTCTATTGAACTTTTTCGGTCTCGTTGTTTTTCCCCAAAATTTTGCTTCTGTTTTCCAAGCTTTCATGCCAAACTCGTAGCATCTGGAGCAAACTGGTCTGCATTGGCCTCTTGGCTTATTACTGTTTTACGCACATATGTCTAAGCCGACTTCTCATTACTTATCGATTTTATCGGTAAGAATATTGATAGGTATTCGTCTGTCTGTATGTCAGTCTGTTAGATGCACGCGATATCTCACGAAAGCGAGATGGAATCGGCTCCAGATTTTGCATGTGCATTCATCATATATCGGACCTTTTGATTCTGGATGAATTATGTCGTATAATTAGCGAGGTCTTAATTAATTAGTGATGGGACACAAGGTGTCACTATGGAGTAAGAGCGCTTTTTGGGGGAATCCCCTAACTTTCGATCGATGAGTCTTTGGTCTCTGACCGATATTCTCGTTTTGTAATTTACCGTATTATTTTTCGGTAAATTTCGGATCTGTAAGTTAGTGACGAAAAGGAAAGCAGTCGTTCCAGATATAGAAAATTCATATACTCTCCATGTGGTGCACGTTAGCAATTTTCTTTGTTGCCACAGGCTTCACTGTGTTAATTTGTTCATAAACCAATGCACAATCGATCTATATATTTATTAGTATTTTGTGTTAATTGATGGAGTTTATCCTTCTGGAATTGGGGCTAATTGACTGTATGATTACAGGTATGCCTATTTACAGGTATAAATATGAGCAAATGAAAGATCACAAAACTACAGGGGATTTTTTTATCATAAAATGTACAAAGCTCTTATTTGATCTTCAGAAATTTGGATGATATTTATAGCCTACTATCTTTATCTTATAATGGTTGCATCTTCATATTTCTTAGTACTTTATTTTGTAAACATATAT